CCAGAAAAAAACACATGCACAACACGTGCCGGAACTATTGATGGCGTCCGCCTCAGTTATCTCTCCAACAGTCTTATCTGTGTGCCTAGCGAGAACAGTGGAAGAAGCAAATAATGGTTTGCACCTGCAGTCATGCGTGGTTTCAATCGACTTTGCAGAAAAAGAGATAGTGTATTTGCGGTCCGCGGCGGGGCCACGGATTGGTTGAGATGTGGTGCGGTGACGCAGTGTGGATCTACGCTGAGGCTCTTGGATTAAATCAGTTGACTGTATCTTCCTCTGTCTAAGCCTTAAAGCGCAATCATGTTTTCTCACGCACAATACCAGCTCGCCCAACAATCAGCAATGGTAGGAGAGTTCTGAGGGAGACCATGCGTATTTTGACCTCTGGTAATTGAGTAAGCACACCGTCCTTGGCACCGGACAGTGACATGAGGCGTTTTTTGTGTCTGTTTTCTAAAAATTGTAAGGGCTGTGCTGGATCTGGAGTTTCCTGTTATTGCATGTGGCTGGTCAGCCCTCAAGCGAGGTCATCAGGGTGACTGATTGGTGTGAATCATTTAGATATGTCTGAATCATGAATCATATGGGTTCTGTCTGAGTGTCCGGCTCTCGGTGACTAGTGAAGAGTAGGTGTTTCTTTTTTGGTGGTGAGGGTTTTGAGGTATGTGTAACAACGTTCGTTGTTCAAATAAACAACGAACGGTGTTTGAGACTTGTTGTTTTGTCCGTTTTTTTATCGTTCCGTGTCTCCGTTTTTTATGTAACTTCTACATTTATTGATATATTTACAGGAGTAAAAATGAAAGGCAAAAAATCTATTCATTTTTATGCATAATATAGTAAGTAAAAATCATACGGAAGCAGGAAAAAAAAACACCAATACCCCCCCGCCCCCCCCCCCCCCCCCCCCCCCACACACACACACACAAAAAAAAAAAAAAAAAAAAAAAAAAAAAAAGATGGTGGCGCCGGCGGCGCGCCGGATTTATTGTGCGGCGGCGGCGGCGGCGTGCTGGCTCCGGGGACTCCGGCGGCGGCGCAGGGCGGCGGGAGCAGAACAGGCGGCGGCGGCGGCGCGGCGCGGCGGCGCACAGGTCTACTCTAGCGTGCGGCGCGAGGCGCAATCATCAGCGCAGTCAATGCCACGGAGTTGGAGCGGCCAACGTTGAACCACTACGTCAGAGGCACTGATCTCCAATGCTGATCTCTATGAAAATTGTCATTGAGATCAGTGGTCAGAGGCATGTGTACGTCATTCTCACGTTTTGCTTGTTTTTACTTCTCAGAGTAAAATTAAACGATGACGTCATGAGTTTCTCCTCCCGGTGTTGGCTCACCGGGCGTTCACGTGATCACCGTAACGCGGATGCGCTAGTTTGCGCTGCCCTGCGCGCTTCGTACAACTTTGACTCTTTTTCCCCAACGCGCTTGCCGCTCCCGCAAGTGAAGCCACCGGACTTCACTCGCTTGGGATACGATTTGCCGTTTTTGCTAGCCTTTGCTGCGGTTTTCCAGCGTGCTGTGGACACGTTTTCTACTCGTTCGTCGTCATTCGCCGAAGAAGCTTTTTGAAGACTCTGTGTATTGTTGAGACTTGCCGTCGTGAACACGTGGAAAATTTTACGAAAGTGCAGTGTCGCAGGAAAAAGGCACAACGCGTCGAAAGGAAGGGCTGGCGGCGTCTTCAAAGCTTCCTTGGCACGCCGAAGTGCCGTGTCTCTGTGCCTTCGCACGCTTGGATACCGACCAAGAATCGACGCCGTGTGGATGTGTTTTGCGAGTGCAATGTGCGTGAAGCCGTATCAAAAGGTACAACTCGTCGAAAACAAGTGTCGCCGGTGTCGCGGCGTGATCAAAGCTTCCTTGGCACGCCGAGTGATGCATCTTTGTGCCTTCGCACGCTTGGATACCGGTCAAGAATTGACGCCGCGCCAAAGTTCTGAACGTGTGTCGCGCGTAGATGCCTTTAGATCATTTATATATATCGGCCACGGAGTTCTGGATCGTCCAGCTGTTCCGCTGAGTTGCTATCAATAAAAGGGGGAGATCTGTACGTGTTCTTATGTACTATATTAACCATGGCTATGTCCCAAATCTACTCTAATAGATTCCGTGGGAGCACGAATAGGGCAACGTTGTGGAGCCAGGGGGGTTTTCGAAAGCAAAAGTACAAGACGGTGAGAATGAAAATCTTTGAAGCGCGGCCGATATGGTCGTGTGCAATCTGCTGACCAATTACAATTAGGCGAGCCGCGCTCAAACGTCAAGTGCAATTAAGTAGGTTGATAATAAGCCAGCACTGATCAGTGATGAGGAGCTGTTGTGCACGGTATTATGTAAATCGTCTAAGGACGAAAAAAAGACGTACCTTCCCCCCATCTTCCGTCGCTAGTGGACGCTGGATTAAGCTCGTTCCTAAACCGCGAGGGGAAAAGACGCTGATCCAGAGGCACGAACAGCTTCACGCACATTGCACTCGCTAAACACATACACACGGCGTCGGTTCTTGGTCGGTATCCAAGCGCGCGAAGGCACAGACACACGGCACTTCGGCGTGCCAAGGACGCTTTGAACACGCCGCCAGCCCTTCCTATCGACGCGTTGTGCCTTTTTCCTGCGACACTGCACTTTCGTAAAATTTTCGACGTGTTCACAACGGCAAGTCTCAACAATACACAGAGTCTTCAAAAAACTTCTTCGGCGAATGACGACGAACGAGTAGAAAACGTGTCGTCAGCACGCTGGAAAACCGCAGCAAAGGCTAGCAAAGACGGCAAATCGTATCCCAAGCGAGTGAAGTCCGGTGGCTTCACTTGCGCTGCAGCGAACAAGCGGGGAAGCGCGATCCAGCAATTGTCATAGAGATCAGTGCTTTTTCCTATCCACAATTTCCTTTTCAACGCTTACTACTACTACTACCCTGCGCGCTTATCGGTCTGTTTCTCCCACTGATCTCTTGTCATTGGGCGCGTTCAGTAGCGGCCCCAGAGTCAAGGAGTCACTGACTCCTTCCACTGGACGGCCAAAAGTCACTTCCGGTGCACGTAACTCCGGGGCTTCGGAGTCAAGCTCCGAAGCACCGAGTCCGGAGACGGTGCACGTAGAGTCAAAGGAGCTAAAATGACGTCATTTCCTGACTGGTGACGATTTCCGGCGCTAAAAGAGGAAAAAACAAACAATATGGCGGGATAAGCTGCTTCGGTTCTGTCGCGGGTGCGCGGTTAGCTCGCTTTTGTTAATGAAAAGTGCTCAAGGTAAGACGAATAACGCGTTCGAATACCTTTTTGAGGTACAGCTCTTTCGGAAAATGCATTGGACCGTATTTTGTTTAGTTTGAATATGCTAATAAATAAATAACGCAAACGTTCATTTGACGCGCCGTGTCTTGATCGCCGTTGCACGGAAACTCGGTAATATTGACGATAGTCCTGTCCGCGCTCAACAGAGAAAAACAGGGTATGAACGCGACTTTGGAAGCCGGTTGGACACTCACGCAGAGCATGATACCGATTAATGTTTTGTTTGCGTAGCTAAATCGGGGTGCACGTTGGCTGAGGCTCGCTTCGGCCGACAAAACCTTGATCGCCGAGCGCGGCCGAACTTCCCGTGTGTATACAAATACATTTTATAGGAAGTTCGTTGCGAAGGGCAGAACAAACTTATGGCCGTATAAAAGTATCGCAACCGGCGGGTTAGATTCGCTGAGCTCTGTATTTTGCGTGTGCTGACGACGATTTTTGTCGGCTTTTATAACAGTAGCTGCCTTTGCACAGCCAAGCGAAGGGCTCGATCGCGTTGCATCGCTTCGAACAGCAGCGCTGATGTGTACAATCACCCGCTTTTTCTTCAACGACCTTGTAAAGACTTCTTCAATACCGGCGTCAAATAAAAGCGATCGTGCTCGCCATCGTCTGCTTCCAGTTTATTCGGAGACCGTCTGGCCCAGGGGAGGAAGCGGAAGTTGCGTAGAAGCAGGTTTGGAGCCGCGGTTTTTTTTTGCCGTTCAGTAGGCGCTCCGATGACTCCGACTCGAGGCACTCCGTTCGGAGGCAAGGGAGGCGCTCTCCGCTCCCCTTCTCCTCTTTCGTCTTCTCCCCTTCCCTCTCTCCCCCGGGCCATCACCGTCCACGCCATGCGAAGCAACCCGCGTCCAATAAAAAAAAAAAAAAAAAAAAAAAGAAAAAGACCTGCCCGCGTCGCGTGTCCTGTTTCTCGCTCCCTCCCGAACGTCACAAGACCACGTGCTTCGACGAGACGTGCCATGACCACATAGAGATCAGTGGCCATGACCAGTGGCCATGACTCTGACGACCCGAGACCAATGTTGCCTGACGCAACCGAAGTTTCGGTATCTGCTGATGTTTAAATTAGGATTACACAAATAATATTCCACATTTCGCGAATCCGAAGACGTAGAGTTGTTTAGTAGTACTTTGTGAATGTGAGTCACATGGAAGCCTAAATTTTTCGGAATTGAGCGGAGTTGCCCTTTAATAAGAAAATACCTAGTTTTCTCTCGCTTTCTGCCACCATTCACTTAATCTTTTCTTGGTAATCTCTACTGTCTTGAAATCCACTCTTCCTTCGCTTGTCTTCGGTAGGCATAGGGTGGCATAGGGTGAAGCCCTTTACGTAGAATATCAAGTACTCAGCCGTCTCGTTTTCCTCTCCACAAGCAGTGCACACTGTGTCTATTTTTCTGGTTCGCAGAACACCCGTCCTCGCCTCAAACAACAATGAGCTCCCCCTAGAATTGTCATAATCATAAATGCTTTTTTCTTTGATTTTGATGGTAGCTAGCGCCACCTACATTCTGTGTTTTAAGAAGATCTTAAAACAAGTTTTAGCCATGCAGTTTGAAAGTCCAATTTAAATGTAGTGCTCAAACTCAGCAGCATTACGAAATTAAATATGAAACCAACGACTTACCGTAATTTCTTTTCAATTATAATGCAGTGTCACTATTTTCTTGTTAGAAATAAACACAGACACAGGACAGACATTCAACGACATACTTTAAAAAAACATTTTTGTGACATTTGTTTGCGTAATACATCAATAAACACATAATAAATAGGCAGGGCAAAAACACCCATATTTCATCGAAACAGCTAGCACGCACATACATGAAAGGATGAAGTGCACATCAATAAATAACAATGTCAAATGAAGCGAAGCATACATTCCAAGCATTCAAACACAAATAGCACAGGTACTACGACACACGCAATCAGTTCATCCATTTGCTTTGTAAATGAGCATCAGTGGTGAGCGCCAACAGCCCTTGTACGAATACAATGGTTCAGAAAGCTGGTATTGCAACATGCCGCATGAGGATTCATAAAAAAAACATGCCAAACCAAAAAGAAAAAAGACAAAATTTAAAGTTGCTAAAAAATATTCCGACAAGATGCGTCATTTCAGAATGGCAGTCATCTGCTACGGTGTTGGCCATTGCAGACGGCAACAGTTGTCCGACACTTCTACCTGGCATTTTGTGAGTGTCCGGATGAATAGGGAGGTATAAAAAAATGCTGTCAACAGCACGCAGACACCCCACCGCACTACTGTCCATAAAAGGGAGAGTTGTTTCGAGCGTAATTTGACTAAGTTGTCCAACCAAAGGGGCGAAGGTTAAATAAGATGCAGCGTTGCCACATCCCGTGGCACATGATTGGCCACCATTAGATTGTCGTAACTTGGCGGCGGCTGGCTGGCAACCGTGGTGGCGGCACTGGAAATAGAATGACAAATAAAGATCAATCTATAGCCCATACATAGGGTTTGTAGACTGCCTAGTTTGAGTCCTGGAATACGGGCCGAACCAGTGACATAGAGGGGCTTAGAGCGATAAACTGGTATCCTGTTCACCAAGCAGAAGTGACCACCACTAGGCTGCCGCCACGTTATGCGGAGGGCAAGTTCGTCTGCTCCTTGCGCAGGGGGTAGCAGTGACGTCAGAACGCCGAGCCCTGATTGGCTGATCGCGACCCCCTTTCTGAGCGTCGTCTGCTCCTTTGCAACGTCGTCTGCTTGCAACGTCGTCTGCACCTGTCTTACCTTTCCTGCGACTTTCGGAAGTGCAGAGGCCAGATTCAAGAAACGATCTTACGCCAAAAATGTGCGTAAGACAAAACTTAAGAACAAATTCGTATTCACGAAACAAAATTTTCGTAAGTGTTGCGCAGGTTACGACGAAATCCTACGGACAGCTCCGAAGCTGTCTTACGCACTTCCTACGATCAAATCAGCATGGCTGACAGCGCTGCAGTCGCGATGACCCACGGACGTTTATTTTTCTATGTGCGCTTCTCACGCGTCCCAACTTCAAGCAGCAAGAAAAAAGTAGGAAGTACTTGAAAAAAACCAAGACAAACAAGAACGCTGGATCCACAAACACCCGGGAAAAGCTCCAACGGCCACGATTCCACCGAACGCGACCAAGCGAGTTGGGCAGTTAGGCCTAGCAGGCACTCCGCGACTCGGCGACCGTCTGCCCACGACCGGCTGGCGTGCTGAATGGAATATGCCCGCGCGACCCTTGTGAACCTTTCCCGTATTATACTTTGATCACTGACCTCAATTTTAGATTAAGAAGTCAATTTCTTCCTCTTGTTCTTGTTTCCCAAGGCAACGGTGACTCTCGCCGGTGAAAAAGCGGTGAATCTCCGACAGACGCAGGAAAGGTAAAGCAGCCATCGCTTTGACTAGCACACATAAAGCAGACGACGTTAACTGCGCCGACCCGCCGACGCCTTTAAAGAATGAGGGGTCTCGCCGCACACGAAAGGAGCGAAAACGTATTTGGGAGGGAAGTTGCGGACACTTACACGCTCACTCTAGGTTCTTAGCAAACAAACCTCGGCGCCTCGGGACACCTCGCCAGTGAGTCCTTTGGCTTCCCTCCTTGATGCGCGTCTGCTAGTTGTTAGACAAAAACAACGTACCGCTCGAGTTATTTCATCTGCCCTCTCTGAAGGGCGAAGTCGAGCTCGCTCGTAAAGACCTGCACTTTCGAAAGTCGTAGGAAAGGTAAGACAGACGCAGACGATGTTGAGAGCAGACGACGTTGCAAAGGAGCAGACGACGCTGAGATAGGGGGTCGCGATCAGCCAATCAGGGCTCGACGTTCTTACGTCACCGCTACTTCCTTTCTCATGCGCAGAAGACGAAAATGAGCCCACTTGCGAGGCGTACGTATACAACTTTGACCACTAGTTACGTGACCGCACCAAATCCTGAGGCTTTTACTCAAAACTGAACAGAGATTCGTAATGCAATCGCTGTAAAAAACGTGATAAACTATTATTTCAATACAGTTAGCCCCAGAGATGAGTGTAGTTCCGATAAAAACCCAATATACAGCACCGCGGCTGATGGAACCTAGCGGAGGCATTGCGAAGCTGCCCGTGTTTTTGTCGTAAAAGCATGTTTTGGACGTAAAACAAACGAAACATCATTTATCTCGTCGGTACTGTTATTAAAGATGAATAAGCAATTAATTGTGCACGGTACATCGTTAAAATCTAGACGTAAAACTGTAAGGTCACGTGTCTAGTGGTCAAAAATGTGCAACATGGCGGCGGCCAATTGGGGGTCACTTTCAGCTGCCAGTTTATCGCTCTAAGGCGCCCCACCTAGCTCGTTGGGCCGAACACTCGCGAAGCAATTTCTCAGAAGCTGCTATAATCCGTTTCCCTTAATGATGAACCACAGCGATTATGCTACGAACTTGCAACAAATATTTTTTGCATCCATTATTCCTAGAGCAGTGATTCTCAAATGGGGGTCCGCAGACCCTTTGGGGTACGCGAAGACATGTTAGACATGTTAGAGGTCCGCGAAGCCCTGCCTCATCAGTCAAGCCCGGCAATAAAAGTTGTCATTTTTTAGATTCGGAAAAAACGTTCCTCTTTTCCAGTGAGTTTTCTCGTCTGTATATCAACGAGAGAAGTCTACTTTACAGAGCCCTTAGTTATATCCATTTTTTAGATAATTATCATAAATAACTTATAACTTTCTCTTCCCTTCACCACAAGCGAGGTCCTCTATCATCTCCACCTACCCACTAGGGGTCCGTAAAACATTAGTGGTTGAGAACCACTGCCCTAGAGTATTGTATAAATGAAACATCTACGTGAATCACTTACATCAGTTATCGACTGTGCTCTTTTTTGTTCAAGTGCAGCAAACCATGTCCAGTATAACTTTCATCCATTTAACCTCTAGGAAACCACAGATTTCGCAGGAATTATCAGAAGTTCGAATTACCATAAATTCATCCAAATATGATGCAAGATAAAATGATGATTTGCTGTATGGTTCACTACAGAGACAAAGCAAATTTTTGATGATTTAAACTACACAGGCCTACTAATCAGAAGCCTGTATGCCACACATGAAATATTGATGAAATTTATAAGTTCATTCATCCTTCAAAAATTACCGGAGGATGTTTAAGCTTCGCCTTTAAAGGGACAGTGACAGGGTATTTATACTCACCAAGGTTTTTATTTGTATAATGAGAGCCCAACTACGCAAACACAATTTGCGGCTCGAAATTCGTTTTCTTTCCACCTGAAAACCGCAGGTTGAAAACTGGCCGGTTTGAATTGCGCTCACTCTGTTTTCTGTGGTCACGTACTGTTTTCTATGGTTTAGACACAACCACCAAAGATAATCAAAGTTGTGGGTAATCGAAGACACACACTTGATACTAAAAACAGACAAAAATAATGATACCCATTTTTCGTGGCTTCTAAAAAGCTGCGAATATGTTTATTGAAAAAAACAAGACGGACAGTCACATGACTTTTGGTAACTTTCTCCTCCTCTATATTTCTTCTTCCTCCCCAGTCCAGTTTTGGCTTCAGTTTCGAGCAGTTGCAATTTTTTGCTTTAATAAAAAATATATGTGACCCTGTCGCAAAATATTGATTGGGTAGTCTTCCGACACCATAATAAAACACCTGGCAAAACATAAAAAAAAGTTCTTGGGGGGTGTCAGTGTCCCTTTAGGAGTGGAACGTGACAGCGAAACGTAAATCTTCGCTCCTTGCCAAGCCGTGCAAGCGTGTCTGCGTGGCCTAGTCGGCGTGTCTGGCTCGCATTCGGAGGGTCGTGGGTTAGAATTCCGCCTCCACCTAAAATTCTTCCGATTTTTTTTTTAAGGTAAGTGAATTACTTTATAAAGTGAAATCATTTGAGACATGTGGCAACCTTTAATTTCCATTACATGTTGTATTTTAATCACTTCTGTTCCACGCGTGACGCCGCATTTCACATGAGCGCAGTGGGTTGTTTAAGATTCTCGCACGAGGTCATGTGGCTGTGACGTCATGACCCTACCGACCAATTTTCGCGTTCAACGCCGCCGACGCTGGCTTTTTTGCGACACGAGCTTCTTAAAGCTGTTGCTTTAGAATGTCGTCTATTGTAAACTGTTTGTTTGGCACCTAAAAAAAAAAAATGAAGTTTGTTCATCCAGAAAAAAAGTTGTCTATTGTGAACAATTGGCCTCGTTGAGTGCGCTTCTTATTGAGCATCGGTGCACTGCGGTCGTAAACAAGCGTGCTCAACGGGGCCGCGAGAACAAAAAGTATGAATTGCACGAAAATGCCGCTCATATAAAGCAACTTATAAATACACTGATAACGTAGCGGGACAACCAAAATTTTGAAATTTGTTTGAATTAACCAGAAGTATGAAATATATCAGAGTTTGAATTATCGTGAGCCTACTGTAATCCTCGTTGCCTATCTGTTTTGGATTTTTCACTGTTACTTTGTTCTCTCACCACTACCATCTGTTATGCCCTCTGGCCCTGAGGGTAAAATAAATAAATAAATAATAAATCCCAGGCAATCTAGCGCTGTGAACGTAGCATCTGACTGCGCAATATCCCGCATCGCTGCATCCCTCTTGAAGGTCACGTAACGCTCACACGGCATTGGATCGGTTCCGAAGGTGCGCAACGTCTGCTGTGATCCGATGTAAGGTGAAACGGATCAGAGTTGTAAATATTGAAAAGCATGTTCCAGAATTGCTCAAAACTCAAAACGAGTCTCGCAATGCAAATACTGCGCAATAACTTTTTTTCTTTGTGCGTGTGTGTGTGTGTGCGCGTGGGGGGGGAGTGTTTATTTTGTGAAACTTTTTAAGTGCCTACCCAATTTTTTTTTTTTTTTTTAAGAGCACAGCGTGCTTTTAACCTGAATGTTTATTAGGTATATAGCTTAACTGCTTTTATTAAAACCACTGGCTAGGAGCGCAAGCCACTACTCAATTTGAAGGATTCAGTTGTATGCACCAGACATGTACAAATTACTCAAAAAAAGTAGTTAAGTTAAGTTACTAAGTATCGACGCCAAAAGTAATTGGAGTAGAGTAGAAATTACGCATTTGTAATAGTAATTGAGGAAACTACTAACTACTGGAAAAAGTAGCGAGTTACTTTGAAGTTACTTTCAAAGTTACTTTTTTATGTTTGTGGTAGCAAAATGAATTGTAGTTTTGATCCGTGAAAAACCCTGCGAGCCTAAAATAAATTTTAGGGCTTACGTTTTCACCAAAATAGTTTATTTGCTCGCAGAAGCAATTGACTTTCAAAGTTGTTGACAGGAGAGTTTTTCCCTTTTCTTCCTAAAGACATCCTCAGCCAATCTAAAAAGACGTTCCAACGACGGGCTGGATGGAACGGCAGCGTTCAATTTGAAAAAAAGAAAACAACAAACAGGCTGTGCAGGGTCGGGTAAGCGAGTGTTGGCATCTTAGGTGTCCATGACGAAACATGTGATGTGAGGTTTGTCTCGGCTAGAGGGTCTTTTATAAGAAAATCTCCTACTTTTTTCTTCGTCAAGTTGAGATTGTTATGATTGGCCCCTCTTTATTCCGACGTCGTTCTGAGGTTACACTGAGAGAGTGCACCAGACCGGTCCAGGGTTCAAGTCTCGCGCCACGACGATGAAATCATCCGGACGACTGCGCGTTCCGTTGTAGTAATAGTGCTACGCTACTGAAAAAAAAAAAAAAAAAAGTTTTGGTTTAACAGTAGATGAATCGAAGTATACTTCGCCGCTGACGCCGGTCCAACAAAAGGATCTCCCAAGGGTATCCTCGCAATCCTCGCCGCCGCCGTACAATATTCTGACGCGCCTGACACGCCTGACAAATAAATCGTTTTTAACAAAGAGGAGGTCTCCCAGGCATGGATGGTCGGAAGAACGCGAAGGATTACGTGAACAAGCATCGTCGCTCGTACAGTTGAAGCTGGAAGCGGGAACGTGTTCTCATGAACGGATTATCTGTGTCTGGGTTTGTGTGCGGGGGAGTCCGGCTTTGGCAAAAGCGCGTGCACTGACAACGAGGCGACCATGGGAACAGGCGCCCAGCTGCGAGGTCATTTCAGTGGCGCCCCCCGCGGAACCCCCAAACCGCTTGAGGCAGAACTCAATAAAGGCAGACAACATGAAAACAACAACCACCCTCGGAGAGTCCCCGTCTTTCACGGTTGCAGCTGGAGGCGCGACGTCTGCGTGCATTACCGGGTTAGGTCAATACCCGACCAAGGCTTATTAGGCATCTCTCTTTGCGTTCGTGCGCGCCGGGGTTATGTTCTGGCTGCTTGTCACCACCTTGGCCCAAGGATGCCTGTGATGCAGTTTTTACGTCTGTCGGGTATAAGTGCGTGGGAACGGAATGTGAGGGGGCCTCTTGTTCGGGAATGCCACTTCATCTGCCTGCGTCTTGTTTATTTCTGCGCTCAAACTTGCGTGACGAGAAAAATTAGCACTATATTTCGAAAGTAGTTAGTAATTTGAGTAGAAGTTACCTGGAAAACGTAGTTAAATTAAACTACTAATTACCCAAATAAAGTTGTAATTAAAAGTTACCAAGTTACTCCGAAAAGTAGTTAAACTACAGTAGTTTGAGTAGAGTAGTTGAACTACGTCCAAGTCTGGTATGCACCTATTCATCTACTTGTTTTCACCTCGATAACTTTAGTGCATAATACACTTGAGTTGTCAGTCAGTGCTGCGTGAGTGTTCTTCCTGTGTATGCGTGAAATTACTTTTAAGGGTGTCTGATCTTGTGCGCTGTGAAGCAGTATCATCTTTAGTAAGAAAAGTCTGGCTCCTCGCGGAGAATTACTAATTTCTCCTTTACGTGCAGAATCAAGATATATGTAGATGCACTTTGGATTAGATACATGTTATCTTATCAAGACGTACATGCTTCAGATGCCAAAAGCATCGCTTATTCCTCCAACAACCAAATCTTGGTAACAACCCCTTCGCGCAGTCAACCAACAAGACGCGAAACTCGTTTTTCCTAGAGGTGACAACGACCATAGTACTTACTATCCGGTCTATCATACACTGCCTGAAAAAAATCTGGTCAATAGCCCATACCTTGTTGAAAGGCATACACAAACAGCTATGGTCTGTTGCAGGTTAAGAATTGCAGGGCCACAAAGCTCTCTGCTCGCCATGACCCAACTGCTCTCCGGTGTTCACCCCGCTAAAACGGAAAGGGTCAAGGGCTCTGCGAGAGGAGTTCCTGCAATTCTTAATTAACCTGCGACAGACTATGTAGAGCGCAAGTTCGTCTGCTTCTCTTGCAGGGGTTATGGTGACGTCAGAACGCCGAGCCCTGATTGGAGGATGGTGAGTAGACCTCAGGGCAACTTGCTCTGATGTCTACCCACTATCCTTTAACCAGAGCCAATCGAAGCTCGGCGTTCTGACGTCACCACAACCCCTGCAAATGAAGCAGACAAAATTGCGCTCTACATAGCAGGCAACCTGGCCAGTCTACGAGATGCAGTGTACGAGAATTACCGAGACGCTGGAGGGAGCAGCCAGCAGTGAGGCTGGGCGGTGGGGAAGGTCGGTGCCGTGGCGGCGCTGTGCACGGAAGTGGGCGGGTAGCCTCGTCGTGGCTGACCCTTGCCGCTGGGGGACGGCAGCACCGCTGGCTGTTGGGCAAGCAGGGCCGACGGACCACCTACTGTGCACGGTAGCGCCACCTGCGACATGCCGTTATGAGACAACGCATATGAGGCTCATGATACGTTTGCAGCGCGACAATTCATACGCCAACAATTATAACATGACCCCACGACTTGACGCCGTGATATCAACGTGTCCCGTGACTTGATGTCAATTTCCTCGCTAAATTTAGAGGAAAAATTGACGTCACAGTGTCTAGTAATTAATGTGGTTACACAATATCATCACAGTGTGAAGTTGCGCTGTCACATGATATCAATTTCCCCGCTAAATTTAGCGGGTAAATGGACGAACAAATTTCTGGAATTACATTTAAAAACCTTTTCGTGCCTTCCAAATAAATCGCTGAGCCTCACCGCTTCGCACAAGTGCGCTGGGAGCACCGGCTAATGCAGGGGAGCATTTCAGTTAGCTTGACGGGCTCAAAAATTTTGCCCACCATTATTGGTTAGATTATTTGGTTATGACTATAGATAGACCCCTAATTTTAGATAAGAGTTCAGAAAATAAGTAGATGAGGATTTGAATAAAAGGTCCTCATGAAAAAGATTGCTGTGAACAGAGTTAACTCCCGTCTCATCTACAGGCCCCCAAAAGTATTATTAATTGTTACGCCTTCCTAGATCACTTTTTAAATGTTCTATAGGGTTCTACTGTAGATTACTGTTTATATATAAAGCACTCGCAAAAAGCTTTAAAGCTTCTGCATGTCTGTTTTAGAGACATTTCTCACTTTTTAGGTTCCTCCCGGCTTCAAAATGGCTGACTTCGGCCAATCAGAACGCTCGAGGGACTTAATTCTCTGATTCGAGCGGCTACCACTAAATGAGGTGGTCTGGCCATACTCATCCTCGGCGCCAACTACATTTTGCCGCATTGTCAAGGCTAGTCTAGGCTCCACAGTGCTCCAACTCTGTCAAAGCTAGCTGCACGACTGCATGCAAATGAGACGCACGACGAAGCCACACACGGCGCAATTTACTTATAAAAGACACCACATGCAACGACGTACTGCTTGCAACGATCAGCTTCTAGAGACTGGAAACGATCAGTTTCCAGTCCAGACAGCGATGATCGGTTTTAACGATCGAAGTTTCAGGTTTTCTTGTTATCGCTATAAGTGGATCACCCTTGCGGCAATGCGGGGCTGCGGCACTGCGGAATCTATGCTAGCCTCGACAATGCAGTATGAAACGTTTAAAGCCATGTATAGTCGCGCCAGTTTGGAGCTGCAGACTATGGCACCTGGAACACTACTTCGGCTAGTGTATTGACCGCGTCTTAAAAAGGCACCGTAACCAGACACCGACCTGTCTGGGGGGTGCTCCGGACACCAGGGGGTTGTAGTGCACCGCGGCGCCTGCAGGTGGTGCCACCACCACCGTCGCGTTTTGCGCCGCCGCAGAGCGCCTGGCCCTCCGCAGCTCCTTGCTACGCACGTAGCACTGGAGCAGGAGCAGCGACACGTTGACGCCGATGAGCAGCACCCCAATGTAGACAAACACCAGGAGGTCCCCACCACGGCCCGCGTCGCCGACGTTGGCAGACGCACCCGCCACGTCGACGCTCGCGGCGGCGGCGGCGGAAGATTCGAGGTCGTCTGGCGCGCCGGTCTGGATGGCGCCGGCTATGACCAGCGCTATGCCCGTCAAGATGGCAGAGACGTAGAACACCTGGATAGATCATGCGTGCCTCTTGTCAGAATGAAGGGAAAAAAAAAGAAGTTATTGCATTGTGCGTATGTTTAAGATACCTTAAGACAGCGGGGTGCTAGTGAGCCCCAATGGCATCTGGTGTCTCCGCTGCGAAGGAGACATTTAGCCAGTGCTTGTGTACCGCTAGCCTAGGGCCTTTAAAGCACGCGTCATGCAGTATAGTGGTTACACAGCCATACGGCGGTGAAATGCTTTACAAGACTGAAACGAGCAGGGGTGGGGATTAAGCCCAGGATCTTCAAGTTCTGCCGGGTGAGCTTCCCCTCCACGGGCTCCGAGCTGGTGTGCGTTACCCCTTTGGGCGCCACGCCCGAATACTCTCGGGGTTGTTCCCATGTGGTTTCAGTTTCGGTTTGCTTCCTACACCTTGCAACTGGGCTGTCATTTCTTTTACGTGTAGCAGCATGCAAGGTCGAGCTAGTGATGAAAGCGGCTTTGACCTTTTGTAGTTCTGTAGCGGGAAAATGGTGTTTTGGTCCAGCCACTGACGCATTCGGAGCAGCTGCCAACATCTGTTAGCACATTGCTTGGAAATGAAAAGGCGATCGCGTCGCTAAATGAGTTCATATTTGGTAATGATTGAGGGTTCTTCTTTGATACTGGAGCATATTACTTATTACCTTTTTCTTAGAAAAATAGATAGGGTGTAAAAGGAACACCGAGCCTACCATAGGATACCGTGCAACTGCCCATTTCACATTAGGTGCCCATTCCCAAATCTGTAAGATCTGAGAAAATATGCACAGTACATTTATGTGTAAAATTGATGACCGGACAAGCGCATATCCCTTATTTTTTTGCGATTATCTCTAAAGTTTGAGTGAGCACTGGCCCGGTTTTTTACGGCACTTTTTAGAAATAAGCCTCTGGTCGCAGTAAAAGTTCCATTTACAATTAGTAAAAAAAAAAGAAGGGGGATCATTGCAAAACATTTTAGTTGGGATAAAGCCTCTCTCCCCTTTGACTTTTACACCCGGTAGTTAATTTAGCCTGTAAAAATAATTTCTGCAAACTGCCAGCAAAGAAGCAGCATACCAGTGACTGCGAAATTATTATTAACTGAAACATGACTGTCTGGTAAAGTTTGACACGCACACTCTGGTGAGAGGCGGTGAAAATGAGGCACAAAGGCATGCGGCAGACATGATAACCAAGCGATCTCATCAGGAGTACAAGGCCCTGGTTCTAGGCTTATCACAGTAGTCGCCATCCAACGATTATGCAATGTTTTCTCGCGACTTTTAGCTCCTGACATCGCCGACGTCGCCTGGAAATTAGACGATATCGGCGATCAACCCGCCGGCGCATAAACCGGCCAGCATGGCTGACGAGCAATCTCCATGCTTCGTCTCATCCTTTATCAAAGCGCAGCCGACATTACGAGCCAATGGGACCAACCAGACAGCGTCAAAGCGCGACATCATGCCATTCGTCCATCTTCCTGTACGTGTTCTTTCATCAACTAAATCAAGTGCAGCAAATGTTCCGTGACTCCTGCCTGTAGTATGTGTTCGTGGCTGTATGTGTTCGAGCTTTCGATTGTGCTCTGACCTAAATGAAACAAACTATATGGTGAGTGGACACACTGTGAAATACATATTTGTACCATTTTCCCTTCCTCCTACTTCTCTGAACGCCAGAGTCAACCACTAATAAAATATTTTTATTCTTTGCTTCGCTTAAGCTATGCATTACTAAACAACTCGGCATTTGACGACTGCAAAAACGAGGAACTTAGAGTTACCAATAAACACTGGCCGAGCGAGGCCACTCGAAACATTAACCTCAATGTGCGAGGTTGAGGTGCCACTGTGCAGTACTGCGTCTCGAAAAGTACAATGCGAGAAATATATGCCACAGGTTGGAGGCATGCAGACATTGATTAACTATTTACCCATAAAATAATGTCTTTGATAAATAAACATTCTTGACAAAGTACGTTACACCGTGATTACCGAGACCAAGATTTGCGTTCGGCATGCGGGAACTATGGCGCCGCGACTGTCACTTCCAATCCGAGTGAGCTCGTCGGTCGAGGCGCCGAGTTCCGCCGGCATCTGCTAGTCGTAGCAACGGCTGTCCCGTCTTTTCTCTGTCTTTTGGAAATCCACCGGTTCTTTACAAACAATGACTTGGCCTTCGAAAAAGGGGAGACAAAACATTTTGGAGGCTACGCCATTTTTGTCGACCGACAAGCGCTGGAAAGGTGTATAGATGTGCACCAAATGTTCCACAGTCTGTTTTTCTATGCCACGTTCGGTCCAAAAAGAGGCTGCATGTAATTGTGCCCGGAACATGTCTTTGACAGTTGCGTTCGGCCTCCCTATACTGCTTGTGAAAAAAAAGTGGTCCCAAAGTCGCAACAAAGGGAGTAAAAAAAGCCAGCACGTTTTGCTGTCGCGATCCCAGAGGTCGATCATGGATTTTCCAGCAAAAAAGAAAAGCAAACACCAGAGTCAGTGGCGGTGGTAAGACGGATGTCTGCCGCATTTGCCTCTGCCGCCACGCCACTGCCAGGATTGCGACGGGCAACAGCACACGTGACATTATCAGACTGAAATCGAGGGACCACTTTTGAGGACATAGTAAACACACTGGTTGGAGACGTACTCCCGGACGGCGGCTGCAGCAACAGCACAATGCGAGTGATCTCCGATTCGGCTGGACGCTTCAATTTGGCTAGACCCCCATCGGGCTAGAACCTCCAATTCGGCTGGTTGTTTCAATTAGGCCAAATCCCCTATTCAGCTGGGCTTTTCAATTTGGCTAGATCCCCAATTCGGCTGGGATCTCAGATTCGGCAGGACGCTTCAATTCGGCTTGATCCCCGATTCGGCTGGATGCTTCAGTTTGCGTCATGGGACGGAAACTGAGAGACCACGAATGAGGACGCGGGAAACGTATCATTTGGAGATGCATCCCAGGCACCCTATCCAAAAGAAGACATGTGCAAACGGGCCCACCTGCTGGAAGTAGTGGCAGACCTCGTGGGCGTTGCAGGTGACCGTCGACGACACGGCGGACGCGGTCCCCGAGGCCGCGGACTGCGTCCTCCGCTGTTGATGATGGCTGCCGTCCCCTCCTCCGCTGCCCCCTCCCGCAAGAGGCAGGAGGGCCTCCGTGCCCACCCCGCCACGGTGGGGCCGGGGCACGAAGGGGGGCACCCTCGCCGACCCCAAGGTGACCGCCCCGGAGTGCGAGCCACCCTGGTAGCAGGGGTGGCTCTGCTGCGAGGAGGGCGGCGGGGTGCAGCTTCCGCACCGACCGTCATTGCCCACGTCGAAGAGCAGCGACGACATTCTGCGACGGGGGGGTCGAACGGGTTATCGTCGGGAAAAAAAAGAACCTGTCCAAGTAAAAATCATTTTACCAACAGCTGGGTTATAGAACTGGTCCCAGGAGAAGCCCTTTGATGTGTCTGTATTTGTCTTATAGTACACGGCGTCCCCCAAAAAAATTTACAGGGTTTTCTCACCACGAGATAAACTAAAACTCTCCAAACGCTCATTCTCCGCCCAAGGGTAGTGCTAAAGGTCCAAACCACATGCTAAACTTTCAGCACGAACTGATATCTTATTAAAAAGTCAAAAGTTATGAATTTTTAAAAAATTCAATAAAAAAATGGGGCTCATTTTTGCCTGTTTTTGGTTTCTGGCGCCACAGAGCTCCATGTATTTGAGAGCTCCGTCGGCCGCCATTTTCCCGTTGAAATTTTCAGAGAATCACTCGTAATTCATCTGAATAAGGCATTGGAACGGGCTGAAACTTTGGCATCTGGTTCGGACACACCTTGTATATAGTGTCCAATGTGCCGGTACACAAGGCCCATGCCCCAAGCAACCCTTACAAGCAAATGGCGATGGAGCACTCATTCACGATACATGTCCTGTTTGCGCAACAACAGTTGTTTATACTTGTAAGAACTCCAAGTGGCTATTTTACCGAGGGTCTTTAGTCCCATTTGGATCCAGCCAGGAATAAGGCAATCCAGCTGAATCCAGCTAGATCATCTACATATACCAGCTGGAAATGAACTGAGTTTCATCTTGGGAGTGCAACTGAGCCAGCTAGAGCCATCTTTGCCTGTGGCATGTAAAAATGAAAGAGCTAGGTGCTCTGCTCAGCCACTGGATTTGGCTAAAGAATGTAGCACGCACCAGGAACAGTACTGGACATTTCCCCGCCCCATTCCTTAAAGGGGCACTGACACATCAAAATCATATTTTTTTTATTATCCGAAACGATTGAAATTGATGCCAGGACATTACCCTCAAAATTCGAAACTTGGGAATTCAGTATTTCTGAATGAAAAAAAAAACAATTTTCAAATGCCGAATTTGAAGTTCCCGCGTGATCCGCGGCAGTGCAGTGAGTCAAATTTTGCGGTCTCTTGCGACTCGACTTTCTTTGGGATCTCCGTTGCCACCCCAATCCGAAGCGAGGAGGAGGTGACCAGGCGGGATAGAAGGGCGCCGGCACGGAAAAAAAAAACGGTTTCTTCCCCGACTCGCCGATAAGCCTCTGCTCGAGCGCCGCCAAGTTTTCCGATGGAGAATACAAATCCAGGAAGCCACATCACACCGAAATCTGATTTTTGGTATTTCAAAAAGAGGGCCGTAGTGCGTTTGCAATTGCGTTAAAAAACATGTTTCACGATTGCCGTTATTAAATGTTATAGAAATGTCGCCTACAAACCTTCTAAATTTTCTGATTTTTGACGTCACCAATCAAAAGAAGCAAGGAGGTGAGCACGGGAAATATAAACAACAAAAATAAAAAGGCACGCGTGCGCGCGTAAATTTTTTTTCGCGATGCGTCTTTTTTTTTTTTTCATGTTTATGACTATAATTTGCATAGTTTTAGACAATAAAAAATAATACGACCTTTGCGGTGTCAGTGCCCCTTTAAAGTTACTTTATAACAAGATGCTATTGGGGCAACAACTGAAAGACATTGCTCGCAGACGCCAAGCGCCAACGTTTTTTCTGGTGAGGGTTTTAGGAAGAATGTGGAACTCCATATAGGAAACAAATAAATTGGAGTATTATGTTTTTCTTAAAAATGTGCTTTGTCAGGTTTCTGTTTTTATTGCTACTCATACAAAGGAAATACTGGGGCTTTCCATTGCAAAGCCATCGACTGAAACTATTAGTGGTGCCCTTAGGTGCCCCTTGGGGAAGAAGCCCGACAGGGTTTGAACCCGACATCTGGAGCTGTGTTGATACTTATAAAACACAGAAGTCAGTGTCAAGGAACTTTTCGTGTCACTTTAGTGGAACTCTAGGTCGTTAGAGCTCGCTGCTTATGGCGTAATATGCCGATGGTAGTTCACTGCCTCTGGAGAGCAAATCGGATTAAGGACGAAGGTCTTCTGACTGTTGGTGTGGCCCAAAATAAGTTGCTTGTGTCGGGTTCTCACAGATTCATGCATGCACTATAAGCACTCAACACTTTTCTAACTATTGATCTATCAGCGTTGATGGAGTGCTTAGGTTTTCCTACTCTGAAACATGGTTGAAGTGAGGTTGCAAGGTTTTGAAGTTGCACTTTCCTTCCATACTCATACACTTTCCTCTCTCTCCAATGCCTCTGATGAGTCTTCACACCTCTCTCCCTTGCAAAACTTTGCCACCATTGAATTCCCTAAAACAGTGATTTACAGCTGCCCTGAAGGTGCATAATCGAAAACTTTGAAAAACAACGAGCAGTGATGCAGTAGGGGGATGGTGGCTATTGAAGGCCAACATACAACCTCAGTTTTCTGCAGGGAAGATAATCCTCTCAGCCCTCCCCTCTCCTAAGCTGTTAGGGGAGCAAAGTTGGGGCAAGGTAAAGAGTAGAGAGGGTATGGGAAAGGAGGAGGCAGGCAAAAGTGGAAAGCGTGAGTGTATGTTGGCCTTTTATAGAATGATTTCTGCATGGCTTCGTGAGGCATAATAAGTCTAGTGTCATATGATTCACAGCACCTCTTAACTTTCTTCTATTGCAGGTTGAGGTGATGCAACATTTAGGGGTGGGCCCAAGCACACTAATGCTCCTTCTGTAACGACATAATGGAATAGAAACAGGTAGTATCTTTTGGGGGCTCACAAGGTTTTAAAATACGGAGTCATGGGGTTTAGAGAAGCTCGTTTTAGCGAACGCCGTTTTACCGACCCCAGTTTATCGAATCCCTTTGTAGAGAACCCAGTTTAGAGAAAATGGCGATGAGCTTCCTTTTAGGGAATTCGGCCGCCGCGAAGCGGCGTGTACGGGTAAATCAGGTGAGTTAACAATTTTGTAATGAGCCGCCGTAGACTGCCGCTGCGAAGCAGCGGAAGCGCAGCAGGGGGCTTGGGTTAACACGCGCACCAGTGATGCACGCGCGAAGTAGGAAAGCCGTTTTTAAATATTGTTCCCTTTTCGATAAACGGCGTTTCTCTAAACTGAGTCTCTTCTTTCTCTAAACCGTGCTTCGATAAAACGAGCCCGTTCTCTAAAACGTGCTTCGATGAAATGGCATTCGATCAACTGTAGTAAACCCTTTAAAATATTACAATGCAGAGAGTAAGTCGTCTGCTTCTTGCGCAGGAGTTGCAGTTAGGTCAGAACGATGCTGATTGGCTATGATTGAAAAGATAGTGGGTAGACCTGAATACTAGATGCCTTAAGGTCTACCCACTATTTTTTTTTTTTTTATCGACCAATAAAAGCTTGGCATTCTGATATCATTGCAACCCCTGTGCAAGAAGCAGACGAACTTGAAATCCGCATAGCCACTTGTTTTTGTGAGACATTGAGTTACATATTTTTTTTATTGGAAAGGTAATATTCTCTCAAAGTTATGCCAACTTCTGGCAGATCTGAAAAATACTGTGGATTGGCGTATGTCGAAGACAGTGCAGAGCTTTCACATGTGCATTTTGTTAGAACCGATACTCCACTACACGAGCTACAGAGCATGATAAAACAGAATCTGTGGTCATTCTAATTATTGTGTTCACCACTAAAGTCTAAACAATATACTTTTGCATCTCGCGTAGTTTTTGTTATATAGGAAAACAAAACTTAGTTTTCAACTGGCAAAACCTTACCGACAGCTTAACCAAACTCTGCACAATTTAGTAAAAATCCTGAACTATAAAGCTTCCATAATCAAAAAGAAAAAAAAAATTGAAGCACACACCCGTTAAAAAAAAAAAAAAAGATTAGCGCATTTTTTTTATTTTGATTTTACCTCCATTTTTCCTCTCCATCCACGTATGCAAAGCATAAACGCAAAAACAGAAACCGAAACAAAAACATAAAGCACCCTCTCTCCTGAGCAAAGCTCGGATATCTCCCCCAGATGGTCGTGGCAAAAACCTGGGGCCCCTGTATATGATCTTCTGCAGGGTTGTTTCTCAGAGAAGGTGCCAAAAATAAATATAATAAACCCGCCGGCTGAAGCGTGAATATAAGGAGAAGAGAAAAATGTAAACAACACCGACCTGTGAGGTGATGCGGGCTAGAGATGGAGATGGCGAGCTTTCCATGCTTGGTGGAAGCTACGGACGGCGTCGGGAGGGTCCTCGTTGTCCATCACTTCTTGCCGCGGTCCAGAGGTTTAGTTACAGGTCATCAGGAAAACGCGAAACCGCCATCGCACGCCGGGAAGAGCTCAAGGCTTCGTATTTTGCTCAGCTTTGGCGAAAGAACCACACGACCACACTACCGCAAAACGGAGGAGCACATCCCGAAGCCGTTTTGGCCACCCCTGCGGTTTCGTCACTTTAATCCGAAAGTTTCGTACTCAACTTATTCAATTGTAAAAAAATGTATTTTATAAAATATACTTTGAAATTGATTTTTATAAAAACTAAACAATTTTTTTGTTGTTTTAAAAAGTTAAATATTACTTTTTACAAGGCTCGTTTCTTGTGTGTACAATGAAGCGGCTTCTCTAAATTTACATACATGGCGTCGCGCGGAAAGATCGGACACCTTGTTTACAAACTTCACAAAGGAGGTGTACCGAAATTGGATAGCTGAGCCTAGCAGTATCAAGTAGCTTGGCGCAGCGGACTTTAAAATAAGCAGCCATGTCGTCAGCCCAAGACGAAGTGGAGCGAGTGTTCAAGAAAGTTTTCGCTTTCCAGAAATCGTCTGCATGGCAGCTCCCCGCAGACCCGAAACGTTGGTGCTCCGAAGCAGACGTCGCCTGGAGTCTGCCAGACTTCAAGCGGCTCAAAACGGAGTTGAACGCCACGAAGAGCCTCTTGAACGACATGGACCCTGCGGCGTGGCGCAAGCACACCACCTGGACCAACCGCGCAGGCAACGTGCTCAACAAAGTCCGGAAAACAGCCAAGCCGGCCCTTTTGACGCAGGCGTGGTGCAAGTTCTACGAACTGCTCCACGAGTTTCAGCTAGCAGACGCCGACCCACTGCGTTCGTTTCATCTCTGCGAAGCACCCGGCGCGTTCGTCACCGCTCTACAACACTACTTACTCTCCGAAACCGGCTCAAAGGACACCTGGACGTGGTATGCCAACAGCTTAAACCCCTACTACGAAGGCAACTGCTCAAAGTCGACGGTAGCAGACGACAGACTCATGTTTGGCACGCTGGAGCGATGGTACTTCGGGCAGGACCAAACCGGTGACGTCATGTCGCCTGAATTCAAGATTGAGGAATTTTTGGAGGGGAAGGAAAAATTCCACCTGGTGACGGCAGATGGCAGCGTCGATTGCCAAGATGATCCAGCCGAGCAGGAGTCCACTGTAGCAGCTCTCCATGGCGCAGAAATTGCAGCCGCCTTCAAACTGCTTGCAGACGGTGGCCATTTCGTACTCAAGATGTTCACCTTCTTTGAAAGCTTTTCAGTAAGCCTTCTATACCTCCTCAACTGTCTCTTTGAGAAGGTTGCGGTGAAGAAGCCAGCTTGTAGCAAACCTGGAAATTCCGAGGTGTATGTCGTTTGCAGAGGATTCCAGAAGCATTTGATTACAGAAGTCAACCTGACTGTGCTGACCGGAGAATCTTCAGCAACGAAGAAGGCAGCCTTCTGCTTCAAGGATGTCGAGGACCTCCCCAAGGACTTTCTTGGGCAAGTTGATAAGTGTGTACGGTTCTTCAAGGACCTTCAAGAGGAGGTCATCAATGAGAACATTCGCTGGTTTCGTATCGACATGAATCAGGAAGCCTGCTCAAGGCTGCAGCACATCAAGGAAGCGGTTGCCTTCACCTACGTGAAAAAGTGCCGCTGCAGGCGTGTCGACGACCCCACAACAGCGTTGCTGTTCGAGGACCAAACGACGGTGAAGTCCGGTGGATGGAATGTGGCCAGTTTTGCGGAGCGCTCCGGTCGGAAAGACTGGTGGAAGGATCGGATCTCTGACCTCCGCAAGATCTTAGCAGCATCATCCGCTCCACAGGACTACCTCAACGGATCGTCACCTTTCTTCCGGACTGCCACACTGGATCGGACCGAAGCTTCGAAGGCATCCGCAGATTGGATCCAGACTGGTCGGAACTACGGCTCTTTTCCCGGATTGTCCAAGTTCTGTTCCCGCCATCTGCTTGACCTGGCTCTCATGCTTGGGCTGCAGGAGCAGGCGGACTGGCCGAAAGAGTCTGATAAGATCGAACCAAAGATGGGCAAGACAGACTCGGCGGACTCAGTGCCCGACATGGATACGACGGACAAGACATCAGGTCTGCCGCAGCAGAAGCCGCCAGTCATCTTCCTGGACTCCCGAGACAGCAAAAAAGCAGCAGAATCCGTCCTTCGAGAACTTCTTCAGCTGGAGCCTGGTGCATCACTTCGGCTGAGGTTTGCGGAGACGCTCGGCCGCTTCTCTGTGGGACTACTGTACCTGGTCAGCTCACTCTTCACTACAACGACCGTGACGGAACTGTCCGCAGACAGCGTCGCAAGATGGCCAGTGTGGACTCTCGATGGGTTGCTGGGGGAGAAGGCTGATCCGGTGCTGAAACACCTCGAAAGCATCGCCTCAATGGAGTGCAAGGAGGACACGATCGTGCTCGAGGTGGCTCCACTCCGTACGCTCTGCTGGAGCGGGTTGGGACGGTTTGCGCGGTCGGTGAACGATGCCGTCGTCCACCGGTACGCTTCGGTCGTTCTGGATGCGGCGGAGAAAGAGAGAAGTGCAAAATTTGTCGAAGAGGCATGAACACTGTCGCACCGTCTCGTCCAGAGGTTTTTTAAGTAAAGGGTCTTACTGAAAGCAAAACGCTAGGAAGTTTTTCGTAGCACATAAATCGACCACCCATTGAAGAGTGTCGAAACTTTGCCAAAACTAGTAGAATCGGCAAGGGTGGAAGTTCCAGTCGGCTAGGTTACCAAAGTATGAAGCAACTTTTCAAAGAATTTGAGTTGCGGGGAAACATTCTTCGTCGGTAGTGAATGTAGGTTGGCCGTCTGACATCGCGGCCTATATATAGTACTTAAGTAATGTAAAAGATTTATTTCTAAGACTGGAACACTGAAAAGTATATTTTAGATTTATAGAAAACGCTGTGCCGCCCCAACACTGAAGTAAAAGTAAGCGACCGCGCTTCGAGGAGAAAACTATGTAACCGAAGGCAGGTACGACAGACGGTGCGGCGATCTTTCCCTTCTCATCTCCCGAAGGCCATAAATAACAAGTTCTTGGTTTCGTGACCAACGCTGCCAATCTGCCACGTTCAGTTTGTTATGGTAGAACGACACGGTTGGTGGCGGCCGAGATCTACTTTATCAACGACATACGTGCAATGCAAAAAGCACGCTTGATGATAGGAATGCCATCCACATCGGCTGCGCACTGCTCGTGCCAGAGCTCTGTTGGCCGGTTGCACGAGCGTCCTGTGCGTTGCAATGACCGAGGCCGAGAGGAGCCATGCAGCTTAAATGCCTCAACGTTACAGAGCAGAGGTGGACGACGTCTTCTTTGACGGCATCCTGAACATGGAAGCACGCCAACAGGCATGCTTCCATGTTTGAACTCGGTCAATGAGAAGTGGTGTGCTTGCTTCTTAAAGGGCTTGCAGCAGAATATCATTTGGTTGAAAACATCTCTCTTTTCCCCTCAGCTGCACGCCAGCCAATTGCGGTGTTGCGCGACATTGTGATTGGCAGATGCCATTTTCCCCCTCGGTCATTCTTTCCCACAGCCGCACGCCGCCATTTTTAACCAAATGCGCCGAACAATGAAGATCCTCTTGAACACAGGGTCCTCACTGCTGAATGGTCTCGACCAGGATGCTCTCGATTATTGTGGCAGAATGCAAGAGCATGCAAGCTGGCACAGACTTAGTTGGACTTCGGCAGTTTCTTGCCGCTTGGCGGCTTGCGTTGCCTGCCATGTGTAGAGTCGCGGTAAAAGCCTTTTCCACAGCAGGATGGCATCTGGGAGCTCTGTGAAGAGCTCCTCTACCAAGGGCCATTGTACAAGTGTGGATGTTTTGGCGGGGCTACAATACGAAGTAGCTAAAAAGGTTGTAGATGAAGTGCTGATGTTTGAGCAGCCTCTCGTCTCTGTTGTAAAGATAGGGTGGAGGTACTGCATCTCATGCGAGTCCGTTGTTTACAGGGAATTGGTGTTGTGTCAGGTTGCATAGGACGGTGTAGGTCAGTGTTGCGGAGTTGCCAACCCGGAGTTGGAATGATTCCAGAATCATTCCGCATTTTCGCGACCCCGGAATGGAATGGGAATGGAATGGCGGCAACGTTCAGGGAAACGGAATGGGAATGGAATTAAATGCCTTTTGCCCGGAATGGAATGGAATTAGATGCCTTTTGCCCGGAATGGAATAGAATGGGCCCAGTACTTTGTATTTTTTTTAATCGTTTATTTTTTATTATTTTTTTTTATGTTTAGCTATACCGAGTTAGTCAGCTAGTCAGTTGTTCAGAAATAAAATGAGTGGGAAACTGCAAACCCGCTTGGAGCCCTAGCAGACTTGTACGCAAAAAAATGCAATAGAAAAAACAAGCGTCAAAGCAAAGAACAAAGGGGGGAGGGGAAGGGGGACAGCGGTGGCGCCTTTTACCAGTCAAGTTCAACATGAATGCGTCTGCGCCTGTTGCACGGCTCAAGGGTACGTCCTCAGTAGACGTGAACCTGGTCGCATCCACAGAGACCTGTGGACGCGACCAGGAAGAATGCCAGACGTGGCCTCGCCTCGCTGTGCAGACCTAGACTTCGTACTCCTGCGACTCGTCTCGAGCGCGCTGTTTCTCGGAGAGCTCACACCTGTGCCGGCCATCTCCGGTCGCAATCCACAGGTCTCTGTTTGGATGATTCTCGGCGAAACTTGAGGACTGCCATTCATGCGTTGGAGGCGGAAGGTCGGCAGGTAGGATCGTCACAACAGGGATGCCACCGTGTCGATTTTTCAACCGTAACAGAAGATAAGACATGTGCGCTCCAGGATGCTTCGGGTGGTTCACCCTATTCTCGAAAATTCCAAATTCAACTGCCTGCATGGTCTTCAACAAGGTAACCTACTACGAAATTATGTATTCTCTTTTCATACAGCAGCGTGGGTACAATTTCATGTTCAAGGCAACACTTACAGATACCAGAATACTTGTTCATTCCGCCGTGAATTCATGTGATCAGTGTTATTGACAGGGGCACCCTTATTGGCCAAGGAAGTAATGATGTTTTGAACAAGGAGACGCCAGGCTCTTTAAATCGACCGGAAAATTCGGTTTCTTAACCTATTGGGCAGGAGATCAAACTATAGGGGGCGCTCTGACCCATTTGTTTTCCCCACGCTCGGTGTTTACTCAACACAAGGCCTGTGCACATGTAAACAGGCCTTATGGGCATGTCCATGTCATCTTCTACAATAGAGTGCGGGGCACAGTTTAATGTAAAAAATACTAACAATCGACGGAGCGACGTTAAGTGCCGGATCTATCCTCAGAGAATGCGAGCTTGACCCACTTCGGCTATTGTGCTGAGCTGGGACTGTGCATGCTGCATTGTTCATGCTGGCCGTAGTGGAAACAAAACAGCCCCTCCTCCCCCTCACCGGAGAACACGAACTCCAGCCGAACGCTGACGCCGCGTTCGGTTATGTCGGCCGAGCGCCGAGTCATTGTATTTGTTGTCCCCATCCGTGTAGTTGTAAAGTTAACCGCTTGGGGCGTCACGGTCTGTCCTCCTCCCCAATCGCGCTACGACTTTGTGCAGCGATGCCCACAGATGGTGCATTTTTTTTGTGAAATTTGCATAGAGCGAACTTACCTGAGGAAAAAGTAAAGAAAGAAAAAGGCTTAGCTCCTATGGGAACACAGCGACGCCACCGGTCTGCAAACAACACGGCGCCCTTTCGCACGGGAGACAAGAGATGGCGCAAGCGGTCGCGACGCCAACTGCCGCCAACAAACGAGCATACGATGCCGAGAGCCGGCCCTTTTGCAGACAAGGAACTGCAGTTCCTTGCTGTTACCGCGCCTGTCTTTTTTGTTTCTGCGACTGTCGCCGCCTGCGGAACGCGCGCCGCTTTTGAGTCGAAAAGATTGTCTGCTAAAAAGGCCCGCTCTCGGCGCTGTATGCTCGTTCGTTGGCGGCGTTTGTTGCGCCATCTCTTGTCTCCCATGCGAAACGGTGCCGTGTTGTTTGCAGACTGGTGGCGTCGCTGCGTTTCCATAGGAGCTAAGCCTTTTTCTTTCTTTACTTTTTCCTCAGGTAAGTTCGTTCTTCGCAAATTTTACAAAAAAAAATGCACCATCTGTGGGCAACGCCGCACAAAGTCATAGCGCGATAGGCCTCCTGCGCTGAAGCTTTGAACAAACTGTAGCGCCCTCATTTTGGGTAGTACAAGCTGACCTGATTAAGTCTCGCACTACTTATGGCACGTTGGTCGAGCTTTTTTAATTCTGTCTGGTGCTGAAGAACGGAAAAACACCTTTGGACGCCAGAAATCGGCCAGACTCAACGCCGCAAGACAATCAAAAGTGCCAAACTCATGACACCACCGCTAGGGTACGCGTCTCTTATCTCTGGGTGGTGACGTCAAAACACCTCTGATGCGACGCTTTAATTTTTCTTTTTCTTTGTCATGTTTACTTTGGAAAGCATGGAACGGTAGTTCTTGGCTCACGCTCTTAGCGTCTTAGCTTTGACGGCGTTAGAATTTTTGTTTCTTTATATTTTCATCGTGATCTCGCGCTCGGCACCAGAACAGGCACGCTTCTGCATGCGTGACAGTTTGAGACGCTAAAGTTTGTACTACCCAAAACAAGGCCTAACAAGTCCCTTTTCGCAGCACCCCCTGGGGAACGCAGGAGGCCCATAGGTTAAGAAACCCAATTTTCCGGCCATTTAAAGAGCCTGGTGTCTCCTTGATTCACCCTGTATTTGAGTATCAGTATTATAGCTACTATTTTGATCTATCCCAGTATTTGTATTTTCAAATACATTTTTGACTATTTCTGCCCAACCCTGCAACGCAATGCAGCTGTCAAGTGCCAATTTTTACGTTTAGGAATTAGAGGAATGGAATGGAACGATTCAGCCATTCCAGCAGTGGGAATGGGCTTAGTGTCCCCATTCCTAGGAGTTGAAAGGAATTGAATTATCGAAAACTCTAATTCCTTGGAATGGAATTGGAATGGAATGGGGGTGCCCATTCCGCAACACTGGTGTAGGTTTGCCCGACAAGCTCTTGGGAAGGGCTGGAAGGAAAGAGGGGGGGTGGGGAGCGCTACACTGGACAACTAGGTATGCAGAGGTAGCAAAGGCAAGAGGCCCCTCCAGAGCAGGGTGCTGAGCCCAACAATAAAACCAAAGGACAGAAGCCACAATGGCAGAAGATTTTGCCAATCTGCCTCGTGACCTTGGTGACAGTGCAGGAGGACACAATGAAAGCGACGGACAATCCTGTTCCTCTTGCATACTTTCTTTACAAGCTGTTCAAATTTGTATGAATACTTCATCCAAAATCTTCTGCACGGTCATAAAAAAAAATGGTTTTGAAGAACACGACAGAATACTTTTGTTTGGGGGGTCTTAAAGGGGCGGTGCAACGATATTCAATTGGAATGTTTTTCACTTTACACGAGCTTACTGGCACTAGTGGGACTCAAGGATACTCGCACGCAACGCCACTGACCAAGAAACTCCTTTGTTGCACTGTAATTTCGAGGACAAAACCGAGCGTTTTCATTCAATCTCTCCTTCACAAAACCTGATGACATAGCTGGGCGGTAGCAGTACCGCCCAGTGACGATATTTGAATGCGGCCCATAGATTGGACCCGTGCATTGCGTCGGCACTCGATTTGGGCTCGTGATAATCTATAGCTCGAGAAGCATTCGGGTAGTGTCCTGTGTCCAATCGCTGCAATGACGACAACAGCCGAACCATAACAATGTCTGGAACGCAGCGCATGTCCTGTGCCTTGCCAACCCCAGCGCATGGCTATGATCAACATTGGCGGCATATAATCGGCTCCAGGTCACGTGGCCGCTTGTCCTGGCTGCGAGTTGAGGGGCTGAACTCTGCTTGTTTTTCTTTATTTTTTTTCTGTGACTTCAATTGCGAGTGGTGAAAAACGAATGGGTATTTCACAGGTCATTAACGTCAGGGATCCGCTCTAAACGATATTTCAGCAAAACACAAAACTCGTTGCATCGCCCCTTTAAGGACTCTTGGTGAATTATAAAAAAATATAGTAAAAACTAAGCTTATTAATCTTGAATGGGCTAAAACAGCGCAAAAAAGACGAAAGACCCGTAAAAGGAAACGCAGACACAGCGCTTCCACACATAGACATAGCGTGTTTCCTTTTACCGGTCCTTCATCTTTTTTGCGCTGTTTTAACCCATTCAATATGACCACCAACCAACTCGCCCAACTTTCCACCTTATTAATCTTATAGATCCGGCAAAAACATTGTGCCACCCTAACACCGGAAAGAAGGGCAAACAACAGCGCTATGTTGAGAAAAAAACAACAGGACTGCAAATGCATATAGCTGCCAGAAAAAAAACCAACAGATGCACACTCTTTACTGAACTGACGTAACTGACCTTGCACAGTTGTGATGCAGAAATAAAATCTTAAAACTTGATTGTTGTTTACTCTGGGACATTGGGCAGGTCCCGTCGGTGAGTGACACTAAGAATCGGCCGCCACCACTCTACGCCCGCACCCCTTGCGACACTGAGCAAAGTGTTTGGTTGGACGGTGAGCGACGGCTAGTAATCGGGTATCGACCACCGTTGGTAGAAGACCAAAGATGCAGTCGGCAGAATTTTATGGCCTCCTCGCCTAACCCGGTGGAACAACAAAAAACGGCGCTGTGGCCCCGGTTGGTCTCGGTCCTTCTCGAGCGACCGGAAGGGGTGGCCAGTCAACTCAGGGAGCTAAGAAGGGTTCGGGCTTGACCAGGCTGCCTTCCCTGAAGTCTTCCCGTGTCACCTTGCGCTTCTGCTGTGCCACGGGCTCGAGTGTGAAGCTGGCCGGGTCCAGGAGACTGGTCACGGGACACACGGCACGGTCTTCTTCGGGCTTCTTGGGTGCTGCCGATGCCGGTACGAAGTCTTGCGGCGGGTGGCACGCCAGGCCGGGAGTCCCAAAGCTGCCTCTGCTCGTTGGAATGCCTCTCTTGGCGAGGAACTGTTGCGCGTGGTAGAGGAGGGCGTCGTGGCACAGCTTGAGCTGCTCCTTGTCCTGAAGACAGAACTTGCGTGTCTGGGCGAGCTTAATGGCCGTGCCCAAGAGGTCAGGCAGGCCGCCGCCTGCCGCCACTTCTCTCATGGCCGCCGACAGCAGACAGAAGACGCCGCTCCGTCCAACGCCACCGAGGCAGTGGAGCACCACGGGCCGCGCCTCGTTGCGTTGTGCCTTGTGGAAGCCGTGCACCACCTCGATGAAGCTCAGCAGGTGAGGGATGTTGGTGGGTGTCCCGCTCTGCGGCCAGTCCGCAAACTGCAGGTGGACGACCCCGCGTGACCCCTTCACGTCGTTGTTGACAACCTGAAGCATGCGCTCCACATAGAACTGCCTGTCCTGGACCGACTGGAGGCAGACGGTGATTCCACCGTAGCGGAGTTGCTGGCCCTTGTCCGTGGGCCAGTAGCTGTGGCTCTTGAGCTCGCCGGGGCTCTGGAGGCACACCATTGTCTCCGTCTGCTGCTCCCACACCATGGCCCACAAGTCAGAGCAGGTACCAGGTAATGGAGCCTGGGTCATGATGTAGCTCACGGCGGATGTCGTGAGTCCCTTTACCAGGGAGGCATTGATGTAATCGTCCCGCTGCGATGCCAGCATCACTCGGTTGTGGTCGTAAGGCATAACATCTGGAATGCGGTTCTTCATAGGGTAGCAGCGTGCCACCGAGATGGACAGCTTCCGCGACTCTCTGTCCTGGGCGTCCACATACTCCTTCCACTTCTGCTCCAAGAGTGTTGGGCCGTTGAGCGACTTCTTACTGAGGCCCTCAACGCATTTCTCGAAACGCTCCACCTCAATGGCCAGTTTGTCCAGGCTCAGGGCCTCCTTGGTCTGGGGTCGCTCGGGTGGCCTGGTGTCGCTTGAAGCTGAGGCAGGTGACGTTGCGACCGGAGGCGGTGGCTCAACGGGATGCTCGAGCACAACCTGTGGCTTGAGGTCAACCTTGGTTTCGGGGATCACCTGAGGTTGAAGAACCGGCTGTGACTGAAGACCTCCCATGGGCTCAGGATCCATCTTTGGTTTGGGGCTTGCTTTCGGCTCCAGACCCACTTGTGGCTGGAGGGGTGTGGCCTGGGCACCTGTCTCAGGAGTCGTTGCCAGCAGATCCGTGGGGGGAGGAGCCCAGTTACCCTGCCATGCTTGAGGGGCCCATGCCATCTGTTGGTCACACTGCCATGACTGGTTGGTCACGTGCATAGCCTCCATCGCGCCAGCCAGGCTGTCACCGGATGGCTGGTAAGGCTGGTACACCGGCTGCTGGTACGGAGACTGGTAGGAGGGCTGGTACGACGGCTGATAGGAAGGCTGTCCCGGGGAGCTCTGCGCGTAGGACACGGGTGCCTGGATGCTCGCCGTGCCGGGGTGCTGCCCATAGCCCAGGCCATAGTAAACCGGTGCTGGGGAGGCTGGCACCACGGTCGGTCCAAGCGGGGGCTGCTGGCAGTTCTGGTGTGGGCTCATGACACTCTGACCGTACGCATAAGTAGACATCTGCTGCTCGGGACCGGGCAGCTGGTTGCTTTGGAAAGAGTATGTTAGGGTGGACACCGGGTAGGTCGGCATATTGTAGGCCGTCGAGGGCGTGTACTGCTTCGGCCAGGCACTGGGCTCCGCGGGGGCCCAGGGAACAGTCTGCTCCGAACCAACTGGAGCCGGACGCACACCCATGCTTTTTAAGGCTGCCGCGCTGGGTGGCACAATGTCCGGCCGGTAGGCCGCCATTTTCGCGACAGAGGCTGGTCCCACGACGGATCCCCCTTCCTTTGCTGATCCCACGCGTCCAGCACCTTCGGTCGGCTCCAGGGGGCGTTGCGGCTTGAGAGTCGACCGTAGCCGGGCCAGCAGCCGTCCAATGCCGACTTCAAGCTTGCGGTACAGGTCGAGGCCCTTGCGCGTCTTGGTAGCCAGCTCCTCGTAGGCTTCGAATGACTGCACCAGCGATGCACACATGGCCTGGCGCCTCTTAAGCGTCTCGGAGGCGGCCCTGCGCGTCTCCGCAAAGCGGGCATTGGCTTGTGTCAGGGCATCTAAAACTTTGTCTTGAGCCGCCAAGTTCTGTTCGAGCAGGGCCACGTCCTGGTCGTGCTTCTTCAGCTCCCTCTCGAACAGGGCCTCGAGCTCTTCGCTCGGGTTCCGTGTCACTATTTGCTTAGTGACGTCGTCCTTCTGCAACGCTTCCCGAAGCCGGGTGTGCAGCATGTGGCGCTGCTGCTTCATCTCCTCCACCTTGTTCATCAGGTAGGTCAGCTCCCGCACCACGGCCTCGTTGTTGGGCACGTCCAGCAGCGCCACCGACGGCAGGGCCTTCTCGAGCTCCTCCAGGGGCCCCGAAAGCAGCTTGAGGTTGCTCATGTGCACCGTCAGGCTTTTGCTCAGGCTGGTGTGTGAATCTGCGGCCTGCTCGTGTGCCTCCCGGTACTTGGTGTACTCTGCTGACAGGGGAGCCAGCGGGCCGCTGGCCGGAGCGTGCTCTGCGGCCAGCAGCTGTCCCACTTGCTCCAGTTCCTTATCAACACTGTGGAACAGTTCCTTGAGCTCTTGGATGGCGAGCACGAGGTCGCTGGTGGCCGTGGGGCAGACGCAAAGCTTGGCGCAGCACTGCATCACCTCCTGGGGCACTCCCTGAGGTGCCAGCAGCAGCATCTGACGGTCAAGGTCCAGGGAAGCCAGGAAAGCTTCCAACTGCTCATTGCTGCTCTCCACGCGGCCACCCAGCGTCCGCGACAGCCGGGCCTTGTGCTCGCTGTAAATGGAGGAGGCCTGGTGTGCCTCCAGAGGCACCAGGCGTGCAAAAATGTCGGCCCCGCAGATCTCCGGGTCGGTTGGGCAGAAGCCGATTCCCTTCACCAGGTTGGCTCCCTTGACCTCGGGGAGAGTGTCCAGAGGTGGCACTTTGTCGTGATACACAAACTCGTTCTCTTTCTTGGCCGCCTGGTGCTTCCCGCCAATCACGTCCATGGCGAACGCCAGCGTCTCGTCCAGCTGCTCGTCCTCTATGCCCTTTGCAACGGCTATGGCTTCACTGAGCCGGTGCACGGCCAGCTGGTACCAGGCTTGCCGCTCGCCCATCCTCTGGGTCTCTTCCGCCTGGTTGCCCATGTGGTAGCACGACAAGCTCGTATAGTAAGCCACCTTGAGGTCCAGCGTCCGGCGCCACATCTTCAGCAACTTCGAGCCCACAATGTCCTGGATGCTGCCAGTCTCTGAGCTCATGCTGCCACTGACCAGCAGGGCTGTCTTGCAATACTCAACAACCTGAGCAGCCACCTTGGCGGTGATGGAGGACTTGCGGCCGTCCAGCGTCGACTTCTCCAATATGCACTCCTGTGCTTGTCCAAGGAAGACGGTGCTGAAGAAGAGGAGGAGGTCGTGGGACATGTCACTACCCTTGGGTTGTGGGTAAAGCCCCCTGACCTGCTGCAGGGCCCAGGCGGCACACTGGAAGTGCGTGCAGGCGATCTTCATACCCTCCGAGTTGTCGCGGTTCTGCAGGGTCCCAAGCTGTGAGTGTAGAGCTCCGACGTTGTACATTATGCTGGCTTCTTCGTACTTGATGTCCATGATGTTGAACACCATGCCCGAGTAGATGTCCGTCCACATGAACGGCACGCAGGCCGGTCCTTCGTCCGTCATGGGAAATCTCGTCTGGAGACAAAGCAGCTGCGAGTAATAGCGCTTGAGCGTGCTGCACCCGGTGAAGGTCCTGGGAGCGTTGCAGGCCGCCAAGCGAAGGGCTTCGAGATCCTTCAGCTCGTTGGTGTACGAGTCAGGGTCTTCGTGGTAGTGCTCAGCGATGTACTTTTTCAAAGCTGGGCCGAAGTCTGTGTTGGTCGGACTGCTTTTGAGCTGGCACGACAACATCGGAAGGTGCGGCGCCGACTCCATTTCGATACGGAAGAGGATCACCGGTTCCGCTGTTCCACGAACGAGCACGGGCTCTAGAAGTCGCTGCTATTCTCACCGGCACGACAGCAGACTGCGAAGCTTGCTGCTGCTGTGAAGTTCGTCGAGATCACACACAACATAACAGCTATGATAACTTCAGCCGAGCCAACGATCAGCCCGGGCAGTCACTCGGCCAACTACACCAAAGCCGATCGCTGGTGAAAGCGCTTAGCTTTCGACTGCCTACTTGGAGGTGCGCGCTGTGTCCGTGTAAAAAGTCTCACGATCTCACCAGTTAGCAAGTCTCACGGAGATATTGTGGGTCACTGTCACCTGAAGCACACCGCTGGCTGGGCGTCCCTGTTGGGTGCGTCGACCGAGTTATAAAGGACTACTAGACTCCAAGAATTGTCTCAAAATGGCCTGAATCACTACATCAGATGAGTCGGGCAGCAACTTGCGCCACCTACCCGGTGCTTAGGAAGGTCAAAAGAGGAGAATGCGCGTGCGCGGATCGTGGCTCCTTTGGCTGCTCAGCTACAGTGTAGTTCAGCAGTTCAGTCCGTTGCAACTCAAGAAGGTAGCGCGAGGGAAAGGAAAGCCGGGGAGGAGGAAACAGACAGAGCGCTGGAGAAGCATAGAGAATGTACGCCAGAGGTTCAACTGGCGCTAGCGTCTATGCGACTTCCGTGACGTAAATTGTAGGGTTCCTCAATGCGCGCGCGCGCGCATCGAGGAACCCTAGTAAATTGAAGCAGACAGCGACCCTGGCGACCCACAGTAAATAAGGGCAGCAAAAAGTTTACTTTTGCAGTGCTCCTCCGCATTCCTATGGGAAAACGCGCGTGCATTTTGTCTCTTCGCCGTTAAATAACACAAAACACTTTGGTTATTTGGGTCATATATAGAGTAGTATGCACCTTAATTAACATTGTAAAAGTGTAATTGCTTTAGTTAGCGCATTTTTCTTCATCAGTGAACGATGTTTAACTTCGCTACCTTTCAGTCCCAAACGTGTGTTTCGCAGCAGGTGTTAAAAACAAGCGACGATTCAGAACAAAATTACAATCGAAAGGAATACAGAGAGTCTTGTGCGAATAGTGGATTTTGAGTCCGAAGCGAATTCGAAGCGAATAGTGGTTTTCGCCGAATAAATTTCGATTCGAATATCGAATAGTTTTTCCACGCCTTTCCCTACCATTGCATAATGCTGAGACGAAAACCCAGCTAAACCTGTAAAGGTTATTCCACTTTCTCATAAGCTTCATTATTCATGAACTGTGATCTCAGAAGGTCTGGTGTCTTGGGATGGCAAGTAAACGACGGATTTGACATAAAATGAATCCTCTATAGATGGCAAACTATTCCAATTGAGTGAATTTACAAATCTTGATATATAAAAATTCTTTCTTTAATCTCAAGTTAAAAAAGAATGAGTCGCGAATGATGAACACAGCTTGTAAAAGCATATCTGCGTTTAATTTTGAAACTTTTACTACAATGTTGATATACACATTCAGTTTCCATTTATTTTCATATACAGTCGGCACGGGTGCACCATCCCGCCTTGAATGTATGCTTTTCTTGAGCACGCAATTACGATATTGTTTATCGCGGCGGGTTACCACGTTAAGTAAGATGTAATGCGGAGAAGCAACACCCGCGGAGCTCACTTCCGCGGGTTTTTCTTCTCCGCAGCGCACTCTCGCATGGTAAGAAGCGCACTCAACGGGGCTAACCCGCCGTAATCAACACTTAAAAAAACGCGAATAGTGCAGTTATTTTCGAACCGAATATCGAATAGTGTATTATTCGGGACTACTATTCGAAATTTCGAATATTCGCACAACCCTAATAGAGTGTGTTCAAGGCTCGCCAGCATTCCGGTGACGCTTAAATATTTCTAATATGCCAGTCCTGTCACTATATGAAAATGACCCTGTCGTGCACGATCGGATAAAAACATTAAAAACTAAAAGAATAAAGTATGTGGGCTATGAAGTGTCTTTTTATCGGGCACTTGTTCTCAAAGTTCTCGAGCGTGCAGGTGATATTTTGAACGTAGAACAAGCACCTTCGTGCAAAGCAAAAAGAATAAAGTGGTACTTACTTATTTAAAATCGGAATATATTACATGGCCTTCAATTTATTTTAATTGTACATGCACGGGTAGTTACTGATCCAGTGTTACTGCATGGTTTTTGCCATCTCCCTTAATATACAGATGTCCACTTCGTTCGTTTGGCACGTCTATCCCTTATGCTGAAAAGCGCCGACGTTGTGTTTGCGCTAACAGTGTCCGGCAGTGCACATATATACACACACGAAGCCGTTTTAGCGCAGTTTTTAATGCAATGAATTTGAAAGAAAAACGCCGTAACTGACCAATTATTCCGTCGGCCTGACTTAGAAATGTTCCAAGCTACATACTACGTAAGAATTATTCGGGATATTTGCTCTTATGATCGAGCGCAGGGAGAAAATGCACTCATTTTTTCCCATAGAAATGCATTACCGGAAGTAAATTTTCGACTGGTTGCAGTCTGCTTCAATTTGAGTCAGCACACTAGCGCCACTTGAACCTCTAGTGTACATTATATTAACTCTATGTGGAGAAGAGTGGGAAACCTCCTCCCCTCCTCTCTTCAGAGTTCTGTCTGCTTCCTCCTCCCAGGCCTTCATTTTTCTCACCCTACCTTCTTGAGTTGCAACGGACTAGGAAAGTATTTGGTTCAGCCGTCACATCCTTCAACCAATCCCTACAAAACTAGTCCGTTGCAACCCAAGAAGGTAGGGAGAGGGAAAGGAAGGCCGGGAAGGAGGAAGCAGGCAGAAGGGGTTTCCTCTTTTCTTCTCCAGCGTTCCGTCTGCTTCCTTCTTCCCGGCCTTTCTTTCCCTTGCCCTACCTTCTAGTTTGCAACGGACTACAGGGGCCCAGGCCCAACATTTCAAAAGAGGTTTGTAGGGATTCGTTCATGTTCCTTTATTTTCCAATTTTTTACACAATCAGACAGATATCTGTCAAATGTTCAGCTTAACCTAGTATGCAGCACTGCCGTTCGAGCCTCTGCAGTATCCTTTTCGTGTCCATAATAGCCTCAGGTTCTTCGGTGTCTGTTTTATAAGAAAAATATGTGGATGTCTTTTGGCGCATTTCAGTTATTTATTTTGTATAGACACTAAAAACAATATATCTAAAAGAATGCAGACAGACAAAAAAAAGTTTGTAAAAAACAAAGAGTCAAATCTAATTCACAGTTCAATTTCAATTCTTAGTGTTTTACTGCGTGCTCTCAGAACCAGACTTCCCATAATTATTGCTTGCTTGAATTTCCAAGTAAATTTCACATGATAACATCTTTCCAAAAAATGCCAAACTTGCTTGTTTAGGCAGAAAGATGGTTGTCTGCCTTGGGGCAGTGTCTAACGTCTCCCTTGTAGTGTAAATGCCAACAGCCAGATTTGTGTTACCCTTGCCAGATATTTACCTTTTATGGTTACCAAAGCACCCTCAATAACTCGGATGGAATGACATCCTCGCTGTTAATTATTAAGGCGAAAGCCTTATATGTCTCATCTTTCAGTCGACCTTTGAAGTCCTTGAGCGAAAACACGTTGACGACATGAAAGGTACCAATGAAACGGCGCCAAACGTGCATCAGCAGAGTGCGCTGTCCTTGGAGGTTCGCCATTACCTGGATCACAGCTGACGCCACGATACGAGTGAGCCAATGAAACGGCGCCAAAAGTGCGTCGTCTTCGGAGGCTCGCTATCACATTTACATCGACGCTTGGGCTTTCGCCTTCAAGTCGTCTTAAGGGTAACATAAGAGACCCTGTGAATTTATATTGTGATGCACCCATGATGCCAATCCCTCTGCTCTGTGCAGCTTTATTAGGTCAACTCAGCTACAGAATTGTCCATAGATGCTGGTTCCACAAAAAGTACCCCCCCCCCCCCCCCCCACCACCACCACCACCGTCATTCACGGCGCCACCGTTATGGATATGGCTGTTATGGTAACTGCCGTGTATTCACTGGAATACTACATATGTTTTGAAGCATTGTCTAGATGGCGCTTCACTGCATACTCTAAGAAATACACAGTTTTGAAACGAAGCTCTGTATGGAGCTTCAAACGATGGGAGGTAAACTGGAGGGGGAGAGAAACCCCCACCACGGGACCAAATACTGCTGGACTGCCACAACTGAGCAAATTCAGTAACATTGGCTCTGTGCTTGTGTTGCACCGTGACACCACCCGCAGAACTGACACATGGGTTGCGAAGCCTGCATCAGCCATTTCGAATTTTTAATAAAAGTCGCACGTCACGGTTCGGTTATAATAGTCTAGCATCAATGCAAAAATTAGTCTTAAAAAAAAATTTACGAAAACATTGAACTAGCTATTTAATTAAACCATTTCGCCTCTTTCCTAACTTGGTCCCAGGGTCTAAAAAAAGCTCCCCTTTTCCAAAATCCTGACCCCCCCACCCCCCTTCCCCCAAAATAAAAAGGAAGCAACCTAAGTAGTATTTTTTTCCCCCTTAATTTTCTTTGCAATATTTATTGCCATGTTTCATTTTCCCATCGCCTTCCAGTGACTGGTCAGATTGCCAAAAGACAGATTTTGTATTGCCAGTGCTAAGGGGCATATTTTCTGTCCTGGTGAGATTGGACTATTAGGATCGAGTTTCGTTTTGCACTCGACAAATAATGTGTTTCTTCTGACAATTTTTTTTTTATAAGAGCAGATTTATTAAGGAACATAAAAGAGTGAGACTTTTCATATATTATTTACTCTCGCACGACACCTTGCGTCTAAAAGGGCAATGATTTTATTATGAGTTCTCATCATTGTGGAAGAGGCAAAAAAAAAGAGAAAAAAACACCTCTTGCCCCTTACTTGAAAGTGTGCCAATCGTTTCGGCGCACTTTGGCAAGCACTTGCGTTTTTGACGTGACGAAACGCAACTTCTGCAAAAGACAGATGCGCTTGATATCGTTATATGCAAAATAAAGGCAGTGTTTATGTGTTCGTTCCTAAATGCAGAGGAGCACGTGTCATGCCCGCTTCTCGGCAAAAGCGGCACGCTCTTGATTTTTCGGCTGGAATCGACGCAAGAGTTTACGGCACCATAAAGTGCCTCTTAAAAATAATGCAAGTTTGTAATACGACACATCCCTCCCCTTGACAAGATCAAGACCATCGCTGCTTTGAAGAGTTACCGCTACTATCCACAGTTCCACCAGAGTTCCACTTTGGAATTCCGCCCCGAAGTTCTACTATCCCGCAGTTTGACCTTTGGATATTACCTTGGAGTTTGGTCTCGGACTTCCACCTTAGAATTCAAACTTGGGGGTCCGTCCCGGGGTTCTATTCTGAGGTTCCACCTCCGAATTTTATCTTGGGGAGTTCCACGCTAAAGTTCCAACATGGAGTTGCATCCTGAACTTCAACCGTCTTGAAAGTCAATCTTGAAACTCAATCTTGAAGTTTGGTCCCGTACTTTCACCTCGAGTTCTAACTTGGGGACCCCCACCCTGGAGTTTTATTCCAAAGTTCCACACGAAAATTCTATCTTGGAGTTCCACACTGAAGCTCCAACATGGAGTTGCATCCTGAAGTTCAAACCTGGGAATTTTATCTTGGAGTTTCATCTTGGAATCCAGCCACAGAGTTCTATTCCGAGGTTCCACCTTGGAGTTCTATTTCAAAGTTCTACCTCAGAATTCCATCTCGGGGTCTCACCGGAGAGTTCTGTTCCGGAGTCGCATCCGAACGTTCCAACCTTGAGTTCCACCCCGGAGTTGCGCATCAGAGTCCTGGTTCCAGCTTTTCGAGTTCTTGGCTCACAGCTCTACGACCTTGGGCTTCCCCAGAAAAGAACGGCTCTGCTGGGGCTTCGGCATCGGAAGCGCTCCGAAACCGGCCGAAGTTGAGGCTCCGCCCGTCCACTTAGCCGACTTTGCGGACGCCTTTCCGGCCGCCTTCTTTCTCGTCTTGCTCGGGCTCCCCGAAAACTTGCCCCTTCCCTTGAACGAATTGTTCCAGGTCTTCTTCTTGAAGGGGTACTTGCGCTGCCGCTTTTGGTGACCTCCTCCAGCCCCGCCAAACTTCCGCTTCAACCCCCTGTTCGATGACGTGAACTCCGATGGGGGTTCCGGATTCTGGAACTCTTCCTCCGCCGCGTCGTTGAGTTTCGCCTGTCGTTCCGCCTGTCGTTCCGCTTCAAGGACGATCTTCTCGGCGGCGTAGCGCTCTGTCACTTCGAGCAGCTGCTCACCATACTGCAGAGAGAGACGGCAACAAGTGATAATCAGTCTGATGCCAAAGAAAATGAGATCTTAGCCAGGTCTCAGCTCATCCAAGTCGAACTCTGCAAACGGAATAAGTGACAACGAGCTACATTCGACAAGGCACATTTGGCCAATCCAAGTCGAACTCCTTGAACGGAGCGAGCAGCTCCAAAGTTGAATTCATACCAAGGAAGCTGGTCAAAAGTTTGGCCACTGGCGCAAGGACCTCTTGACTGTCATCTGGATACCGGGTGCTTTCAAATAAGATTGCAGGTTATTTTCGTAGAGCTCATGTGCCACTACATGTCTATACATTGTGCTTGTTCACACTTTGTACTGCAGTTTAGCTATCCTTCCTGTAATCTTCTCTGGGCATTAGACATACTGACGTAAATAAAGAGATGCGGGCAGTAGTGCCCGCATCTCTTTCTGCTCTGCCGAAGTGAAAAGAGTGGGGAGGTTTTTGGGAGGAGGTCATTGCGCCGTTCTAAACCTACAAGAGACTACAATTCAAGAACAGCATTTGGGTTACTCCAGCTGTAACGGCTTCCCCAAATCAGTCCAAGCAATTCCTCAAAAAGCACGTGCACTCTGAGGCAGCAGTGTCCGTCACACCACGACCTGTAAAACGCGTCTTCTACTGTTGCGTTTCCCTTACCGTCCTGCCCGTGCATCAAAAGTGGTTCCGAAGTGACAACGAACCGTGTCACAAGAGCCGACGCATCGTGACGTCGGATGTCGCGGTCCCGCCGGTCGGTCGCAGAAATGCCGGCGAAACAGCCAAGCGAATGTGAGAGTTGCCGTTGTCGCCAGTATCGTGGCAGACAACAACACGCCACGTTTACATCCTCGGGCAGAAATCAGGGGACCACTTCCGAGGTTGAGTTACACATGCCATTCGGAGCCATGCTCCAAACACGGCGGCGACACGAAGGCGTTGTACGTACCTTGTCGACGAGCGCCCGCGTCATGTGGGGCACCTGGAGCATCGCCTCCGTCGTCGTCGGCAGCGTCTCCGCAAGGCCCCGCAGCGCCTCCATGTGGATCACGTTCCCGTAGAACGTCTTCTTCTCCGCTGCCAACGCCTTGGCGATCGACACCAGCTCCGAGTGGCATGCCTCCACCAGCTTCGCAATCTGAGGATCCTCTTGCGGCTCCGCGTCTTCCGCGGCCGCAGTTCGAGACTCGGACGGCCGTGACTTCTTCTGGATGGCCAGGCTGACCTTCGCCGAGCCAGACACAAGCTGTGCGGCTTTGGACCCCGGGTGGACGTAGGAGACGGCCATCTCGAGGTAGTTGATGACCGACTCCTCCTTGAGGTAGCCCTCCAAGATGAGGCGGCGCAGCAGGCGATCCGCGTCTGTCCGCTGGTAGCCCTTCCCTCTGCCGTGGAGCCGCAGGTTGGTGAAGTTCTCCTTGGTCATCTTCTTGTTGGTGCAGCCCTTGAAGATGTCCACCACCTGCGATGCGAAATAGAAATAAACCCGCGCGTCTCGATTGTATCCGATGAACTCAGAGACGGGCGCGTGATGTCGTAAGGTCACGTGACATCATGACGTCACTTAACTTCACAATGTCACGTCATGTCAAGCAGCGATGTGATTGGTCCGCGTCATTTTCAAGCGTCTTCTGGAGCAGCAAAAAGAACTCTTGGGGTGTAAGCAAGCACTTCATTTTCATTCCTACCACGCAAATATCATAAGTCAAGATTCGTGTATTGGCCCGTATGACTAAAGAACATTGTCTACTTTGCCTTCGTACTTCTGTGCGACACTTCGTTAGCATCGATTGGGTGGCAGGTTCCATTCTCATAAACGCAGAACTGCCGTAGCTGTTTCATTGTGTGTAGAAGCACCAGGCACGGCAATGAGGTGCCGACAGAAAGAAAGACAGTATGAACTGCTGTGAACGGTTATCTAGGTATAGAGTCAAATGAAAACCGAATAGTATATTCCATAGAAATAACGGCACAACAGAATAGTATTGAGCACCCAAAATGATGTTTTGTTGAAGTTCTAAAGGTTGTATTAAAGCTGCAATCCTTAATTCAGACAAAAAGCTTTTGTCAGCATTTTATATGTAGAACTTTATGACGACAAAGATCAGACTGGGAACAATAAATATGCCTTCCTTTAAACAAACCAGTCAAACTCATTAAAGTTATTTCCAATTTTCCACCCACTCTCCAGTAAAGTTAGTTCCAATTTAATCTATTAACTGTGTCATTGCACAGATGGAACATATGTAAAGGCCTATATAGAGCAGCTCAAATAAATCTTCTTGCAATATCCAAGCATCCTCGCTATATCTCGAATTCGAAAACAAAGGTCGTCAGAATACGGCAGTTTATGATATTTCAGAAACTTTTACCGCAAGGTAGGGTAGTTACATCAGCATTTACCAAGTTATTATAGTATTAGTAACGTAACATCCTGAGTCATTGCCCGCCCCACTTTTCGGGCAAATAGTGATTTCCAAAAAAACACCAGGTGATTGCCCACCCCTACAAACACCCCAACGCAGACTCTGCGAACATTCATCTTACCCGAAAGATGCAGCCACGGACCTTACGGTTGGAGGACATCCGTGACAGAGTGAAACGAAGGCGGAAAAGACACTTCTTTTTGTCTATGCACCTCCTACCCGATTTCTAAGACCCCCCAGTCATAGTACATGCGTGTGAAAGGATAATGATAAGAGGGAACAAAATGAAACTTCGTTCTGCTTACAAAGAAGTTTGGACAAAAAAAAAAGTCGGAAAGTTAACGCAAGTAGTAACCCATTCGGGGTCGCGAGATCAGCGAACGCCCCATATCCTGGAATGTAACCGCGGAGTGTAAGGTCAAAGATGTAAGGTCAAAGTCCGTCTTCATCGAAATAAGGTCGTCGTGAGCACCCAATTGTTCTCCCAGAATGTCGCAACCATGGTTGGTAAGGTTGTGCAATGCTTGAGACAAAGCCAACGGATAAATAAAGATTTGCTGGAACGCTGCACACAGACATTCGTAAAACATTCCCTTTCAAGCTCTGTATTCGTGGTGCCGTCCACGCCACGCAGCAATGCTGCCTCGCTCCACGTTATAGCATGCTGTGTACGGACGCACACATGTATGCACCAAACAAGAAACCTGCAAAAGAGCATGCTTCATGTGACTGACAAGGCAACGCCAATGCCGGCTTTCCCACTTCCCCAACATTGCACTTTGTCACTTCTTCCTTTCGCTCGCTCACTGGTTGCACCTGGTTGGTTTTGTCTATTTTCTTGTTGACCCCTTTTTTTTACTTTTGAAGGTAACATAGCAGTGTATGAAACATGCTTTCACGAAACAAATGTATGCGTGCGCATATGGTAATCAGCGGTGTTCATTGCGCGTATGCAAGCAACGGATTTTGCAATAGTAAAATATTCTTTCATAAGCTTTTCTTGCATAAACAATAAAAAGTAATTTGAGTTTAATCTATTTCTTGTGCAGCCGCGCTAGATATGCACAGTAAGATAGGCTTTATTTTTTATTTTTTTTTATTTTCGTGCTTACCCACCGAGACATGGCCCACACCACTTCTTTTATGAATATCAGGCGGCAGGGGGGTGGGCAATGACTCGGGATATTTCGGTATTATTATCCTTATATAGCCCGTGTAGGAACGTTCTGCCCTGAAAGCATGCTTTCCACACTGCGTTCGGGTGTACCGCGGCAAGGCAAGACACATACAACCGCGATAACTACTTGACAATTCTTGCTTCACTGCAGTGAACCCGTGTGCGGTGAGAAGCGCACTCAACGAACCTAACTAACACGCCAGAACTGTCGGTGTTATTACAAGGATGAAATCAAGTAGTACCTTACTTTTAGCTATAATCAAAAGTTCAGAAAATTCGCTCAAGTCTGCCCTAACGATCTTGCAGTGTAACGGGGCCTGAGCTCTTATATTTGAAGTATTAATAGTATGAAATTATGTTTTGGCACAATGTTGGCGAAATGTAGCAGGATGTAGCAGGCCAAACACTTTGCCGCAGCAATCGCATCACCGAGTCACATAACGTCAGAACCTCACGTGAGACTATGATGTCCCATGACACCGCGACTTTTAGCCGAGAATCGTCCCAGACACGACAACTTTACAAGAAACACATCTAGGGATCCACTGCGAAACCTTCGCCAATAACTGCCGTCGCCATAAAAGCCTTCATCAAACAAATAAAACAGGGAGCCACAGAACGCGCACACGACCTGAGTTGAGCTCGGCATTTATTCACAAGCTTTCGTGTAGCTCGAGAGCGATGCCGAATTCCGCTAGATTTGGTGGAATTTGTCGTCGCAATTCAGGTCCTCCGTAAATTCAGCAGAGAGCCCAAATTGATGCATAATTAGACACCAATTCAATTTCCCTGCCATCTTAAAAGGACACTGACAGGGTATTTATGCTCGCCGAGGTTTTTAGTTGTACATGACATATGAGAGCCCAACTACCCAGAACACAATTTGTGGCTCAAAATTCGGTTTCTTTCCATCCGAAAATTGCCGATCAAGAACTGGCCGGTTCGAGTCTCGCTGACTCTCTTTTCTGTGGTCACGGGCTGTTTTCTAAGGTTTCGGCGCGACCACCAAATTTAATCAAAGTTGTTAGTCACTGAAGGCACACACACAATATTAAAAATAAAAAAAAATATAAAACCAATTTTTTGTGGCTTCTAAAAAGCTGCAAATACGTTGATTGAAAAGAAAAAGTTGCACGGAGAACCGGAAGCATTCTGTGCGTGCGTCATTTCGCGCATCGTGGGACTCGCGGGGACGGCGATGGCAGCAGACGACGGGCGTGGGACCTCTACTTCAGAACAGTTGTTCGCGGTACCGGCAAATTCTGTCTGCCTTTAAAAGAGAAATTTTGGACTGATAAAAAAAATTGGTGTTCATCCCGTACGACACGCCCGACCAACAAGCCGATTTGCACGAAGACGTCGCCGAGCCGTCGCTCCCTTCTCGTGGCTGAAGACATCACTCGCGCATACGTCAAGCACCGCACGAAGTGTGTACTTCGAGATGAATATGCACGCGTATGACTTCCTTACTAGGTGCGAATGTCGCTAATGCGTGGTGCTTCCCGACTTCAACCCGGGAGTGCTTTTGCTGGAGGAAAATCAGCAGCAAACTTTCCAACTTAAAGCTTACCGGCTGCATTATTATTGAGGAACAAGTTCCCCCAGTAGTAGCTCAGTGGAAAGACGTCCGTTTCACACGCGGCAGGACCGGGTTCAATCCCCAGTGAAAGCATACCTTTTTTTTTTCTTTGTCAGACATTTTGCGATGTTTATATTTCTTTTTTTTACAATCATCACTGAAGAAATAAACAAAAAAATAACAAACAAATGTTGTGAACGAACCATCGCTGAACTAAATGGTATGGGATTTCCTTTTTGACACCTGCAAATGTAATCACTTTCCACAAAATGTAAGGAGCATATAAACCGGGTAGCGTCCTCTTTCCGAGGTGCCCGTAAATGTTCTACAGGAATTGCAGCCAGCCATTCCTCCCGATCCCGTTGATCTTTCGGAAACTCTGTCGCACAATGCTACCTTTTTTCGGACGCAGGACACGTGAGCCAGCTCTTGACGCGACATCTTGGGTGTATTCTTTTCGGAGCCGATCACGGAAATTCACCACGGGCACTCACTACTCATCTCCAACTCCTCAATGTACAGAACGACTTATCTTGAAGTACAGAACAGCGAGTGAAACAAACATAACTGGAAAAGAATCGCACGGAAAATTCCCGCTACGTCGCCACGCATGTCGTCTGCTACGCAGAGGAAAAAAAAAAAAATGCACAGTCGGGTGTGGCCACGTGAGTTCCGCCACTCCCACTCTCTCCTCTCCACTTCTCCGACCTCCGTGCGCAGGTTTTGGTTTCGGTTTTGAGCAGTTGCGTAATTATAACTTTAAGCAGGGAAACGGTTCTGCTGGAAGTTCCACGACCTACCAGGAGAGTCGTGACGTCCGACAGCATGACCCGCTGGCTCAACGTGATGCCGTCTGTCGCCGCATTGGTACCACTTTCGATGCGTGGAAGGTACACGGAAGTAAACAAACCAGTGGAAGATGCATTCCACGCACCATACAGAAATGGGACACAGGCTCCGATCTGGGACAGAATATAAAACAACCGAGCCAGACGAGAACGAGCAACTTCGCGGCCTTGGGCGCCGTCACAATACCTGGGACGCACCTTCAACCGGCGTGTTTACCGAAAAATCCTGTAAGGGTGCCCGACACGTTTTTCTGGCTGAATGTTCGTAACACAGGAATTCCAAAACATTGCTTCCCCCCCCTTCTCCGTCGCGTGTTGTCTGACGGGAATTGCGACAATCGCATGACCTGCAGTGCCGGTATGTGCGACGAGCGAAATTGCAGCAGGTTCTTGCATTTTCGTTTGCAATATGCACGCGTGATATCGGTCCCCATGCGAGAACGGATCCTGGGTGGCGGCAGTGGGGAGGCAAGGGAGCATGTCCATACGGCGCAACCACGTGAATTGTCGACTCTCATTAATTTAAAATCTCTTAATTCAAACTTGCGGATAATTCAAACTAACATGCAGGTCTCATCCTATGCACCTCTATGAGAGGAAACTCCTGGTAATTCAAACTTTGCTTTATTCAAAAAAATTTTCAGTCCCTCTCGAGTTTGAATTGACATGATTCAACTGTATTTCGCAACGGCAGCTGCCGGAGGGTGAAGGGGGGGGAGGAAGGGAGAGCGTCGCCAGGGGGTACATGGATGTAGCTGGAACAAAGGGGGAGGCAGAAAACCCTCTCCCCGCAATCACGTGGGTTTATCGGTACAGCGGTGGCCTACAGGGGGGAAGGGGGGGGAAGCAAAAGAGAGCCTTGCCGCAGTTGGCATGTATGTGTGAGGAACGATCGGGAAAGGGAGAGCAGTGCCTCCACCAAAGAGTGGGATTGCACTTTCGTACAACAGCATTTTTTTTCCAAGAAGGGGCACCAACAGCTACCGTTGTAAAAAAAACAACAAAAAAACCCGCAAGTGTTGCCGTTGTTGCGGCATCCCGTCTCCCGCCTGCCGAAACTTTTGCAAACCGTCAAGCTGAAAAGCGACCCGCAGCAGAGCGGTCCTCCGCTGCGTCAGCCTACCCCGCCGCGCCGCCGCCAGAATCGCGGCAGGCAAGAACGTGACACGAGCGTGACATCGTCGGTACTAAGTCAAAGGACCACAAATTAGAACGCGGCAAACTCGCCAGTCGGAGACATGTTCTCAGTGCCGTAGTCCCGTCTGCTCAGCCACCTACCATGTTGACGGTGACCTTGCGGCGCTGCTGGCAGAGCTCCTCCACGCAGCGCACCACCTCCCGAGCGTCCTCCGTGACGTCCTTCATCACCCAGCAGCCGCGCGACAGGCAGTTGTCGCAGGCAAAGCGCCGGTTGCGCTCGCAGAACGTCCGGTCAAAGTTCTCCCCGAAGTAGTGCAGCACCTGCCGCCAGGGACAAACAAACCGGGACGTAGGGTTAAAAGGTCGAATTCGGGAGTCTTGTGTGCAATATAAATTAAGGCCATCTGGCATGCTCCGGCGGATGATTCGGGATTAACTTAGATCACATGGGGATCTTTTGGTGTGCACCCAAAATCTCGGTTACGTGGCACTTTCCCCGCAGTAAGCCTTCGTCGAGAAATGGGCACCTCGGCGTGGGACTCGGATCTGCCGACTGGGGGTCAGAAGCAGTCTTGGGTAGTAACGCGTTACTAGTAACGCGTTACTGTAATTTCGTTACTTTTTTGGTAACTTGTAACTGTAACGAGTTACTTTTTTAAAATGTAACTTGTAACTGTAGTTCTATTACTTTTTTCTGAGGTAACGATGAAAGTAACGACGTTACTTTTGTCGTTACTTTTCAGTGTTTTATGAATAATATATCACTGATCGAGTACAATTTAGATTCTCGTTGCACTTTTAAAATCGTCTATTCCGACATTTTGAGTGTCATGTTGGCCTTGCACAAACTTGTGAATACGTTCTTTCTCACGAGTCACGACCCGAATATAGCCACGTGAAGATATCATGAAAAAAAATCTAGTTATATTCACGCACGCGCTTGTACTTTGTGACTCAACACTTACATCTTAGTGTCTTGAAGCACTACTTATTCTGTGGTTTTTCTTTTTGTGTGAAAACGCTTTTTAATCGAGTGAATAAACCGTGAAACAACAATACACGCGGAGGGCACTGCACATGTTTCGTATTTTGAATAGCGCCTGAACTCCACACTGCACATGTTTCGTATTTTGATTTGCGCCACTACTCTGGCGTGGAAATTTTCAAACACTAGTTTTGAGAAGCAACTTCTGCTAAGCTACAATATGAAGTAAAAAGCGTACTGTTTATTTTATGCAATAGAGCTTGGTGAGGGGCGTTTTCCAGTTTTTTCTATTTTTTGGTGTTATAGAAAAGTAACTGAAAAGTAACGTCGTTACTTTTTAAAAGTAACTGTAACTGTAACGAGTTACTCTTTTGTTGCGGTAACTGTAACGGTAACTTCGCTACTTTTTTCTGAAAGTAACTGTAACTGTAACGAATTACTTTTTAAAAGTAACTTACCCAAGACTGGTCAGAAGGCTGGAGCTTTGCCTCAGAAGGACTGAGGCATCTTAGGGTTGGGGCAACCAGCGCTAAAACTGTAGTGGCAGTGTACTAAAAGTGTACCGTATTTTGCGGCTGGAATGTTGTCTGCAGAGTACACATGCTTAAAAGTTGAAATTTTACGCGGCACGTACTATCCACAGGTGCAAACAATACAGATTTGGGTATTTTTAGGTAGTTCATTAAGACGAGACACGACAGATGTCGTAGATGACAGATTATGTTAATGACGACTTACGCACGATACAAGCTGAGCTAATAAACGGCCATTTGTCAAGGCATGCTGTGTACGGTAACTTTTCGCACACAAGTTACGAAGCCAAGAGTGGACTAACTAAGAAAAACTTCTTCAAGCGACATCTGGCGCCGATTATACACCGGGTACAGAGTATAGTCCAAAAAATACAGTACAAGTGTACTACAGTTGAACTTTGCACACATTTTAGGAAGGTTCTAAGGCTTGAGTTTCTTAGCCGAATTCCCCTGGCAAGTTTTCTCGGCCGCCCCTGCCCCTAAGTAAAATGCCTTCCCGGTGTAAGCACTATTTCTGTCAATATGAGCCACCCATTGATGCATAGCTATGCGGAACGCAAATTTGTCTGCTTACTGTACAGAGGTTGCGTGATGTCAGACCGCTGAGCTCTTATTGGCCGATTGAAAAAAATAGTGGGTAGACCTCAAGGCATCTAGAATTGAGGTCTGCTCTCTATCCTTTCAATCAAAGCTAATCAGAACTTGGCGTCGTTCTGATGTCACCGCAACTCCTACGCCAGAAGCAGACGACTTGCTCTCCACATAGCATGTCCCAAGCGGACCTTCCATCGTGAAACGAGCCGGAAAAATTGGCGCCCCCACACAGAAAGCTCAAACTCTCATCGAATGTGCACCGAGCAGGTCGGTTTTACTGTGTAAAATTTCAAGGTGCATTCGTGTAAAAAATGAGCGTGCATTGTCTGCTCGCTACGCCGGTCGGGAGATGGCGCCACGAGTGAATAGCGTCACCAACTCGGTCATCTGCAAACACACCCAACTTTGACTTTGGCAAGTTTTTTGCTCTCGTTTTTTTACGGGAAGAGAACTGAACCTCAAAATTCCACAAGGTAAAACTGACCTGCTTAGTGCACATTTAACAGAAGTTTGCGCTTTCTGTGTGCAGAGTTGTACCGGTGCGCGGTCATGTACTACCACTGCGTAGTGAACAATAAAGACCCCAGGCTAGCAGTTGTACCGCACTGGCTAAATTGCTCACCTACAGCTGAGACTCGCTGAGACAGACTAACTTCCGGCGGTATAAACAGGCACACAACAATTTTTTTTTTCTGTGTGCAGGCTTTTGCTTGTCTTGTTTTACGGCGGAAGGTCCGCTTGGGACGCACCGTATACGAGCCAAACACTTTCTAGCTTGTGCATTATTGTTTACAAGGTCTACAACTTCGACATCTTAATGCAGAGGTCGGGCAGGCATACCTCAAGATTGAGCGGTTTCAGAACCCCTGTTCTTAAGGGACAGGCCGACCCTGCTCACCTGTGCCCTCCGGCAGTCCGTCCGGTTCTCGCAGAAGTTGACCATGTGCCAGAGGTTCGACAGGTGTGTCTGCTTGGCAGCATAGTTGCTCGCCTTGTCCATCTCAACCATCCGGCGGATGCGCTGCACGTCGGCAAAGCTGTAGAAGAGCAGGCAGGACGCCGGGCGGCCGTCCCTGCCTGCCCGGCCACTCTCCTGGTAGAAGCCCTCCATTGACTTGGGTAGGGTGTAGTGCACCACGAAGCGCACATCCGGCTTGTCCACCCCCATGCCAAAAGCAATGGTGGCGCACACCACGCGCACCTGCGCCGGAGACGACGGGCCAAGCGTGTGAAGGAAAGGACGAATTTCGACGTATCTTGTCGAATGTGAACCGCCTCGTGAGAACGCGGGGCATTTGAAATCGTCGTCGAGTTATTTACGGACCGCAGGTCCTCAAACTGGGTTACTAGGGACCTGGGAATTCCAGAGTACCGTCACGGGTTCCCCCGGCTCCAAAATTTCCTCGACCGTCCCTTGCGCATGCCTAGCTTTGAGCCGTACACTCCCCAATGCGCGCATTATTGTTTATGGGGTCTGTAGGCGGCACTGCTTTACTCTGCGCCGATTTCCCAGGTTGTGGAACACACTTCTTCTACGGAATGGCGTCTGCCACACACAACAGCAAGGTGACCCACCATTTTTCGCCCTGGCGATAAGTGCCGGTGTCAACGTTTTAGTCCTACGTTGTAGAAGCTAGCTTTGCTCCTGGTGTCCCGGCCCCAACCTGTTGTGCATGTACCGGCTTCGTCCGGCACCTTTTTTGTGTGTGATTGTGCGTGTAGGTCTGCCAGTGCTCTCGAAACTATGCCAGAGCTGACAACGTGGCCCAAAACAGTTTACGCCAAGTATACCGTAATATCCTGAGTCATCGCCCGCCCCCGAGTCATCGCACTCCCCACTTTTTGGGCCAATATCAATTTCCAAAAAAAAAAAAAAAAAACAGAGTCATGGCCCACCCCATCAAATACACAAACGCTGACTCCACGATACGCGAATATTCATCTTGAATGACGCGGCCACAAAACTTGCAGTTGGAGGACTTCCGCGACAAAGTAAAATGAAGGAGAGAAAGACACTTCTCTTTGTTTACGCATTTCCTAAGCGAGTGACCTCGAAGTCGTAGTGTGTCCGTGCGAAAAGAAAACGATGGAGAAAACAGAATAAAAGTTTGTTTTGCTTACAAAAACCCGTCCCCCCCCCAAAAAAAAAAAAAATAAAAGTCTAAAAGATAACTCATGCAGTAACCCATTCAGGGATCGCGAGGTCAGCGAATGCCCCATATCCTCGAATGTAACTGCGGAGTGTAAGGTCAAAGTCTGTCTCCATCGAAGTAAGGTCGCTGCGAACCCGCTTCTCCTCCCGGCATGTCGCGACGGCGGTTTTGCAATGTTTAAGACAAAGCCAACGGGTAAATAAATCTTTGCTGAAACGCCGCACACATACTTTTGTAGAGCGTCCCATTTCGAGCTCTGTGTTCGTGGTACCGTCCACGCTACACAGCAACGCCGCCTTAACCTGCATTGATAGCACGCTGTGCACGAACGCACGAATGTGTGCACCAAACAAGAAAGTTGTGCAAGAGCTTGCGATTGACAAGGCGCCCGACTTGGCCCGACGCCAAAGTATTTTCCAACGCGATCGCCGGCTTTCCCGCTTTCCCAGCATCGCTCTTCGTCGCTTCTTTGGTCCGCTCGGTTGCTCGCTTGCTCGCTTGATGCGCCTGGTTCGTTTTTCTATTTTCGTTCATAGCGTGTATGCAAGCAACGGACTTCGCGATAGTAAAACATTCTTTCATGAGCATTTTTTGTGTAAAACAATAGGACTAATTCGAGTTTTGAGTTTAATGTATCTCTTCTGCAGCCGGGCTAGATACGCGCGAAAAAATAGACGTTTTTTTCCCGATTTTTAAAACTTTTTGTGCTCACCCTCTGAGACATGGCCCACCCCACTTTTTTTATGAATTTCAGGTGGCAGAGGGGTGGGCGATGACTCGGGATGTTGCGGTAGACAGAATTTCTTTCGTTAAGACCTCCGGAAGTGAATTTTGGAATCGACCCCGAGCGTTCGAAATCCCTGTGAAGAGTGCACAGACGTCGGCAGCTCTCCGCGTGCTCAAACGATGCAACTACAGAGACCAAGTTTCCCTGCCTGGGCTAGCGCCCTTGACCAGCATGCTTCACCACACTACAGTCACAGACAGAGTGAGAACGTCCAGCATCTGCTTCGTGCCTTCCACCGGACTTTCACTGCACATGCAAGGTGCAAGAGGCACACACTGAAGCGTTGTCGAAGGTTGGAAGCTTACGCTGGAGATAGGACAACCAAAGCTCCTTCCTGCCGTTCTCACTTTGCTAACAACTACAGTAGTGGTGATGACAGCCTTTTGGTTGCACATACTGCGAGTACTCGGCGAATTAGGGTATGCAGACGAGATGAAACCGTTACTTTCGACTAGGGCAGACGAGGTGGCTCGTTAGGTGTTTTCCTCTCTACGAGCCACCGCAGAGCAGCGAGGGTTCCAGCCAATGCAGAAGGTAGCATTCCATGCATATCTTGTGCATGTTACTTCGACTCGTCCTATACTTCAGTTCGGCCAGACGCAGCCGACGCTACGAGCTAATGGGACCGACTGAGCGGCGTCAAAAGCGCGAGTCACTTGGCCTCTTCTGTTTACGGTTGGTACAGTGACAACAGAACACGTACAGGAACACAACGAACACCACATGATGAGCTTTTGACGCTGTCTGATTGATTCCATCCGCTCGTAGTGCAAGATGCATTTGGACTTAAAGGTATATTGCGAGGGTATTTATGCTCGCCGAGGTTTTTATTGGAACGTGACCTATAAGAGCCCAACTAACCAGAACACAATTTACGGCCAGTTATTCATTTTCTTTCTGCCCGAAAACTGCCGGTCGGGATTGGCCGGTTTCAGGTGCACTTACTCCTTTTTTTATGGTCATGTGGCGTTCAAACTATAGCGCACCAAACACATTCAAAGTTGTGGGCCGTCTAAGATACACGTTCAATATTAATAATAAAAAAGAATATGAACCCCATTTTTTGTTGCTTCCAAGAAACTGCAAACAGATTATTTGAAACAAAATGTTGTACAGATCACAGGAAGTACATGTACACGCCATTCTCAATATGGTGACGTACCGCGGGCTGGACGACGCGATAACGGCGCAGGACGGACCAACACTGCGACGAATGTGGGACCGCTACTTTGGAACTGTCGTTCGTGATGCTGGCCAATCGATCGTCAAGCGCAGAACAGCGAGCAGAAGGGATACAAGTGGAAAACAATCGCACGACCATTGGCGCATGCGTCATCGCCTGCTCCACATGCCAGAGAAGCGGAGGAACAAAAAAAACTGGGCCAGGAACAATAGCCACGCGACTTCCGGCCACTCCCTACTCCTTCACATTTCCCCTTCCTCCTCGGTATGCACAGTCGGCCATGAATCTCCGTGCTCGTGTTTCGGTTTCGGAGCAGCGAGTTTTCTTGCTTTATTAAAAAAAGATATGCGACTCTGCAGCAAAATATTGGTTGTGTAGTGTCCCAACACCACAATAAATCGTCTAAAAAAAAAAATGAAAAAATTTTTTTTAGTGTGTTGGTGTCTCTTTAAGGCGAAATGAAGTACAGTACTAGATTTGATTACAAATAAGATGTCTCTACACTCTGGACTGGTACCGAGACATCACCGAACCTTGTCGTCGATCCAGCGCTGCTGGACCGCGTTGCGCTTGGGGTCGTCCAGGCCCGCGTGGTACGCCACCGCCGGCACCCCGTTCTTGCTCAGTTCCTCGGCGAGGTCGTCGCACTCTTTGCGTGAGAAGCAGTAGATGATGCCGCTCTGGCGCGCAAACTTGCCCTCCACCACTTCCAGCACCTCCCTGGCCGTGCCCACCTTGCCCGACTTGAGCCGGATCTCGTAGCGCAGGTTCGGCCGGTTGAAGCTCTGCAGGAACCACTTGGGGTCCCGCATGCCCAGCTGGTGCAGGATGTCCGTGCGGACGCGTGGAGTCGCCGTCGCCGTCAGCGCCATCATGGGCACGCCGGAGAACTTCTCGCGGAGTACGCTGAGCTTCTTGTAGTCGGGCCGAAAGTCGTGGCCCCACTGGCTGACGCAGTGGGCCTCGTCGATGACGAAGCGGGACAGGCGGCCGTTGGCGTGGAGCCGGGACAGTGCGTCCAGCAGGCGCCCGCTTGCGCTCACCTTCTCCGGGGTCACGTAGAGGAGGCGGAGGCGGGGCTGCGTCGAGCGGAGGTCCGAGTACACCGAGAAGTCGTCAGAGTCGCCGGACAGGTGGTTGGCGGGGACGTCCAGGGAGCCCAACTTCTGGACCTGGGTGCGAGGTTTTTCATTTTACGTGGGAAGCGCCTAAAACTAAAACTACGTAAAAAAAAGAAAATGTCTTTCAAGAAAACCTGATGCAGAAGAGTAACACACAACTTCTCTGCAAAATTAAGGGGCACAGCCTCAATTTGTGCCTATTATATATCAATAAATCAATTTTCCCACTAAGCTTAGCAAGGAAATGCTTCATACAAAAGTTTGGTCTTAATAAAATAAAAAAAAAAAAAATAAGACGCAACAAGCATAAAACAACTTCTCGCATTTTTGTGCACCTCAGCTGTGTCATAGAGATCATAAACACTTTTGAATTTAGAAATACTGGACTTGCAAACTTTTGACAGCCCCCCCCCCCATAAAAATCTTTCACGCAAACAATTAGACCAGAGGTGTGCAAATTTTTCGGGCCCAGGAGCCCTAGAACATCAAAAAGCTTGTCCAGCAACACCACCTGCCAAAAACGCTGTTGATGCAGACTGCAAAAGTTCTGCATTTGTGTTTTTACAAGGTCAATCAATATTTTATACTTGGCAAAAAGGAAAAACTATGGCTTCTTCCAAACAATCCGAAAGGTGGAGCGAAGGACGTGACGGCTCTCTGTAGGGATGGACTCTTGACGATCTATCGTCATGGGCCTTGCTTTGATGCACCTATTTGCTCGCGGGGCTGGATGCTGTCGTCATAAACCAAGTTGTAGCGAAACGGATGTAATAAAGTATTCAACAGGGACTAAATTTAAAAATGAAGCTCACCTGATCGTAAATAAGTGACTTGAGAGGCGAGATCACCACAGTGACGCCCTCGCTCACTACTGCCGGTAGTTGATAGCAGAGGCTCTTTCCGCCACCTGTCGGCATCAGGATGAAGCAATCCTCTCCGAGCAAAGCTGCATTGATGGCTTCCAACTGATTCAACCGAAACTGCTTCAGCCCGAACACAGAGCCGAACTTGGCCCTCATCTCAGCAGAGTGTGGGAAGCCAAAACCCTTAAATGCCGCCGATTCCCCGTCGTTACGGTATTTGCCAAGAAACCTGCCCGCAGACCCGAGGTCGTCTGAAAAGTTAGCCCGCGGCTCTGTCGCGACGTTGTCTGCCGGGTCTGCAAAGTCATCCTGTGTCACAACGTCTTGGATGAACTCCGTGTCGTTCATTGGAGGACCTGCCGGGATGGTGGGGGGATTCGGTACAAAATATGGAGAGTTTTTGGACGTGCTTGGCTGTTCAGGGGTCGGTTCGGGACTGTGAAACGAAGTGGACGGTCCGTTTTGACGGACCTTTTCCGCCAGCTTCTTGAGCCTGTGAGAAAGCGGCACATCTAGTGGGCTGTTGTCCACCGAAGCGGGACTCTGCTTCCGCCTGTCGTCTGGAACCGATGTGGCAGACGAACGACTGCGACTGTCATCTGCAGCCGAGGGCGACCACTTGGGACTGTCGTCCGCCACTATGGCAGCCGATTGGCCGCGACTGCCATCGAAGTTACACGAGCTTTTCGTCTTGTTTAGAGGTGTCGGAACAGAGTTTGTGGTACACAGTGTGGCCTTGCAGAGCTGTTGGAACACCTTAAACCTCAGCTCCAGTAGAGAGATGATACTGGCCGAAACCTGCCGCGATTCGTACAAACGGGTGCAGATATGGGAAGACAGTCTGTAGTCATACTCTCGTAGCCTGATGGCGGCCCACTTGGCCTCGTCACCAGACTGAAACCGCGGCTTGGACAGTAGAGGACTCGATTCGATTTCGCAAATCTCGGAGATGCTTAGGGTGTCCCTCGGTTCGGCGCTAGATGTGGCTTCTCCGGCGCGCCTATTCTTGAGCGGCGACAAGCGCACAGTGCCCTTCGAGGTGGGGACAACGCCTTCGAAAACAGCGGGCTCGTCGTCGCTGTCAACGATGAGATCCGCCGGCGGCGGAGACAGCGACGGGATGCTGATGTAGTCTGGGTCCTTGTTCTCAGCGGCATCGTCGTCGGAAAACACAAAGTCCGGACTGCTCGGGAATTCGGTCTCCGGCACGTAGGCCTTCTCCGACCAGGATGCCTTCCGCTGCTTGCTCGGAGACTTGTGGTGGCCGTTGAATCTCGGCGGCGGCTGAACGGCCAATGCGAGTTTGACGGGGGACTTGGCTGCAAGGCGAACCGAACTCCCGAAAGTCTTCGGGCGCACGAAGGTATGATCGTCGTCGCCAGAGTCGTGGCTCCCGTCATTGCGTTCGGTTACCGCGGCCGAAACCGGCTTGGCGGCGTCCTTTCGGGATTTGTTGGCTACGTACGATCCGTTCACGTAAGGCGTCACGAACTCGGCGACTAACTGGCTCAGCCGACGGGCGTCGACGAACTTGAACACTGCCGCGTTGTCTGTCCCGCGTCGTGAGGTCTCTCGCGTGTCGCTCTTCTTACCGTACAGCTGCTCGTAGCGTTGTTCGCACTCTTTTAGGTTGTTGACGGGAAGCTTCTTCGACATCACCACCAAGTCTGAAGACACATGTCACGACAAGTTTGATGACTAAAAACGTAAACACGAGAAGAAGCACCCGCGCACAAATTGCCTTGAAAGTTGATTACAAGCCGATCATACCGCCGATATTTCTTACGCTAGGCACGCATAGCTTGGCTTTGTAAGTTTGGCAGAGGCCTAGGTGGCGCAACCTACTGGTAAAAAAAAAAAAGACTCGCGCAAAAATTCATAGTTTGTTCTCATATTAAATCAAGACTAAAAGCACCAAAAACTACAAATAAAAACAGTTTTGTTTCGGTTTGTTTTAGATGTGTCACTATCGTTGCGGAAGTGACGTTTTCATCGAACGAACGGAACGAACAGAACAAAATCCACAAAACCAACAAAACTACAAACGCTGAGAACCAACGGGCTAGCAAAGTCGCTGTTCCACTGTTCCAATTTCTAGGATTGCCAAGGGCACACGTTTGCAAGATCTGAAGAGGAAATTACAAGATGATGAACAGGAACGCAGAAAATTAGGCGAAGGTAAGACATATGTTCGGCGCATTTTCAACTTTAGCTGCAGGTCCGACTGATACCCGAACTTCACGCAAAAGAAAACGAAGACGATGAAGCTTTCAAAACCTGTAGGACGCGTGTCAAAGGTAACAGTGTTGTACGGCGACTGTTGAGTTATCAAATCTAGAGGAGCTGAAACAATTAGGTAAAAAAAACGCGATGCGCGAGTTGAGATACGAACGCTGTGGCTTGCTCCTGCAATCCAGGGATACAGCTTCCCCGCAGTCATCGGGGCCGAGTGGAAAAGCCGGATTTCCGTTGTCGGTTCAGATTGCTCTTCCGCGCGGTTTTAAAAACGGGCCTTCTGCTGTTGATCGATTTTATCTGTTTTCTCAATTGCTGAGAATTACAAGTTTGATGGTGTGGTTTCAACCTTGAAGAGCGAAAACTTGCAACAACACGTGCTCATAAAAAAAAAAAAAAAGCGAGTATTTTAAGTTTGCACAGCTGGAACATGATAGATATCATTGGTATTGGTAATTTTACACTGGGACTTGAACATTGAAGGTAACCTGATTGATCATGTAAGTGCTCACACAGTGTGTAAAGCTATCCGGAGAGCAAGTCGTCTGCTCCTTGCCCAAGGGTTTGCTTTGACGTCAGAACGATGCCGAGCTCCGATTGGATTTGATTGAAAGGATAGTGGCTATACCTCAATGCTAGATGCCTCGAGGTCCCAACCCACTATTTCTTCCGATAAGCCAATAAGAGCTCGGCGTCCTGACATTATCGCAACCCCTACGCTGCGCATCACAATAGAGAGCGTACCGGTTACATGAAATGTATCCAAAAAGAGCCCTTTCAAAATCAGATGTTGTTGTGTTGCTGCCGACGCAGCCGAAGTGACACTCTCCAGTACCGGTGCAGGACAACTGTATTTTTATTCGTCTTTGCTCTTTTATAACCTTCGCGATAGTGGCGCCGCCACAACAGTTCCCCCCCTCAAGAAAAGAAAAATGACAGGAACACAAATATTTACAGATTCAAGATAACACAACAACAAACACTTATTATAACACAAAATCGTCCAGTCTTTGAGGCCTCGATGTCTGCCTGGCGGATCTCCGTAGTCCTGATGGGGCGACAGATGACTCCGATGACGGTACCGCTCTCTCCGATGTTGTTGTGCGAGGTGACTGTCGTGCAACTGGGAACGGTGTCTCAGGAATGTCTTGCGATGTCGCGTGCGGTGACTGTGGGAGCGCGACCCTGGGTGCCGGTGGTGCCCTTGGTGATGATGAGGTCGCTAATGATGCTTCAAACCATGGGGTATGGTTCAGGGCAACCTGCGGAGATGACTGGTCGTTGGACCTCACGAGCCTCCGCCGGTTCCATACCCTGTCGTCCTCGAGAAGGTATGCGTCTTTTCCCCGGTGCTTCACCACCTTCTTGGGCGCCGAGTAGCTGGTGCTGCCTTTCGAAACATGACCCAGCAGTTTGATCCGAACACTCTCCCCCGGCTTGAACCGGCTGGCCTTGGCTCCACGGCGGTTGTCCTGTGCCTTGGACTTTCGTTGGTACTGGGCCACCCGTTCTCGTAGCCCTGCAAGACTTCTTGTCGGGTTGCTAAAGAAATCTCTGGATGGTCCACCTACGATGTCCAGCTTCGTCCTGGGGTGACGCCCGTGCAGCAGGAAGGCTGGCTTCTCGCTTGTTGCTGCGTGAGCAGCACAACGATAGACGCCAAGATGCTCTAGCACGGCGTCCTTCAGAGGACGCTGCTCTTGTGCACTAAGTTGCACAAAGTCTTTGAAGACACGGTTAAAACGCTCGATCTGGCCATTGCTCTGTGGATGATACACTGAGGAAAAGGTGTGCTTCACTCCACGCTCCTGCAGGAATGCTTCGAACTCGGCCGAGACGAACTGAGGCCCGTGATCACTGACCAGTTCGGTGGGGTAGCCCTTGCGGGTGAACACCGACCGTAGAAAGGCAATTATTTTTCCTGACGTCACCAGACTTGTCAGACACACCTTTGGCCACTTGCTGAAATAGTCAATTAAAGTGACAGCATACCGACAATCGCTTGGCCCTCTGGAAAACGGTACCACGATATCCACACCAAGTTTCTCCCACGGAGCAGACGGGAACTCGACCGGATGTAAAGGAGGCACGACCGGTTTTGCTGATTTGTCGACTGCTTCACAAACACTGCAATACTTGACGGCCATCTCAATGTGCCTGTCCATGCCAGGCCACCAATACGTGTCGCGCACATGCTGTTTGGTTCTTGTAATCCCAGGATGAGCCTCGTGCGCAAGCTCCACTATCTTCGCCGTAAGAGTGGTCGGAACCACAACACGATCTCCCCTAAACAAGAGGTTTTCACTCACGGAAAGTTCTTCCTTCACTTGGAAGAATGGTGCCACGTCTGGAGGCAACTCCTTCTTCGGTGGCCACGTGCTAGTGTCTCTTCAAAGTTTATGAACACAGTGTAAGTGATTTGGGAATAGCCGTGAAACTCGCACTTCTATGGCTGCATTTACATAAATGCGACCGTGGCGCTCATCAAGGGAGGGGGGTATCCAATCACACACACGGTGTCCCCCCGCTCAAGAATCTTCGTTCCTGAGCGCCGTTGGATTTTCGTCGCATTTCACATATATACTGAAAGCTGGCTTGCACTTTTCCGTTTGAGTGTGCTCGAGTGCCTCGTGTTTCACACTTTTGAGGGAACACTGGCTCCGTCTCTCAGCTGGCCTTGGTACAGCGCATAACTAGACTGAAGGTTTTTCAGTCTCTGCAAGATCAAATCCGGACACCGTCTACGAGAAATGGTCGCAGTTATAGCGCTATCAGTTATCTCCTTGAACTGGTAGCCACGCCTTATATATAAAGCACAGATGTCCTGGTGGCTTGTGGCGTAAGCAGACGTAAACTTTCGTAACGTAACGTAAGAAAACGGGGCTGTGTGGGCCAGCTTTCGAGGCTGGTCCACAGACTTGCGTTTGACTTCGACGGAGTGTGCCACAACCAGTTTTCAAACCTCTTGTGACTGCTTACCGACAGGCTGTGCAGCAGCACAGCCGGTTGTAATTGCTGTCAAAAGAGGCTTAACAATTGGTTTCTAAGTCTCTCCGGTTGTAAGCAGTCAGTGTGTGAATCCATGCAAATTTGTCTAAAAGTGTCTCTCTCTGTGTGAAGTACACTTCACACGCAAATGCGTGAACCATCCTTAACCATGGCTCTGTTTTCAAACCATGTTTTTTTCTCTCAGGTTCTCACTTTAAGCACTGGACAACCTCGGCTGCATCATGCTGAAGATCTATAGGTCCCTCATTGCAAACACCACGGACATTATCTACTTGGGGCTCCTGCTGGCCTCAATCGTCGTGGGGAATTTTGTCCTCAAGATTGACGGGGTACAGAGGCGGAAAACGTTCTGCACCCTCTTTGGCGCGCTCCTCGTGGTTCTGGTGTCCGGACAACATGCGGTTCACTCCATGCTGGTCACCATGGTCAATGCCTTCATCATCGTCGTGTGCCCTTGCAAGTGAGAAGTGCCTGCCGCCATTTTTGGTGATGCTTTGACCTTGCTGGGGATGATGACTTGTGATGTTCGTTGAAGTTGCATAGGTCATCATTTCATTCTTTTAGATCTAGATGTCCTGACGGTTACAAAAGAAAGCCACGCATTATTTTAAAAAATGTGAGATCAAAGATGGATCACCAAGTTGGAAAGGGTAGTGAATGAGCCTAAGTTGCATGAAAGGTCTTCATTTAATTAGACCAAAGAAATGCCACACATTCTTTTACAAAATGTATGATCAAAGACAGATCACCAAAAGTTGGCAAAAGGTAGTAAAAGAGCCTAAGGGGACCACTAGGGCAGTACCCTGCACCTGCAGTTCAATCGTGCTGCAGCTTTCCCAGGCCTCACTTTCATTGCTTCACACAGGTGTCTCAGGATGACTACGAGCAAATGAAATTTAGTGATAAACCGCAAGCCCAAGAGATAATATATAGGGAACTCACTGCTCTCTTAATTTCTGATTATTTTCCTGCTCAAACAAATGTGCAGGCACCGTGCCAAAGTCAGCTTTGTGTTCTGCTTTGGGTACCTGGTGTACTTCAAGTACCTCAAGATGTTCAGCCCTATGCCCCCACCAGAAATCACCAACTGCATCCAGATGATGCTCACCCTCAAGGCAAGCACAGCTTTTGACTCACTTTCGATTGCTATCACTCTGCCTTTGTTTCAAAGCACCAGCTTCCTTGGAAAGGAACCCCAAGGCCGCTGATCAAGTGTTGATTAAAGTTTTAAAACACACAGTCTTGGGGTCATGGAACCAGGCATAAACTTACAAGCAGGCGGTTGTTGGCAGCCGCCTAGGGCGGCAGGCTTTGGACGGTAGCGGCTGGTGCCAACCTTTTGAATGGCAGCCATGTGCACGTAGCACAACAAAAACAGGACTTATTTGAAAATTTTCTGGAAAGTAGACAGCAGAAATGTGTGTGTTTGTATGTTCCCGACGACGGGGAGGGGGAATGCTAAGTCCCTTTATGCATGCGACCAAAAACGGAAGTTATACATTTGGGGGAAATCCCGAGATTTCAGGTTTACATGATGTGACATGGGCTATGTGGGGGCTCTATATTTTGTTATGCTGACCCAATAATGATTCAACATTTCGAATAATGCATTATCAATATTAATTAATCAACATGTAATGAACACATATACTGATTTTTCGATTCGAACTGACACACACCAATTAATATTGGTAGTGTTGTAAGAATATTTAAATTTTTGAATATATAGTAGTTCCGAATAATACACTATTCGAAACTTACTTCGAGGTGAACTGCATTATTCATACTTCTCCAAGTGTCGATCGCGGCGGGTTAGCCCTGTTGAGTGCGCTTCTCATCCAGTACCTCCGTACTGCGGGGAAGCAATACCCGCGGAGCTTGCAGAATTCGCGGGTATTGGTTCCCCGCAGTACACAGGTGCTCGGTGAGAAGCGCACTCAGCAGGACTTAACCTGCCGTGATTATGGAAGAGTATGTGTTAGGCAGTGACGTCCTGACAGCTCACATTCGTCATTCGAGCTTGTTTTCTTTTTTGTCGTATATGAAATAGAAGAACCTTTGCATACTATATAGAAAGCATATATAAATATCCTCGATTAGGATAGCTGCAACAAATCTGTCGTTTACATGCCATGGTTCATGTAGTTATTTAAGTTTAACTGAGCTTAGAAGTGGACAAGTGGAAGGTAGGATACAACATTCTTCACGAGTTCCAGCTGAATTTTCGTTTAAGCATGGTACACAGTATAGTGAAAAACTTTGAGAAACAATTCAATATTCAATTTAAAGATATTCGGCCAAAACCACCATTCGCTTAGAATTTGCTTCAAAATCAAAATTCACTATTCGCACATTGCCAAAATATTAGTATACAGTGGTAAGAGTCCAAAGCAGCTAGCCTTTGCATGTACCCCCATCCTTCTAATCAGAGCATGATGCTTGACGTCCCCGTGCAATATAGCGCACAAGTTTGTCTGCAAGAAGCAGACAGACTTGCGCGCCGTGTTGGACGACATGCAGACACAGAGAATAGGAGGTAAAAGCGCTAAAAAACGACGGACAAGTTGAAGAATGACGAACACCACAGAGCGCTCATTTGCCGTTCCTCCTATTCATGAATAACCAACTAGCCCAAGTACACACCCTTCTACAGACACAGAGACTGACAAGTAGTCTCCGGGCGTGCGCAGATGGCGGGGCTGGCCATGGAGCTGCAGATAATCCGGGAGGAGCACTCTCCAAAGCCGTCGGAGGAGCAGGCTTACGAAGAGGGAGACATGGACCTCGGCTTCTGGGACGTCTTTCACTACGCCTTCTGCTACGTTGGCGTGCTAGTGGGTGCGTTTGTGCACGGCGCCGTTTCACTGCCACCGTGCAGGAAGTCAAAAAACTTGTTGATTCTTGACAAGCAGAGAAGCGAGAGCGTCGTATACTAAGCACTTTTCTCTCCAACCGTGATAAATTAAGCTGTTCTTTCGATCTGTCGCCCTAATATCCCCAATGCGGAATGCATTAGTGGTATATATGCGAATTTGGGCAGCGCGACAATAAAAAGTCAAGGCGTCGAGTCGTGGCGTGATATGTCACAGCGACGTGTTGTCCGATGCGGTACGACTCGGCACTCAATGTTTATAGATCTAAGGATGTCGCTGCGGTCATGTCATGCGACACCATGACCGTGCGCTGCGAGTCACGTGACACTGTGAAGTCATATGATACCATGATGTCTTGCAACCTGGCGTGGCCTCACGTGAATGACTCGTAGTAGCACCAGTCACGTGACCATGTGACCCGTAGTGGTGTCCCGCTAATTTAGCAGGACATTAGCCCTTTATGACAATTTAGCCGTTGTGTTGACATCACTTGCTGCCGTCATTATACACAAATTCTAACTTCGCTTTTGTTATAATCATTCTGCATTAAGGAGAACTGTGTTGAAAGGTTTTGTTGCACTACCGTACTTCTCATACCTTTAAGGGTAGCTCCAGTCAGAATCTTAAATTGGGATTACAACTGTTCTCAGTTTAAGCAGTGTCCCTGATTTACAAAATATCCTTTTATTTTTCGATATTGTGTGTAGTTTTATAAATATCAGGGCTCAAAGTTTGCTCTCGGGCATCTACAGCAAAATCAAAACTATCTGCTAGAGGGATGGCAACAGTGATCATCAGCTGTACGGCAGCGACGTGATGTCACAAGGGGGCTGCGGTACAACCAATGAACTGCAGCTTCACCGCGACGTGATGTCACAAGGGTGCTGCACCACTGTTCCTTGACTAAAAGCTAACTCGCTTTCTGTCCTCTAAAGAGCAGCTGGTCGCATCTTTAAAATCTGTTTCAGGGAAGCGTGTGGCTTCACTTTCACGTAATATTTCGGCTGCAATCATATTTCGTGCCACTAAAGCGATATTAGTCATTTATTTTAGTTTCGTTTTCGACTGGAGTTGCCCTTTAACGTGGACTAATTGCAAAAAGTACAAGCACGAGACAAGCTACAATCAAATGTTCTTGTGCCTGTAACTTTTGCGGTTAGTCTATGCCATGATGTAAGATATATATATATATATATATATATATATATATATATATATATATATATATATATATATATATATATATATATATATATATATATATATATATATATATATATATATATATATATATATATATATGTAAATAGGTGTGGACATTGCGCCCATCGCAGCTGCCAGATAAAGTCCTCGCCTCGCCTTGGTTGTAAGCGGCATCACCAGATGGCTCCCCGATAAGCGGCTAACTAGAGTTTCCGTTTAGGCTTCCTAAGGGAGCCAGAGTTGCGTGTTCATTCCTGTAGCACCGGCTTTCCTGCACAGCATTTGGAGTCTGCTCCTCACGTGACAAAAATTAAACAAAAAGCGTTCCCACGCGTTCACGGCGCGTAGCGCACTCTTTCTTCTTTTTTTCCTGGAAAACAGGATAGGAGGAGGAGGCAAAAGCAGGGGAATGTACGCCGAGGCGCTTACACCATCGGCAAAACGATCATACCGGTGGCTTTTCTGCACGGCGTTTGGAGTCTGCTCCTCACGTGATCAGATCTTGGCGAATAGCGGCGCAACTCTGGCTCCCGTAGGGAGCCTATACAGAAACTCCACGGCTAACGGCCGCCTGTCGCAGGTCCGGTTTCTCATGATTTTCTATGGGTTAAAATTGTTTCAGGATGTACCATGTCATGTGGAATTGGGCGCTTGCACTACGCATATTGCTTAGACACTGCTTTGTCATTGGCCCCAGTTTCGTGCCTCAACGACGGCAACAACAGTTTTATGCATGCTTTGAAACAGAAAGATTTCTGGCGCGGTGTTCGAGCCGGTGTCCTTCAAGGTCAGAGCAGACGCTCCAGGCAAAAGAGCGCACGCCCAAGTGCCTTGAAAACGAAACACTTTTTTTTTTTTTTTTTTCATTTTTTAGTTACGTTGTTTGGATGGCGGTGACACTGTCGGCTGAGGCTACTTGGGCAAGTGCCAATAGGACTTTATCTGGTCGATTGCGTAGCAGCGTTCGCCGTGCTGTGTGTCCTCATCTATATATATATATTTACGCCATGGTCTATACTAAGGTGAGACAAAGTACAGTGACCAGCAGAAGCTTGTGCTGTAGGGGTCGCCAATTAAGGTTTCTTTTTATTGTTTATCGTCCTTTACAAGTAATGACATCAGCTGGTACACTCCACGAAGTAGAATTTGTGGCATGAACATGGCATGTTTGAGTTCATTGTTAATTTTTGTTTTTCGATCTTAGCTGTCACTATTGCAAAAGAATGTCGCTACTTGTCAGAGGCACAAACGTTTTATCATTTATGCCATTACTTAACGCATACCACAACAATACGCAACTCAGGCGAGTTGTCTTAAGACATGTTGTTGAGGGTTAAAATGATTGGCATATTGCTTAACTTCACGAGAAAAGTTTTGCATACATTCAAATCCCTTCGACTTGGCTCCTCGTCCGCATCAAAAACTTGTTCCCCTCTTGACAAAAACTAGTGGCCATGTATTTGTAATCCGATATAGTAGTTTCTCTTCTCATTTCATAGGTCTCGGAAAATTGACAGCAAGCACAAATTATATGGCACAGCCAGTCCCCAAATGGTCCATACATATTATATAAGGCCTTATAACGAAAACAATAATGTAAGGTTTCTTGGGTATCCCGTATGCCTGGGTGTTCCGAGCTAACTCAATCTTGAGACGAACTAACAAACTTAACACTGCTCTGTTTTTTTTTTTGTTTTTTGTTCCACAGGACCCTATTATCGCTACCGCACCTACCGTGACTTCTTCAACGCCCCTTTCCTCCAAATGGTTGATCGCAAGTCCAAGTGTCTGCAGCGCTTCAAAGTCTTGCCCATCTATGCCCTCATGTGGATTGCACTCAACCGCCTTTTTCCTACCGACGTACGTAGTGTCTCCTTTTGCATTGTATGTAGTGTCTCCTTTTACAAACTTTCGGTAGTCAGTGATTTGCCTCAAACTAGGTTCAACACATTAATAAACACGTTTGAACTAGCAACCCAAACTACATGTCACTACAAATGTTTTTCGATAAGTTTTTGAATTTTTTAAATTTTGTTCGAGAGGCTAAGAGGCTCTACTGAAAAACATGACGTCAAACATCACAATATGGGGGCAGTACATCTTGTTCCCTACGCTTTGCAAGAGGTTTGATGGTGTGAAATTAATGGTGGGGAAGCCCACGCCAGAAGAATGAATAGAATAACGTGCACAATACCGTGCTTTTAAAGGGATACTCATTTTTTGGTCTATATGTGTTCAAAAGAGCAGCATCGCATCGAACACACCAATATCTTGTTAAAAAAGTCACGAAAAGGAATTTCAAAACGAATTAAACGATTAGCGAAGAGCACCTGGTGGATGTCGCTAACGCCTCGCTTGTAATGCCCGTCTAGGAACCTTGACAGCTAGTGACGGAGGTTGTCTCGCCTCCGGCCACGACGAGAGAAGAGGGGCAGCAGGAACTCCCCTCTTCCCGGGAATGCTTTTTGTGTGTCGCAGAAGTCGCTATTGTCCCCCTACAAGATTATAGAAGATTAACCCGTCACTCAAAATTCGTACAAAAGCAGCCGCTTCGGTGGCTGGAACGACTAGGCCATCCTCTCGACGTCAGCCTAGCCGTAGCTTTGCTCGTCTTGAGACGACCTACGTCACGATTGCGTTGGATGTCTTGTGGTCTCCGCTGGGCCTTCTCCGAGCGCTTGCCAGAGTGGGCCGTTTATAACGAAAAATACAGCCACCAGGCTCAGAATACAAATGTGCGATTGTCATTTACGGATATTGTGGATCATATTCAACCTATTTTTAAACACGACGGGAATATTTCAAATTTCGTTGAAGTATCTCTTTAAGACTGCCTGCTCGGTTTCCGAGTTGTACGACACGTGATGTTGCTCCACTGGAGGGCACGTTAAAATTTGAATGCTGGTTTTGGCATAGCCATCATTTGCCGTTTTCTCAATACCCGTCTTTAATTTAAATAATAAATGAAGAGTGAGACCACAGGGACTCTAAAAACTCATTTAGTTTGAATAGCTCAAAAATTCGCCGGAGCACTGCTTTAATACACCGCTCCAAGAGAAGCAAATCTTGTAGAGTGTGTGTCGTAACTGTGTAGAGCCGAGAGGAATTTTGAAAGACAACTTGAGAGGTCTGCGATCGTTGAAAGTTCTTCCTATTGCTTCTGCTTCAGCTTGAAGGAGACAATTGGTCTCTCATCAGAGTTCTGGCTGAAGTTCCGAGGCTCCCTTGAGAGACCCATTTTTTAGTTTAAAATGCATAGCAAATTGCCGGGCCCTTGTGTTGCACTTGAAACGTGTGGCGTCTACACCCTCGGCGCTTTTCATCGGTTAGTTTGGCAGCTGGCTTAATACGTAGCATCTGCGCTCGATAGCAGTTCCTGGAATGGAGATACCGGCGCTAACTCCGTTTTTAAAAACGTGCGCCAGGGTGTCAAGTTGCCATCTGCCTGACGCAGAGCGGATGCCTTGCAAGGCTTTCCTGCCAGATACAGGGGAATCTCAATGATTCAAACTCGCGGATAATTCAAACTAACATGCGGGTCCCGTCCCATTTGTTTCTAGGCAGGCAACTCCCGGTAATTGAAACTTTGCATTATTCAAACAAATTTTTGGTCCCCCTCGGATTCAAATGAACAAGATTTTACGGTAGAACCTCAACTTGCGGAGATGTGTCGTGACATGCTGTGAAGACACTCGCTTAATAATCTAAATGGTTTGGGTTCGATTCCCGCCTGACACAAACGCTTTATTACTGCAATGGCCTCTTCTCCCCCACTCAAAACCAATCATTGTCAAGAATCACAGCCACGCTTTTATGCAGGCATCACTTTTGGGCTTCACAAAATGCCAAACACCTAGCCAAAGAATGTTTCACATTAATATCAACAATAGCAGACTACATCAGCTTCAATTCTAAGGCAATTCCAAAAGGTTCCTTATCAAGTTCTATTGTAAAGAGCAAATAGCAGATGTCATAGAATGTCATTCTCCCCTGAAATTCCCTTTCGAGTTTTAGGAAGTATGGCATAAGAAACGTTCTTGGCTACCATCCTAAAGGCCCGTTGACACACTTGCGCTTGAATCTGACCAACTGAGACAAGACCGGTTTTAAGACTGGATGCATAGCAATGCAGTCGGTCGTGAGCCATCACAAAAGGCTTTAAAACCAGTCTTGTCTCAGTGTGTCGGAGTCAAGTTCCTTTTCGAATTTTGTACTGCGGGTCAACCTTGTCAAGGATAGCGTTTTTTCTGCAATGCTCTGAGAAAAGACACCACGATTAATAATTTGTTTCACACATAGCGTGCAAAGCTGTCAAAGCTATTGGTGCAAGAGCGTGGCTTTGATGTCACCTTCACACAGGGGCGTGTGCAAGTGAGATGCGCGACGACTCCTGCACTGTGGAAATTGTGCTAGCCTCAACAAGGTTGTACAGAAAGGTTGACGCCGAGCGTAATGAATGCCAAATAGCGGACGTTGTCGGCTGCCACTCTAAAGCCTTGTAGAACGTCCCTTCTCAAATTCTGCACTTGGCGTCAACATTTTTTATGCTACTTTGTTGAGGTTAGCTCCACGGCGCTGCAGCCCCACAGTACTTCGAGAGCATGTGGCTTTATCTTGCACCTCATTCACATGCTCTGTCATGCGAAAGCGACATTCAACGAAGTCGTATCCGTTCATGTAAGTAGCTTTGATAGCAGGAACACTGCAGAAACTACGGCGGCCTTGGCAATTTGGCACAGAATAGTAGACGCCGGCAGGGAAGGGTTTCATTTGTCCCACCTCCAGTGCGAAAGCTTTAATAACGTCAATGCATAACGGGCGTCCGAAAGAGAGGCACCCTGCTGCTTTACGAGAGACTAGAGTAAATACAAAAAGTGGACGCCGTCGTGGCGCACTGCTTTTCGGCGCATCTCTCGCCGCAGCACGTGGACACCGAGGAATTCTACGGCCACGGCCTGGCCTACAAGCTGCTCTACCTGTCGCCCGTGTTCCTCATCTTCCGGCTCCGCCTGTACATGGGCTTTGTCCTCGGAGAGTGTGTCTGCATCGCGGCCGGCCTCGGCTGCTACCCGGCCAGGTCCACACCCGTGCCCGGCGCCGGGCCAACCAATGTCCCCGGACTGCTCCACGTGTAAGCTGGCACAACTAGACACTCCGTTTTGCTTCAAGTCCGACGCTACGTTTCGACGAAGCCAATTGACCGGCACCGAAAGTGTGTTGCCATGGTACTCATCGCCTCTCTGTGTCTGCTATCACCGACTGTCGCAGGCAATGAATGCGCCACGATCCTGCACTTTTTGTGCTTGCAGTGGGTTTGGCCGGCAACGGCAAACGTACAAATGCGACGAGCGCCACGGCAATACTTTTGGCGCTGCGTTAGGCATGAGTGAATGGTGGATTTTGGGTTTGAAGCAAATTCGAAGCAAATAGTGGTTTTGGCCTGGCATTTTCAAAACGAATATCAAACACTTTTTTTTTTCCAAGCTTTGGACTACTGCTCTATGCCTAAACAAAAACCCACCTGAACTCGTAAAGGTTGTTCCCAAGGCCCACTTGTCCATACCTAAGCCGAGTTAATTTTAACCTAGCTATATTTATGGGCTGCGACCTCAGTTTATTGCCTACATGGGAATGGCAAGTAGATGATGCATTTGACATAAAATTAAACCTATAGAAATGCCCAGCTATATCTAATCATAGAATTTATAAATCTTCCTATATGCAAATAGTCTTTATTAAATCTAAAATTCGAGAAAATTAAAAAAGACAATCATGAATTATGAACGTAGGTTGTCAAGACATCTCTGCTATACTCATGCATAATAGCGTCAGTTTAATTTTGAAAATTTGACTGTAGTGCAGATATCAATGTTCACAAAGTTTCCGTTTTTTTTTATAAACATCACGTGTGGAAAACGTGTGTTATCCCACTTTGAAAGTGGTCTTTCCTTTTGAGAGCGTGACTGCAGTTTTTGAACTTTTCGAAATGTTGACCACAACGGGTTCGCTCTGTTGAGCGTGCTTCTTACCGAGCACCGGTGCACTGCGGAGAAGCAACGCTCGCAAAAGCGAGCTCTGCTGGTGTTGCTTTTCCACAGTGCACCGGTGCTCGGCAAGAAGCACACTCAATGAGGCGAAACCGCCGCGATAGACATTTGGAAAAATATGAATATGGGAGTTCATCTTGAAGCGAATATCAAATAGCATTTTATTTGAAACTACTATTCAAAAATTTGAATTTTCGCGCAACACTACGTTGCATTGTTAGCTTGGCTGCAATCGGACCTAAAGTGAAACGGAGTGCAGAGCCACTAAGTAGCCTACACCTAAGAGTAACAACACTCCTTGATGCTTGAAGTCATAGTTGCCAACAATCTGAAGCTTTATCTGAAACCGTAGGGAACGGTTTTCCATCCCCCCAGAAAAATTAGAACAGTCCGTGACAGCGTAACCATGTCGTCCGAGCTTCCAGACACTGTATTTGAAGCTCAGGAAGTCGCCTCTTCTAATCGTAACAATCGGCAGTTGCGCCCGCTCTACACCAAACGTCAAAATGGCGGTGCCCTCCAAAAAATCGGGGGTATGAGACCCCCCCCCCCACCCCCCCCCCCCCCCGATTTGCTTGAGGCAATGCTATTTTCCGATGTATGTGCGAGACGGGACGCTAAATACAAGTCGAACACGTGTTCCTGACTTTTAACTCTACAGCATGGGTTCTCAAACTAAGTTCCTAGGAATACAGGCGACCCTCAGTATTGGTTCCTCGAGTTGCCAAATTTCCACGACCATACCCGCTCTTAAGTGTGCATTTTTCCCGTTTAAGCCTAAGCCACTTAGCGATATATACAGCTACGACAGATATAGCTATGCAGATCTGAGCCACTTATTGATAGATATAGCTACGAGTTAAACACCGCCTGGTATGTAATTTATTGTTCACGAGGTCTGTAGGCTTCTGCGCTGCCTTTGTCGGCTGCCGTTCAGGGCAGGCTAAGGGTTCTTCGAGATAAAAAAAAGTTTGAGGGCTCCTGCCCTATAGAATTAAAGTGGCCAATTAGGCTAGTTGGTCATGATTCTTCACGAGGGTTCTTAAAATGTGTTTCTTATTAACATATAAGCATATCTCCTGATGCTCAGCTTGAATCTGCAACCAGATTTAAAATGTATTGTTTTCTGAAAACAATGCAAATGCAAAGTATGTAATCCTAATTTGGGCATTTGTTATAGGTCGTTAGGGTAATCTCTCACAAAAGGAAAAAAACTCTTCCAACTACAAGTTGTGATCCCCAAGGATTTGTCGTACATCCTAAAGCTAATAGAATATTTATAAAGGAATTTTATTTATTACGAATAAATCGCCATTCCGAAATGGAAATGAATGGGACAATATAAATTACCCCAAGTTGCAGTTTATTACTTTTTTTATCCATATCTTTAGGATAAAGGTTTTAGGATGCAGTTTAGTTATTGGAGAACATAATTATACCAAGTTTTGTGAAATTCATTTGGGCGAAGATGAGGCAATGGCACTTGACAAAAAAGGCCAAGCTGAAAAAACTGCGCTCAAGGTTTCTTTAACACTTAAGTCCAGCTCCTTGAGACTTCGAATTTGCTGTCTTTAAGATAGCCAGGGATGGAATCGAGCAATTGTATTTTGTGGAGAGTTAAGGCCCGTTCACACTCTTGCGACCTCTTAAAACTGGGTTCCTTAAAACCTCTTACAACGAGAGGACACACTGGCGCCATCTATTGGGTATCAGCGTAAACTTGGCGGTCCGGCATATTTTTTATTTCTCTCGCGCATTATCCATTCTTTCTTGGCTCGAAAAACTTTTGTCAACAATATAAACGAGCCTTTCTTAAAGGTATTACGCACATTTGACCTTGGAAATCCCGCAAAACCTTCGCTCTTGTGAAATGCAGTTCCAGGGTCACCGCATAGATGGCGTCAGAATGCCAGTGTGTTCCCTCGTCCTCAGAAATTTTAAGAAGTTTTAACAGATTGCGTTTCTGTCGGTCGTACTCGGTTGCAAGTGTGAACGGGCCTTTAGTCTGGGCTGTAAAGATTTCAGAATAGTGATTTTTTAACTACTGTAAAACCCTAAATGTTTGCATAATTTAAGAGCACGAAAAAATTTCGGTCCTTAAGAGTTTCAATGCAGGCGTCTGGAACTTGCGAAAGTTAGTGGCCGGGATTATATCCTCCATGACCGATTAGCGAAAAGTAGGGGCCGCGAAAAAAAACGGTTTTACAGTATCTACATTTCATGATTGTTTGCCATCTATAGACCCTTGTCTCCCCTTTAAGGCTAACTGTGCAGCTGTGCTGCTCGACGCAGATGGCAGGGCAAGAGCGGGCCCTGGGCGGAGGAGGAGTTCAGCTACGAGGCGGTGCACAACGTGCAGGAGGCCCAGGCAGAGCTGAGCGTGAGCATGCGCCAGGGCATCCGCAGCTGGAACCGGACCGTCCAGTACTGGCTCGCCGTATACTTCTACAAGCGGCTACCCCTGCCAAAGCCCCTCAGGCAACTATGCCCTTTTTTCTTGCATCTCTCAGTGGTGATAGTGCTGGTGGCTTTCGGAACCGCCCTCCAGAAGTATGTTGCAATACTGAAAACGAGTCTTGTAACCTAAATATTTCTATGGAAGTTGTTTTATTTTCAGCAAAAGTTTATCTTTTGGTCTACGTAATCTGCTCAGGCACTTTCACCGGCAGACGTTCTTCAAATTATCGCAAGTAATTCTTGCTTACACTATTGTGAACAAATGTTGCTGGCGACATAGCAAGTAACATTTGCAGCTTGTTGCTTGCAACGTTGCAGGCAAATGTTGCGATGAAGCAGCTAGCAAAATTAACCCTCTTTTAATGCAGAATTGTGTTCCTGGCAGAAGCTAATTCAAATTTTGATTGTCCCATGGCATGCTTGGAAAACCACACGGCGACGCGATGACAGGTCACGCAACATTATGGTGTCGCATGACTCATGGTACGAAGTTGTATCAAGTGATGTCATGGTGTCAACATTATTGGATTTAGTAGCGTTGACTGTCAAGTCACTTTGCAACACGACATCACGTCACGTCGCGACTCGACGCCGTGATGCCAGGACGCAACGTGACCCAATGTTACACGATCGATCAGTGTCAGGAAAAAGAAATGTCACGAACACCCACCGTTTCTCGCACATTGTAATTGTGCATGCGACAGTTTGATTGATGTATCGAATTGCACCTGCCAATATTTTCCCTTCTTGCAGGACCCTGCTCACCATGAGCCTGAGCGCCGTCTGGCACGGACTTCAGCCCGGCTACTTCCTGTGCCTGGTCACGTCGACCGCCTTCCTCTTCGCCGAAGAGCAGCTGGATGTCGTGTGGCGGTCGCTAAAAGACGCCCGCCTCCGCCTGGCCTTCCAGTTCTTCCAGTGGTTCCTCAAGATGCAGTCGTTCACCTACATGCTCGCCGCATTCCTCCTGCTCGACCTGAGCCGAGTCTACCGCTACTACCGGGAGGTCTACTTCCTGGGGCACGTTTACGTCGCCTGCCTCCTCCTTTGGAGGGTGGCGAGCGGCAGACGACGGAACGCGGAACAGCGGCAGCAGAAGAAAGACTAGGCTGCGTCGTTCCTCTTCTCTTCCAGAGTGATTGCAGTGTAGGGCCGACGGTGTATTAAGGTTGGTTCGCACATCTGCTTTAGAGTTCGATCGACCCCATTGCAACCACTCGCTTACGAATGCCGGAGAACACTGGCGCCATCTGTCAAGTAGCTCTGGAACACTTCATATCTGCGTGTAACTAGACTGAAGGATTTTTAGAATTTGCAAGACCAAACCTACGCAAAATAACTGAGAGATGGTCGGCCATAAAATTGTCAAATATTTCAAGCCCATGGCGAGAGAACGATTTATTAAATATGCGTATGTGGGAAATATTCCGGGATCGTCCAGTAGGGGGTGTAACTGCGTTTTCTCGTCGTAAACGGTCGCAATGCAGTCAATCACTCAAACGCAAATATGGGAACCAGCCTCCATCCACTGGCCGAGACACCTTGGAGCAAGCTCATCGGAAGCAGACAATGTGAGCTGTCTGCTGCTGTGAAAACTGGTCAGAGAAAAGCAAAAGAGAGTTTTAGGTTTGCACGTCGAGAAGAGTGAGAGGTACAGGAAATAGTGCGTCGTCTGTTGCACCGCCGTTTGTGAAACAGACTTTCCAGAAGCAGACGACGCGGTTTGTGAGTGGGTAGGAACTGCTTCATGTTTGGATTTCGAGAAGGACTGTCGGTAGGCTTTGTCAGGTTGATGCCCGGGCACTTGTTCCAGTTAACTTTGAAAAGATATACAGCAAAGATAGCCCAGAAATTAGCAGTTGCAGTGAAAGTGACAGACAGATTCCGTACAGCCCTAGTTCACTTCTGGGGATGACGTCTGCCGATTCCTGCTATAAAAAAGGGTTTTGCGTTGTTTTAAAGATTTAACCTGAAATTACCCAAATCATTCGGACCAGTATCATGTCATCGTGACAAAGGCACTTTTCCACGCAAAAACTATGGGTGTTAGCACTACAGATACTAATTTCACCTGCTATTGGAGATCGCAGACAAAGTGTGCTTACGACTGACTGGTTTACAGTCTATGGGTTCACGATAAAGTGCTGAAAAAGTCGACGGATGCAGAGAGGAACTAAAGAAAGCGGTCCAAAGATCTGTTTGTGTCCGTTACAATAATACTCCTAACACATCTAGTCATCTAGCTGTCTTTCCATCTCATTAGGACACGAAATAGACGGGCTACTGATGGTGTTCTATTTTCTTCCAGACACACACCCAAATAAATTGCTCTTTTTATTGCATCAAAAGGGTGTCGCAAGACCTCCTCTATCTTCCTCTTTACACTGTCTAAGAGCAGCATTTGTGCCAGCACAAATGCAAACGCCACTCTTGCACCACGATTTCCAAATGTCGCAAAAAGCGTGGAGCCTAGTCATTTTCGTCCGGCGTCAACGTTTACGCCGAACATCCTCGAGCTAATAAACTCTCTTCTTGACCAACAAACTTTGTCACAGTCTGCTTACGCCGTCGACCCTCTCTCCCACGGAAGACAAATTTCAAGCCCACACCCAGAGATTGTGTTCCGTCACGCGCATCGCGGGTCATTGCTAATGCTGGGGTGAATGGAATGAGTCTTCAACTGGTATGTCTACCATACTGCCATGCCGACCACGCGAAAAAGTCGAGCCGGTCCGTCGAAGGTGGGGGATGCCGTCCGAAGTCAGTTGCACAGCCGATCCACGGCTTCGTGCAGCAGGTCGTTTTGTTCGGCTGTCAGCTGGGACCTGCGGAGGCACGAGACGTCCCAGTTCAAACTCTGCTCGAGTCAAAAAAAGGAACCCTTTGTGTTTTTGTTTCGTGCTCGGTCCGCCGTGCAAACGAGCTACCGACACTGCTTGCCAACGCAACAAAAGGAGCTATCTAGCAACTCGCGCAATCTTTAACAGTAACTAGCTGGCAGACGTTTTTTGTTTGTCTACTTACATGAATTATTTAAATACAACATGTGAACAGATTCTTTAATGATGATTTTGGATCTGTACCCAAATGCAAAACATCTTTCGTTAAAGAAAAGTTATGACAAAACATAAAATCATAACTAGCAGGTGATTTCTCGTAAAAAAAAGCTTCCTTTTAAATATACATGGTAATTTCCAAGGGCCCACTCGCATCCCAAAGCTAACAGAACGTTCATAAAGCAACATTATTTATTACAGAGTTTTAGCAGATGGTTTTTTGTTCCAATAACGATACCTCCTCTTCCCTCCGGCGGCCTTGGGCATGCATCGTATCTTTATCGGGTGTCGTTATCGGGGCGAAAAAACAATCTGCTAAAACTCTCTAGTAGAATCGAAATAACTACTGAGAAAGGAAAACAAATCTGACAATAATGGCCCTAAGCTACAGCTAATAACTTCTTTTTAATGAATTTGGGGAAAAAATAATGCTTTAGGATACCGTTCCATTATTGCAGAAAAAAAAAAGAAAACAGCTGAAAAAACTACTCTTGCAGTTTCTCCTATGCTTGAAATCAGGCTCTCTAAGGCTTATTAGGATAGCTAGAGACTAAACTGTGCATTCATATTTTCTGAGGAGGTACCACGGGCAGTGAATACTTCAAAACCATAATTTGGAAAAATCAACAATTTTTCAATTTTGGATATTTAAAAGACTTCTGTCCCCCTTAATAGTTTTGCAAAGCAGGGGATTACATGTTTGCTTCAGAACATAGTCGGTATTGTCTGCAACACCAATGCAGAACAGTAGTAATATTAAAATATAAAAATTACTTCAGTATCCGTCTGCTCAAGCTCCGAAGTGGCCAAGTTAAGATGTAACACTGTATGGGGAGCCCAACGCTCCCACAAGTCACTGCTGTTAATAAGTTCGAAGCGAATTCGAAGCAAATAGTGGTTTTGGCCGAACATTTTCGAGCCGAACATTGAATAGTTTCTCCAAGCTTTTCACTACTTCACTATGCCTAAAAAATTAAAACCTATTATTGTTGTATCTGGACTAGAAACGCTTCTAGTCCAGATGCAACAATAATCGGTAATAATGATTGCATTTTCGGGTTTTCTCATTACCGTTGTAAGTGGAGTGTACTGCATCGCAATCACAATACATGCATGCAGGCTTATGAATGCAGTTTCACCATACACATGCAGGGTGCATGAGGTATTTGCAAACACCACTTCAGGGTCCATAACTTGTCATACTTTTACTACATCTGTCTAGGCACTTGACTTGGCCTTCGACTGCACCCATGTCATCTAGTGTATCAATTTCCAAATGGCAACTTCCGGTCTGACACAAGAAATGAAAAGGTATGCCATCCTGGTTGCCTTGGTCACCAACCAGGGCGATTTGGGTATAGCCACCTTCTTGAATATGTCAATGTCTTCTGTTTTCAAGGTCAGAAAACAGCTTTCGGATTTTGATGGGGACGCTGCATCCGTGACCAAGGAAAAAAAAGCATCTCCAGCAGTTGGACGTCGTCGGGACGGCCAAGTTTCTCCAGCTGGTGCAGGACATTGTGAATGACGACCCCAGCAAGTCGACGAGGGCCATTGCCAAGCAGCTTGAGGCGACAGAGTCCATTCTCAGGCTTTTGGGACATGAGAACTTTAGATACCGGTCGTAGGTGATGAAGAGAGGGCACTTTATGTCCCAAAAAACCGAGGAAAACCGTCATCCGATCAACCGCTTGTTGAACAAGCTCAAGCGCTCTCAGGAACCGGACATGCTTTTGCTTTTTCCTGACGAGAAGAACTTTGACTACGACCAAAAGGTCAACAGGAGGAATGAAAGGTGGCTATCTGCAAGCTCCGAGGAGGTTCTTGCGGTCATGCGGACAAAGTTTCCGTCGCCTTTGATGATCCCAGCAATTGCGAGCACCGAAAGAAACGTCATGCCGCCGCATCTTTTTCAACAAGGCCTTAGGAAAAAACTCAAAGGCCTACGTCGAGACCCTCGTGTTGTAGTAAAACCTTGGATGGAAGGGGGCCACATATTTTTCAACGGGACTTTGCTCCCTGCCACACAAACCATGCGGCCCAAGATTGGCAGGCTGACAACCTCCACGACCACGTCACCCCCAACGTGTGGCCTCCTAGCTCCCCAAATGTAAACCCCCCGGATATTATGTCTGGAGCATTGTTGAGAAAGAGACCGACAAGCAGCCCCACAACACCGAAGAGTCATTAAAGGCTGCCATTGTGGACGCTAAGGCCAACATCAATGAGGACCAGTTGATCGGGGCATGCAGCCGTTTTCGAAGCCTCATCGAGTTAGTCATTGCTACCGAAAGTGGTTTTATTAAATAAAGATCGAGAACATGAATAGAAAACATTATATGTACCAAATTATGTGCAAATAAATTAATAATTCGTTGAAACTTGCTATTATGTTGTTATGCTCTCAAATCCCTGCGCACCCTGTATATAAGTGTGACTTACACAAAGGTGCAACTCGCACACCAGCGTTTTTTTTTTTTGGTCACCCATTTATGCCCATTTTGTGAAAACACCCAGTTGTGACTTAAACAACTGTGCAACTTATAGGCTGGAAAATATGGTAGTACTATGCATCAATACCGTGATTTTTGGGAATGCTTCCATTAAAGACAACAACCCCAAAATAGAAGTATGCTTCCTAATTGCTCAACCGAGTTTCACATTCTAAATAGCGTGCTAATTCGTTCATTTTTGTTCCTGAAAGTTTATTTTGCGACGTCCGCGCACTTTTAAAACAATGGTTTTTGTTGCAGTTCAGCGCAGCTTTAAACTAACACGGCGAAATCGCATTCGAGCAAGCCAAAAACTATGGGTGGCACCCTAGCACAGGCGTACGCTTACCAGAGGTGATCTTGCAGCGTCTTGACTGCCTCCCGGTCCTTGCTTTCGAAAGCCATCTGTCGGAGACAGAAACGAGTAGGGTGACCAGACGTCCCGTTTTGGCCGTCCGTTTCAGAGGTGCATTTCTGCTGTCCAGTCATTTTGTCTCAATTAAGCCTCGCGTCCCGTTTTCGTGGTAGCGTGCATGATAGTTTCGAAATGAGTGCTAAGCGAGTGAAAAAAAAAGAAATATGTAATACATTTTATAAAAAAGCAACAGAAAAATGTATCTACTCTAAAAATGGTACCTCCCATAAATAAATCTAGAGCTGCTTCTGTGGTTCCATCAGCCAATATGTTCTGATCGCAGAGACATTTGTTTGGGGCACTTTTTTCGGCTTTTAGAAAATGAAGAAGAAAGGTGCTTGTGTACTCAAGTGAACAAAGAACTTCGGAAAAATGTGCATTTGCACAGTGAACTGAATAGTAGCGGAGCTTGCTGCTTCTTTCGGCCCAGCTATGCTAACCTCTCCAAGGCTAGCACAGCGCTCTTCCAGCTGACCTAACCAGGAGCTAGCCATCGATGGAGGAACGTGTGAATGCTAACAGTTGCCATCAGACCTTATTGTACCGATGGGATCGATTTCCAGAACAGGCGGATTTTTTCGGCGACCACTAGTCACGTAGAGGGCTTGAATTTTTTTCCGTCTCAGATGGAAGTAATTTTATTCATGTGTACATCGTCTCCAGCTTTAGAAGTTCCCCTAACTCATTACCAACCGACACGAAAGCGTACTAAACTATCTTTCCTTTAAATTTAGCTGAAGAATTGAATCGGTGCATGTAAATACACATCAATTCAATTTATCAAATAAATTCAATTGAACCAGTGCATAATTATGTACATCGATTCAATTTTAGGGCTAAATTTAGCGGGGATGTCAAGCACACGAAAAAATTACACCTCGCATCCTGCGCACCTCAGCTCTGTCGCCGAGATAAAACACCCTCTGAATTATTTCATTTTAGGGTAACCTCGCCTAATTCGTCCGAGGATTGGACAATCGCCTGGCAATTACGGTTTAATGGGACTTACCACGAGTGATCGCAGCAAGAGGAACACGTCCTCGCTGAGGTAGCTTGCTGGTAGGAAAGACACAAAAACAAAAAAGAATAGGCATTGGGCTACAAGCATTCCTAATGGTTGCCACTACTTATTTTCACATTTTTCGAGTGTCCACTTGCGCCATAGAGCTAATAATAGGGAAAGGTCCCATGCATCCCAGCTGCTTCGAAACGGTGGTGCATAGACGCGGACATCAATGGTCCCAGTGGGCGGTTCCGACGGGACCACATCGCGGGCAACACCTTGATACACACAACGAAGCAACAAGACATCACCTGTAAGGTTTGGGCCTAGCACTTTTCCAGCTTACTTTGCAAAAAAGAATGCCGGCATCACGCGTTGAGAAAAAACAAATAACCTTGACAAGCACTCGAAAGAATCATTGCAGCAAAAACGTCCACCTTTTGTCTGCTTTCTTTCTTCGCTCTTCTGTCGCTCTCTTTCACATTCATTCGCCCCAGACCGCCCACATCTGTGCTTACGGTTTGCCGCGTTCTGCCCCCGTCTTTATCCCCTCCTCCCCCTCCTCCTCCTCCTCCTCCCCCTCCCTCCCTCCTCCTCCTCCTTCTTCCCTCTCCCTCCCTCCCTCCCTCCCTCCCTCCCTCCCTCCCTCCCTCCCTCCCTCCCTCCCTCCCTCCCTCCTCTCCTCCCCCCCCCCCCCTACTTACGCTTGCTTGGGCTCAGCTCCTGGGGGCTGTCGTAGAGGTAACGGTCGAGCAGACGGGCATGCTCCGCCGGCATCTTCTGGGTTGGAGGCTGGTTGAAAGCAAAAAGATGTGGCGTGGAGACAAAAGACAATCGACCAGGTTTGGAATGCTGGTCAGCCAATCTTAATTGATTCAATTGCAGCGATACAAAACTGATCCGTTAGATACAGATTTTCGAATTGCCATCGAACAGTCAGTGTCAGTGTTACTACTATAAAATCCAATCTCTTATCTCCTCTAATTATCTACTTCTGGAAAAATAGCCAGACTAAGTTTATTTCATATATTTTATTGCACCAATGTCGTGCTTCGCAGTAGGCTTATCACACCTCTTTATGTTTCACCTATACTTGGACTGTCAACACACAGTTGGCGTCCCATATGCTCACACCAATCGCCTCTCCTTCATGCCATCTATAGCCTGTGACTGGAATCACCATCTTGCTCCCATGGTTTCAATCACAGATCATTTAATATTAAAAAGAACACTATCATCAAATCAATGCCTATGGTATTTTCTCATGTGTTATATTCTGTTTCAATTTGTGAGTTACCACATCCTTCTTTGTAATGCTCATGCCCTAAAAGCAAAAAAAAAAAAAGTAAACAGCAGGCATGTGCAAATATTAAATTTTTTAGAATATTCGGTTGAATAGCTCATTATTCGATATTTGCTTCAATCTAAATTCTTATATTCCGAAATTTGGAAGTATTCGGCACTGACGAATAGCGGACGTAAGGCTGCTTCCGATAGTTTCGGTTTCGGTATCATGGTGCAGTCAAGATGTCGTGTTGAGCATTTTCTTAGCGAAAACCACATAGGCATCAACATCATAAAAAAAAGCCGTATTTGTGACTGAGAATGAAACGGAACCAGCCAAATTGAACCTGGAAGTTGATTCTGCTCGTGTTTTTTGCGGTGGACAGCACATGCTCAGCATACTTCTGTACTGCTACTGCTACGATTTCATTTGCTAGCTGCAAAAGTTGGATTGAATGGCTGGAGTGTCCGCCACAGTCACTGTGAACAACGAAAGTAATGGCATTGTGTATCACAACCCGATCTAGAACTATTTCTTAAAAGTTCCAACAGGAACTAATGCTCGATGCGTAAAGAGCCAGGCAATCCTCAAGACTCGAATGAATACAATGACCGCCTTTGCGTCCAATCTAAAAAGGCACCCGCGTGTGCATTAGGCCTACATGAAAGGTCGTCAAGCACGTGGAAATACCGTCAAGCTCAAGAGCGTGAGTGTGCCGAGTCAGCCACTGGTAGCCGACACCTTCAAGCTGATGAAACCAAAGGCACCAAGAGCAAAGCACATGATGAAGAGTTGCTAACTTCATCGCTCACGGGATGCACTCATATCGTCACCGAAAAGCGAGGTTTCCTCGACATGGTGGCATTTCCCATGCCAGACTACAGTGTGCTGTCGCAGACAACTTTCTCACGAGCAGTTATCCCGAACCTCTACGACTCAAAGTATAAGGAAGTGAAGAGAAAGTTGCAGGAGATATTCATAGGAGGTGTGGAGTGCTACTCCATCACAACGGATGGCTGGACATTGCGTGCCAACGAAAGCTACGTCTGTGTGACTGTTCACGTGATGGACAAAGACTTCGTACAGCATGTGCACACTTTGGCGTGCCCGGAAATGATCAATTCCCACATGGCCGACGACCTGGCACGGTTTATCGAGAGCATCATCGAGGAGTGGGAGCTCCCAGCATCAGGAATCTTGCCGCTCTACGTCGTAACCGATAACGGCAGGAACTTCACATCTGCGGAGGCGAGGTCGCTCTGGTGTGGCATGCAGTGTTTCAGACACACACTCCAGATGTGACAGACACACACTCCAGACACTTACTATGGACGCTGAAATGTTTTTGCTCAGCATCCCTTTAAGAGCACGATGGCCCCTAGCTTCCACTGCTCTATTAAAATACACCATCAAGTCTGTCGTCGCAACTGATGATAAGTGGCCAGGGTTACAACCCGTGATGTTATGCAGAGGCAAATCCTGGTCTTGACAAATCTGGAAGTTTTACATGCCAAACCAACAAAGTACATTTGGCTCGCCCCAGCAAAGGACTGGGGATTAATTTTGACCACTCAGGGATCTTTTGTTGTGCCACCGTAATCTTGTTTAGACGTCCCCTGCCTTTCACGCAATAGGCCCCCATGAGTTTGTGGGCACCTCGGCTGGGATTCGAACCTCCCACTTGGGGATCCGCAGGTCGGGACGTCACAGGTAGAAACCATCAGAGGCTGCCACCGAATTATCTCTCGGCACTAAAAGAGGCATCAGGCTGCCACTAGTCAGAGCAGGCAACTTAAAACAGAAGTTTATTGTGAGAATGTAACTAAATAAATATTAAAAAAAATGAGCTCAAATTCAACACTAGCATGAAAATGACGTGGAGCTTTCAGAGAGAAAACTCACCTGCAAGAGGAGTAAAAGCAGGAGTCTCGAAACTTCGGCTGACGCCAGCATGCTCGCAAATACTCCCATGGGAATGCCGTTGTACATACCTAAAAAGACAGACCCAAGAGTGTAGTCAATGCAGAAACAAAATGCCCAAACAAAGGCTTTTTTAAAGGCCGACCTTTGAAACCTTCAGCAGGGCTGAGAATGTTTTCCTCTTTTATAGAGAAAGGGGAAGAGCTCCTTTTGTACAAACCTTAGGTAATTATGAGTACGGGCTCTAGGCGCCGCCATCTTGCTACTGGCGCGTGTAGGTTGTCCAATGGTCGAGCCTTGCTAAGGGGTGCCCACAATTGCCAAGCCGGCACCAAAACAAAGAATTTTCCACCCATGGTAGCCAGGCTAGCAGACTTGCAAACGCCTATTGGGAGCGTGCAACACCAACAGAGAGCACGCTGCTCCGCCTTGCCTGTGACAGCGTACGCGTTACGTCATATAGTGATCGCTGCCCGCTCCATTCCATTCTAATGCGTCCGCAGCGTTCTCATGGCCATGTTTCTCAATCTCGCTCCAAAGTAGAAGGTTTCGCACCTTGACATTTGAAACCTACCCACGCTCAGCACCGCTCTGCAAACGTTTTTTTTCTGCCAATCGACCGGCAGAAGTTGCCCGGAGCTTGGGTTCAATAGTGTGCCCCGCAGTTGAGGGTGGCATGATGACCCCCCGAAGAGTTTGTGCATTCTACGGTTCCGAAATCTCCGTGAAAGACATTCACCAGTGCCTGTAGCCGATGAAATCTACGCGACAAGTACTTTTTGCTCGTCTTATCGTCGGATTGCCCTTCGATCCGCCGGCGGATCGAGTGGATGTTCTAGGATCGAGATGATTGCGGCGCTTTCACCAGAGCATGGAGGTGATCCGTGTTCCTGATTTCCGGGTGTCGTGTAAAAAAAAGTTAGCGCCAACCATGCCCCCCAAACGTTCTGTATGATGCTCCACTCAGGTAAGCCGACATTAATTATATTAACTAAGGTTGGCTGCTACACCGGACATCTATGCCAGTCTGGCCATGGTTTATGCGAATTAAGCGCTCCATCTAGCAGCCGCACCGTGGCGCTACTGTCTTGTCGCACGCTTCCAATACAGTAAACCTTTGTTAACTCAGTCATAAAAGCTAGAAAAAATTCGAGATAAGCAGAGTTTCGAGATAAGTGAGGTACCGAATTTTCATTGGACTGATAGGGCATTGTGGGAATGGAACCATTCCAAAAATCCCACCAATTGACAATCATGGCCACCGCAAAAAAATCATCAGCAAGCAACACCCATAAGATGAGACGGCAAAACCAAGAAAAAAGTAAAAAAGAAAACAAAAAAAACAACAAAAGAAACTACAAAAAAGAAAAAGACTGAAAAAAAACAAAAAAGACCAAGAATGGAAGATAACATTGAGGGAAGAGACAAACAGCTGCCGAAGGGTGCCCGGGAGAAGAAAAACAGAAGTTAAACAGCAAACATAGTTGTTTTACATGGCCTTTGATGTAACAAGGACAGTCTTGGAGACTCAAATCGAACCGTCGGCGACGCCAACATCGAAAACTCGAACGAGACAAACTCGACTTGGGCCTTACTTTTTTCCTGTGCAATTCCGTAAACCTCGGTGAGTGATTCCAGCGCCCCCGAGTAGTCACCTGGTACAGCGAGACAAGCACAGGTCAATCTTGATAGAACTATGCCATGTACACTAACGCCTGGAACCTACTTTAGACAATCCACAAAATTCGGTTTCTCAACGTATCGCGCTGCGATTTACTACACAAGCGCGGCCAGGTGGTAGAAGCTTGAGGTGAAAATATCAACGAATGAGCTTACCTTGCTCAATAAATAAAAGCTGTTTCGGGCTGTCTGCCGCAGCATTCGCAGAAAACGTCATGGCCGGGCTCACCTAGCTTTATGTGCTGCCGAAAGATGGCTCAACGTGAGACAGAAAAGATGTAGCGCTAGGACCGATCATCTCGGTACGGTGCAATTAACTTATAACGATAGTGAAAAAAACCAAAAATGCAATTGTTATAACTGATGGTTGTATCTGGACTAGAAACTGATCGTTATAAGCGATACATCAATGCATGTGGTATTGTTATAAGTGGATTGCATTGTACCAAGAATAAGGAGCCATGAGGGATTTAAGTCCCTGTTTTCTCATTAACGTCATTTCTTTAATGAATAAATTATTGCACTATGAGAATTTAACATTAGAGACATGCATTTTTGGCATAGTAAAACGTTTCCAAAGATTATCTGCTAAGCTCGGCGTCGGCGCGCTCTATGCTTCCGACATGTCTTGGCGGCAGATTTTAACTAGGCGAGCCCAGTCATGATGTCGTCTGCGAATGCCGTAGCAGATATCCCGAAACCGTTTTTTCTCTTTTCTGTCTTGAACAAAGTGAGCTAATCCGTTGATAATTGCACTCCATGCTTCCACCACCTAGCTGTACCTCTTTAGTAAATTGAGAAACCAAGTTTTGCAGAGCGTCTAAGGATGGTTCAAAGCGTTAGTGTACACACTGCAGATAACCGGCTAAACCATGCATTCAGCATGTCTTTTACACCAAGTCAACACAGTAAAAGATATTAATATACAGTTGTAAAAAGGAGCTGCAGTATCACTGTGGCCTTGTTACACCCGTCAATCAGTTGAGAAAAAAAGAAATGCAATGGAAAACCCTTGTTTTTGCAAGAATATCAATCAAACCAAACATTTCTTAGACAAAGCATATGGGTTTTGTTTCCTCAATTATTTAAATATTTGGCCAAAATGACTGATGTTTATAATGGACTTATGCAAAAGGAATGTTTCTTTCATGCCCATAGATGCACCAGAACAGTGAACCAGCATTTGGACTAACGATATCACACATCTGCTCAATCGCATTGGCGGTAATGTCAAAGGCTGGTTACAATTCAAGGGTTGAAGCATAATGGAATCATGGTTGTGTGAGAAATTCGTTGTTCAGAGGTATACGTGATTGTGTGAGAGATCCACTGTTATGAGTTATTCAACGTTCTGTGAGGGTTTCATTGTTCTGTGAAGTATTTAACATTACATGAGGTATTCATGGTTGCGTGAGGGATTCATTGCTCCGCGAGGTATTCAACGTTCCGTGAAGTATTCATTGTTCTGTGAAGCAATCACTGTTCTGTAAAGTATTCACTGTTTTATGAATCACTGTTTTGTGAATTGGAGACAAGCTAACTTCAGAATAAAAAATTAGTGACACGACTCGTTTACGAAGTATCCCACTACTAACATGACCCCGTATCAAGTGCAGGCTCACCCAACTCCACTTGACTTAAGTCCCTGTTTTCTCATTAACGTCATTTCTTTAATGAATAAATTATTGCACTATGAGAATTTAACATTAGAGACATGCATTTTTGGCATAGTAAAACGTTTCCAAAGATTATCTGCTAAGCTCGGCGTCGGCGCGCTCTATGCTTCCGACATGTCTTGGCGGCAGATTTTAACTAGGCGAGCCCAGTCATGATGTCGTCTGCGAATGCCGTAGCAGATATCCCGAAACCGTTTTTTCTCTTTTCTGTCTTGAACAAAGTGAGCTAATCCGTTGATAATTGCACTCCATGCTTCCACCACCTAGCTGTACCTCTTTAGTAAATTGAGAAACCAAGTTTTGCAGAGCGTCTAAGGATGGTTCAAAGCGTTAGTGTACACACTGCAGATAACCGGCTAAACCATGCATTCAGCATGTCTTTTACACCAAGTCAACACAGTAAAAGATATTAATATACAGTTGTAAAAAGGAGCTGCAGTATCACTGTGGCCTTGTTACACCCGTCAATCAGTTGAGAAAAAAAGAAATGCAATGGAAAACCCTTGTTTTTGCAAGAATATCAATCAAACCAAACATTTCTTAGACAAAGCATATGGGTTTTGTTTCCTCAATTATTTAAATATTTGGCCAAAATGACTGATGTTTATAATGGACTTATGCAAAAGGAATGTTTCTTTCATGCCCATAGATGCACCAGAACAGTGAACCAGCATTTGGACTAACGATATCACACATCTGCTCAATCGCATTGGCAGTAATGTCAAAGGCTGGTTACAATTCAAGGGTTGAAGCATAATGGAATCATGGTTGTGTGAGAAATTCGTTGTTCAGAGGTATACGTGATTGTGTGAGAGATCCACTGTTATGAGTTATTCAACGTTCTGTGAGGGTTTCATTGTTCTGTGAAGTATTTAACATTACATGAGGTATTCATGGTTGCGTGAGGGATTCATTGCTCCGCGAGGTATTCAACGTTCCGTGAAGTATTCATTGTTCTGTGAAGCAATCACTGTTCTGTAAAGTATTCACTGTTTTATGAATCACTGTTTTGTGAATTGGAGACAAGCTAACTTCAGAATAAAAAATTAGTGACACGACTCGTTTACGAAGTATCCCACTACTAACATGACTCCGTATCAAGTGCAGGCTCACCCAACTCCACTTGACAAGAAGCCAGTTCTTGAAGAGCATCCGCATAGTCCAGGGCACACTGCGTGAGAAGACGAAGTCGTGTCTATCTCTAAAACATTGCAGTCTACACTGCCTGCACGAACGAAGCAAGACAGGGTCACGCATACTGATCCATCGTGTCAAGTTGAAACCAAGGGCTCCTCGTCCAATTTTCCCAAATGCCATTGTTGTGCCCATGGTAGATTATCCTGCCCCTAACCAACAGTGAGCAAAATTTTCCGAGCCCATCGAGCTAACTGAGACGCTCCAACGCATCAAACTTTTCTCCTAGCGTACCGGTGCAAAGCAACGAAGCCTGACGCCAGAGTGCCAGTGCAAAGCGGCGAAGTTTGGTGCGAGAAACTGGGGAAATCTCAGAGATATCTATTTGACATTTATAAATAACAGAGAAATAGTAATGTGCCTCGAACTGAAAAAGTGCACCGCAAATCGAATTGAATAGCAAACACTATTCGCGGATCACTGCATCTTTCAGAACGCAGTCTACAAACTATACGTGTTTTGCTTTTTTCCATGATTGCTCATTATGATGAGGAGGCGCAATGGATTTTGTGAATGACAGGTTATGATAAGGATGACTCCTGTATGATACGAGCTTAATTCTGCACTAATAAAACGGGAAATTTTCAAGGTGTGTCGTGTTTGAAGGATATCTTTTTTATGCGCAGACTATGCACTAGGTGCAAACTAGTATCTAAGGAAAACCTTTCTTTCGGCCAAAATTTGCGCCGGTGGACTAAACACAGGGTACAGAACACAGCCCGGAAAACACGCCATTCAAAGTTTCTGGACATAAACACCAATCTATAAAGTGCAAGCCGTCTTCTCGCCAGCGCAAGCATTCCCTTAACAAATCCGACCTCGGTTCGACGAGCGCTCACCGGTTTCTGGAGCTTGACGGCCCGCTGCAGGAATGACACCGCCAGGGCCGATCGCTCGATCGATCGCAGTTTGTGCGCCGCCTCCATGCACAGGGCAGCCGCCAGTGCCGGCTCGGGGAGCTCGATGTACAGGTCGACAGCTCTCGAGTAGCAGTGCAGGGCATTCGCCAGGTGTTCATCCAGCGAGGGGCACAGAAGCGCGTGGTTGCTCGCCTCGGCCTCGAAGAACTGGCGTGCCCCCAGCGCGAGCGATTGGGCCTCCGCAGCTGCGTTGCCCGTCGACTGCTCGCACCTGCGACAAAGAACGGCGGTCGGGGCAATCTGCCGTGTGTCCACCAAGCTACTTCTCTCAAATTCTCAGACTTTTCCAGGTTTTCCCTGAATGTTTCAATTAAAGAAAAGCTGAAACCCTTCTTAAAAAATATTAGATGAAGGTTGATTGGTTGATTCTAGCATAGTTTTATGCTTCCTTGGAACATGTCCGTGACTGGTATGTTTATTGAGTCTTCATATGTCGGTCCCTCAATTTCTGCTGGGCGACGTAATGAAAGTGTGGCGCCATTGTCTGCGGCGATCCGGCCAGTGGCATGGCAGTGGACGCAACAATCAGCAATATAAAACTTCCGAGCATATGGTAAAAAAAAAAAAAAGAAACTTGTGAAATTGTATTTTATATTTATGGAAACTAAACAATCTCTGGGTATATTTCCGAGCAAATGACGAAGGTGGTCGAAGCTGGTAGGAAGAACTTGAAACGAAACCTCCTGGATGCTTTGGGAGCTAGTCAAGCATGTGCTTGCCAATAATTCCACAGCTCTAGGCAGACTGCCTCAAAGAAAAAATGCTAAAGATCAAGCATTACACACGAGCCTCCCAAACACCGCAGCTGTTTACACGTGATGCTTTGTGTGTTATAAGAGAAAGTGAATGAGCAGAGGACTCACTTGGCGGCCGCAAGGCTGCACATGCCGGCATAGTGAGGGCAGTCCAGGTGCTGAAGCTGTTTCCCCAAAGCAGCTGAAAAAGCGACGAGTCACGCCGACATGCTTTTCGGAGATTCGTCTACCAAGTGCTGGCATTCGTGAGGCAGCTCTGTCTTTCGGCCGCCCCATTATAATTCTGGCCAGCAATGTTTTGAGGAATGAGTACACCTCCCAGTGCCGGTGATGTGCCGTGTTCTGAGTAGCTTTTTGTCACTCCAATAATGCAGGTCATGGTGAAACTTTCGAACAGAAGAATATGAAAGTTGTGGTTTCTCTACAACTGCCATACATTTTTAACAGTGGGGTGATTGATGAATGCATTCACTCTACTAGGCCTCCAACCATGCACCCTGCTGTACCATCCCTCCAACCCTTCTACCGTGATCTCTTCTCGAAGAGATCACGGTAAAATTAAGCGCAATGTACACTGTTTGATCCAGGAGACTGCTTTTCTGTATTATATTATGGAGAAACAGTGTCTTGCTATTATACTACAGTGAAAGTGTCTGTACTAAACAGATTATGGAATCTGTTTAGCACAGTACTATGGCTTCCTGCGCATAGAAGTGTTGACACTAGATGACGATGATGACCCACAGACACAGAAACATCGGCCACTTGGCACTAACTGCAGTACAAATAGCGCATTCTCGAGAAGCAGAGAGAAAGTATGAATGTGGCACACGAGTCAAAAAAGGGGTATTTTCGTCTGAACACCAAGCATTTGTGAAGTTCCTAAGCAACTTGTAATCTGCACAGGCCTCCTCTTCAGCGATACATTTTCGATGCAGACCAAAAATAAATGGCTCTGCTAGTGCTGTTAAGTGGATTTTGGAAATCATTTACTTTTTTTTTAATTTTTGTTAGAATATGCTGCATGCGCTCGCAAATTTTGCGAACAGCGAAGGACTACAGGCGGGCTTGATTTAGGTTTTTTCTTTTCTCAAATGACAGGTTTAAGTTACGGAGTTCACACAATAATCATTTCTATCGATGTATTTTTCTTTCTTAGCACACATCTTAGCAACGCCGAGAAATGATCCATGTATGTGGCCCTATCATTCCAGCGAAATTGTTCACCAAATTATGCACGTTAACATGTGTGACTCACTATATTGGTCGCTGACTTCGGCCAAGTTGGGTTTGCGAAGGAACCGTCTGTAAGAAGAAAATTGAAAGCATATAGTTAGGTGAAATAGCTCCTTGGAAATCATCGAACACGGATGGAACTTTCCGGCAGCACGCCTCAGTAAACGCATTTACGCTCCAAAGCACAGCAACGAGACCAAGTAGAGAAAGATAAACCTTACTTTTTGAGTTTCGAGGATATGTTCTTGTAGTGCACCATGAAATCCTGCTTATTCGTTTCCATTGCACGGGCAACAAAACGAAACAACAGCCTCCCAAAACTGCACAGCCGCTTGTGAAGGAGTTAATGTTCCTGAGTAGAGGTACAACATGCCGATCTTTAGGCAACCCATATGGTGGCTGCCATTGTTGAACCGGAAACTTTTTGAGCATGAACAAACTTATAAAAAAAAAATACAATAGCAGTATACGATACCTCATGAATAATTGTTAATAGTACTTTTTTATGTTTTCAACAGTTTTTATAAATAGTTTAAACATCCAAATTATATAAAGTTGTTTCTGCGCCAAACAAAATCTGCTATCATCAGCATCACAACAAACTTGTTTCCGTACATCCAGGTACACTGTAGTTGCTGTAGTCCAGGGGAAGCGAAATCAAAACTGACATTCAAATAGAAGGTTACCGAGGGCCCTACTCCGGCCGAATCCCCTTCGAGATTTGCATTTGTGACTTTCCAATGTTCGCGGTGACCATGTTTCGGCGTGACGTCCTCCGACTCTACAAACAGATGCTGAGAACGGGGCGGACGTGGGCCGCCCAAAATCCGGAGAAAACGGAGGAGGAGCAGTTCTACATCATCTCCGAAGCCAGGGAGCTCTTCAGAAGAAACAAATCTGTAAGTTTGGGGCAGAGATTTCTGTAAAGACGTCATCATTGGTACTACATATAAAATAGCGCAACAGGAACAAGGACAAGAAGTAAACAGGACAGGCGCTGTACTTAACGAGGGATTGTTCGTTTTTCAGGAAACGAATGAAGAGACTATCAAAGAGTGCTTGAGAGAGGCCCAGGCGCGGCTAGACCTGGGTAAGTACGAAGTCGTGGTGGGGAGAGCCGCTTCGCACCACGACATTTTTGCTTACAACACAACCCAACGATCCTGAAACATAGTACAAAGCTCATGGTTAGCCCAGTTTGACACCACCCATAGGTTTGTATCAAAGGAGCTGCCGGTCTGCAGGGCACTTACATATCGTGACATGAAATTATCAAGCCATAGCGGCTGAAGGCATAGTATACAACCACATCCTGTCAATGCGTTTTTTTTTTGTTAATTGTGTGGAAGCATAATAATCCATCTCCTTTTGGAGCCTAGAATCTTAAGGAGCTAGGCTTATTGCATTTGGGTGATACAGGGTGACCCACGTGCTGTCTGCTAGTTTGGGAGATCCCCAAATGTTAAATTTGAAGTGCATGCAACCTTGTGGTATGAAAACACAGAGGAGCCATTTTGGCACCATGCCCTGTAAACATATAACATGACTGGAGCTAAAACAGGCTCAAATACTCGCAAGGAAAATACATATACTATATCCTTTCATCTTATGGCCAATTCGTCTGGGCCCTCACCGCACCCGTCCATTGCAGTAAACTCTTTCCACTTTAGTACACGAAAGACTGGCGGGGAGAGAAGGAAGCTCCCCTCTAGCCTTCCGTGTACTACGAATCGCACTGCACCAGTGCAGTGTGGGCCCAGACGAATTGGCCATTACAATGTCCCACGACGGACAATCCCAGTTGAAAATTCCCATTAAGTTCCAATTGGAATTTTTTTATTGGTACCAATTGGGTTTTTGGCCAATGGGAACCATTCGGAATTCTTTGAGGTTCCAACTGGAAAAATAATTCCAATTGGTGAGACCCATTGGCCAGTGTGCTTCCCGTTGGAACCCACTAATACCAATTGGTTCCAGTTAAAATCAGTTGGAGTTCCAATTGAATTTAATCGGAATTTTTAGCTGGGATAGGAGCGACTGGAACTAATTCGTAGCTTGGAATGTGTCGCAGACCTTTCGATTGGGCGAGCCCAAAATCACATCGCACACGCTGGATTGGTTAAGAGGGCCCGCAGCCTCTGTTACAGTGCATCATGCACTCCAAGAACAACCGCTATTACATCCAGTTGCAAGCATGGCACCCCGACCGGTGCCCCATGCGTGCAGCGTGCTCTAAAACATAACTTCGACAGGCTTGTAATTGCACAGGCTTTCTCGCACGAACAGAGACATGGCGGCTGCTAGCTGCCCCGCTCGCACTTCATCATCATCGTCATCATTTATTAAACCTTGAAGGCCATTGCTGGCATTACACAAGGTGGGAGTAACTGCTGAAGAAACATTATATAAAGGAACAAACAAAAAAGTGGGTTACATGCTGGAAAACATTATAAAGCAGCAAAAACAGAAAAAAAAACACTTAAAACATTTTTAGGGAAAAACATGATGAAACAGAAAAATACCCAAATAAAACATTTCTATAAACACGAGTTGACTTTGCTATTAGTGCAAATGCAGATGGATGGTCAGTTGGGATATGAATGTATTATAATCTGTCGGGGTCACGATACTGTTAGGCAGGCTATTCCAGTCCGTTATTGTGAATGGCAAGGTGGAGTTAAGAAACGAAACTGACGAGGCGAAAATTAGACAAACTTTACAGACGTTATCAATGCGAGGAAATATACGAGTGGCTGGGGATAATAGTGAAGTCCTGATGTCATGGTTATGGTAGTAAATCTTGTGAAAAAAAGACAGGCGTGATAATTTCCTTCTGGTTGAGAGGAGATCAAGGTTAGCTTTCATTCGTAAAGAAGTGATGCTGGTGTCTCGTGAGTAATCTGAAAAAAATGAATCTGATTGCGCGATTTTGAAGTGCCTCTATGTTTGTTATCAATGAATGTTGCCAAGGGGACCAGATGGATGACGCGTATTCAAGTTGCGATCTTACGAGTGTAGTGTAGTCTAGTTGTTTAACTGATGATGGCCATATTTGTTTATAGATTGGGGGGAGAGGGGAGATGGAGGGGGGAGGGTATACACCGGACACCATATTTGAGTGCACTGCTCAGAACGAGCTCACATTAATAGGCTACGGAGAGCGGCAATCTAGATGGCGTGGAATGCACGTAGCAAAAGAACTGGAAGCTCGTCATCACCACACTCAGTAGTCACACGCACAAATATGGTCACCAGTGAATACTTTCTATATACTGGGGATGGAATTCTTCCAGAGGGAAGACGTAGATGGACGTCGCCAAGACTCAAAAGCCGTCCTTCCAGATGCCTTCTTCGTTTCTTTTGCAGCGCTGCATTACGGCAATCCTTACCCAAGGCCGGTCAACGTAGCAACGACCGGACTGACTCCTTGTCAAGCGAAGAACCTCAAGACACAGCAGAAGCTGTGGAAGCAGTCCAGGCCAGTCTACATGCGCTCCATAGACATCGAGACTCAGCAGAACCCTCCGGCGGTAAAGACGACAGCGAAAAAGAAGCCATGATGGGTAACCCAGATTGCGCAATGCACCGTGCCACAAGACCCCACGAAAGTCGAGGAACCTCTTGGAGGTGTACGGTGTGCGGTGCCGCCGGCGACTGAACGCTCATTGAGGGTTGCACTGGTGTTAAATCGAAACCAATAAAACAAGATAGCCTCAAATTAATTAATGATGTTTGAGGCGACGATTATTCCCGAGTTTTAGAAGAGGGTATGGAAGGAAACGCAATGCACTTTATGTATGCGAGAAAGTACAGCACTCGTCACTGCACATGCACCATACGCCAGTGTATGTGTACACAAGTACAATGTTTTCAGGGTCTGCTGTGCATACGTGAAGCCCGCTTTGGTGCCACTCTAGCTGCTCTGCAGCAGTAATTTGTGCATTGTTTGCATTTCTGATACTAAAAAGACTCGTCGCAACACACACCAGAACGTTGTGCTAGACGCTCGAGTTACGTGTGCAAGGGTGTCGATGCTATTCTAAAACTCACGCCAATTTCGACCTTTGGGCAATGCATCGTGGCTTTGAGTACGCTTGTGTAAATAGCTCACAGCCTGACCTTGAACGTCGCCTGTTCTTGCTTCAAGACTTGAATCCAATTTCAGTAAAGCAGCAGGGCTTACACAACTGAACAGGTCCGTGTCTACCAGTGTCGCAGCTATGCCAGTTTAGCCGAGAAAAGAAGCCAAGGATGGACCCCTTTAGAAACCGGTATTGTCTCCACATTCAAGTCCCATGATCAGACGACATGCAGCCTGTGCGTTGCCCCACAAAAGTTGCATGCGCAGATTGTTTAAAAAAGCCTAGTATGAAGGCGATCTTGTGAATTGAAAATAAGGAAGCAGAAAGACAATGCACACAGGCCGTATGTGCTCTTTTTATGTTTTCTGTTTCCTTGATTTTGGGTTTGAAGTGTTTGTTGATTAACATTTGGCAATGACCATCTCTTCCTTAAATGCCCTCTGTTAGTACCTTCTTTCCCCTAAAGTATGGGAGAGGAGGACATTACGAGGATTACCCGCTTAACAGAAGACGGATGATGGACTGCAGTCGTAAAGGTCAAAACGTTAACGTAACAATGGTCGCGGACTGAGCAGAAACATCTTCCAAGATGCAAAGAACATTCCCGACAAGCAGAGAAGGAACCAGTTTTAATTTTTGGATAGTAGCGCAATGACGCAACACTAAAAATGAAACATGGCCAGATCTGGAAATGTTTTGTCGAATAGTATGCGTCTATAGTCGGTGACAGGTTACAAGTTCGGGGGAAACTCCTCTTATCGCTTTCCACTTGATCGAAGTGAATACTGGAGAGAAGGTCACCTCCTCTCCAGCATTCGCTCTGCTAAAGTGGAAAGAGGGAAGGAGCTTCCTATTAATTCTTAACCTGTCACCAACTATATATGCATCACACTTTTGCCTAGAAGGCCGTGATATGAAGAGGAACAAAAAATATCTATAACAAAGCACGGGCATCGCAGATATTCCTGGGAATGATTATCTATATAAAACAATATACGTCTTTAAGATATACTTAGCTGTTACAGTCTGGGAGCTTGTCCCTTGCACTTTAAGTTACCACAAACGCTTTTTTGTGGTGTCCAAAACGCTTGGATGAGAATAATGAGCACAGATTCACGTCTCAGACATTGTACCGCAACAGTTGGGTGTTCCCTGTGTTTCGTGAGCTACTGTGGGCACAACGTGAGCCGGTGTTTCATATCAGCCTGTGCACTGACACAGTGGACATTCCTCTTCTGTGGACACGGACTTGATCGTAAACTGTGTTGTCCAACGTTGCAATAAATAGACAGGCACTCAGAGTTGCAAACATCGAGCAGTAAAAACACCGTATGGAAATTACGACAAATAAATACCCAGTCAATCTCTTCCCACCAGAAGTAAAGTCGATATAAAAAGAAAATGAGCTCTTCACAATGTAGAATATTACGAAGATAATGTTGCTATTTGCAATGACTGCGGTACTAGCATTACAAGCTTGCCATGAGCTATAGCTTTACTGTAAGGAGTTATACAGTGAACTTGCATCAAATCGACCCCAGAGGGACCTTAAAGGGACACTGACAGGGTATTTATGCTCGCCAAGGTTTTTATCTATAGATGACATTCGAAATTCGTTTTCTTTCCACCCGAAAACCGCCGATCGAGAAATGGCCACTTTGAGTCGCACTCACACTCTTCTCCAAGGTCACGTGCCGTTTTATATGGTTTAGACACAACCACCAAATGTAATCAAAGTTGTGGGTCATCGAAGGCACACACTCAATATTAAAAATATAAAAAGAAATATGATACCCATTTTTCGTGGCTTCTAAAATACTGCAAATATGTGGACTGAAGAAGAAAAAAAAAAAAAAAAAAAAAAAAAAAAAAAAAAAAAAATTGCATAGTCACGTGATTTTTGCCAACTCTTTCCTCTATATTTCTTCCTCCCCAGTCCAATTTCGGTTTTGAACAGTTGTGCTTTTTACTTTATTAGAAATATATGCGACGTTGTAGCAAAAAATTTATTGGGTAGTGTTCTGACACCATTATAAATCGCTTGGCAAAAAAAAACAAAAAAAACAGCTTGGATTGATTTAAAAGGAAAGGCGAGAAACATGGCCCAAGCCAGTCTCACATTAATTGTAAGTAGTTGCTGATGCTTTCTTGGCCTTTACGCCTGAAACACGTGTTGAACGGCATGCTCTGGAAAGCGCCGACATATTTGAACACGCGTTCAACCCAACTCCGCTGCTCAGTTAGGATGCTCTTGACAGCCTTCTCTTCCTCCTCGCTTCCACCTCCTGCATCCATACTAAGGCCTGTCATGTCGACTGCATTGTTATCGTACGTTAGCGGTTGGCAGACTTCTACGCTAGCCGCTGTCCACATTCACGAAATCTTGAAACAAGACGCCACCCAGGGCAGGGAGCAGACTTCAGCCTTCGGTGGAAGATGGCTCCGCGTCGGCGATTCGTCGGCGTTATTTTTGGCGATCTCCTTTTTCGATAGATCACCCTTGGCCACAGCCCCAAAAATGGCCGTCTTTATACCGATGGACAGAGAGGCGTACTTTCCGCGTGATGCCACACGCAATCAATGCTGTAAGCTTGAGGATATGCAAGAGTTGCAGCACGTGGCTGGTCCAGTCAAAAATGCTAGTGCTGTGCGAACATTCGAATAATCCGCTATTCGATCTTCGCTTCGAGGAGAACTGCAATATTCATATTTTTCGAACCATTGATTGCGGCAGGCTAGCCCTGCTGAGTGCGCTTCTTACTGAGCACCGGTGCACTCTGGAGAAGCAGTACCCGCGGAGATAGCTTTCACCAGAGCCGTGTATAGAGAGAGTTTGGTCAATGGGATGCGCGGGCAGAGCCAGGGCATGCACCAGACTCGGAAAGAGGGCTCGGCATGCTCTCTTGACCAACCAGAAGCCGAAAAGAATCCCCTAGCGGTGGTAGTGAGAAACAGTTCTGATCAAAGGCATATGTTCGTATATGGTTTTAATAAGCGCGTAAGAGTGAAGTGTAGTAACTCTTTGTGGTTGAAAATAGGGTTTACGTGATGTTTCAATCATGATCATCCAGAAAGATGTAAGAAACGAATGCGCCGCTCAACTCTGTTTTGCTAGGACAGTGTGTGACCGCTCGGACGGCAGATTCCCGGACCTCGGCGCTTCGCGTAAGGATTATGTCGATCGTTTCGCTAGTCGCACTCTTTCACCATCATTTTGGATGAGCATAATTCAAACATCACGTGTACCATATTTTCAGTCACCGAGAGTTACTCCGATGCACTTATCAGGTTTGTTTCTCGCGACCACCGCCAGGGTGTTATTTCCGGCTTCTGGTTGGTCAGATTCGAATTTCTGAAGACACCCTGGAACACTCCCAGCCCGCTTTCAGCCAGTGGTGCCTCTGCATTTGTCTCCTATACTTCCCAACGAATGGCCAAACTCTCTACATATACGGCTCTGGCTTCCACGGCCATTGCTTTTCCCCAGTACATCGGTACTCGGTAAGCAAGTGCACTCAACGGTGCTATCCCGTCGTGATCAACACTTCGAAAAATACAAACAGTGTAGCCGCGTGCTTAGGAGGAAAGCACACTTTCAAAGAGGAACGATGCACATGCGCGTTTGGTGTGCTTAAAAAGAACCGGAAACTTTGTTAATGTTGATATCTACATTGCAGTAAACTTTTCAAAATTAAACTGGGTATTATGCCCAAGTATATGTTAGGTGTAAGTGACCTGACAACCTGCATTAACCCTTCGTGACTAGAGAAAACTTATTTGTATATAGAAAGTAAATCCCCTCAACGTGGTATTGCTGGGCATCCCATAGGTTTAATTTTATGTCAAATGCGTCATTTACTGGCCAACCCAATGTAGGCGCTGAACTTTCCGAGGCCACAGTCAATAAATATAGATAGATTAAAATTAATTTAGCTTAAAAATGGACAGGTGAAGGCTTGGGAAAAACCTTCGTGAGTTCAGCTAGGTTTTCTTGTAAGCATGGTGCAGTAGTAAAGGCTTAGAGAAACTATTTGAATATTAAATTCGAAAATATTTGGCCAAAACCACTATTTCCTTTGAATTCACCTCTAACTCAAAAACCATTATTCACAAAAAATCCTTCGCATTTTCTGTACTATGTTATGTGCTTGCAAAGACCAATAATGCTTCCATGCAAAATGCTGTGCAACTGAGCTAAGCAGTATGCAGTAATCTGTACTCCCACCAATTTTACTCATTGCCGCTGACGATGAAGGAGGCCGCAGTTGTGCAGCTGTGGAAATAAAGCGAAAACGATCCTTTGCGCAAAAACCCCAAACAATCGTAACCTAAATAAAAAAAAGCAATGTTGCATTTGGTGTGCGTCCACCGCCTCCCAAAAGTTCCGTGGAGAAAACAAAAAAGAAAAGAAAAAAGAGGTCTTGCGAAAGAGGAAAAAAAGTGAAAGCCGTTTACAACTCCCTGTAACACCGAATTAGAGCGCAGCTCTTGAGGAGGAGGAGGGAAGGGTACTGGGGGGGTGAAGTGACCTGGGGGGGGGGGGTCACACGACCCCCGTGATGTCACCAGTGACGTCACTGATGACGCCATCAGTGACGATGACGATGCGGACTCCGATGACGTCATCAGCGATGATGACGATGACGATGCGGATGTCGGTGACGTCACTAATGAGTCACTGATGACGTCATCTGTGATGATGACGATGCGGATGCCCCCCCCCCCCCCCCCGAAGTCATGTGACCACCCTCAGGTCACGTGACCACCCTCAGTCACGTGACCCCCGCCGAGGTCACGTGACCTCCCCAATGACGTCAACACGTCACCAGCATCCGCATCGTCGTCATCACTGATGACGTCATCAGTGACGTCACTGATGACCTCACCGGCATCCCCATCGTCATCATCACTGATGACGTCATCAGTGACGTCACTGATGACGTCACCGGCATCCGCATCGTCATCATCACTGATGACTTCATCAGTGACGTCACTGATGACCTCACCGGCATCCGCATCGTCATCGTCATCATCACTTATGATGTCATCAGTAACGTCACTGATGACGTCATGAGTGATGATGACGATGACGATGCGGATGCCGATGACGTCATTGGGGAGGTCACGTGACCTCGGCGGGGGTCACGTGACCTGGGGGTGTCACGTGACTTCGGGGGGGGGGGGGGGGGGGGGTCACATGACCTCGGGGGGTCACGTGACTTTGGGTGTCACGTGACCTTGGGGGTCACGTGACCCTGAGGGAGGGGTCACGTGACCTTGAGATGACCTTGGGGGGGCCACGTGACCTTGGGATGACCTTGGTTACGCCGACGCTGCTCAAGTTGGGAACGGGCCCCTAAGAGCTGCGCTCTGAAAGAAAGCCCGACGCTACGGCACCTGACGAAAGTGAACAAACAAATCTCAGGTCTCACGGTGCCTGTGGTGCCGCTGTGATGCAGTGCCGTGCGTTTCGCTCGGGTCAAATTGAACGGTGCCAAGGTTTTGCACATTCGAATTGTTGAATTTCTTCCTCCACAGAAATGTATTGGCGCCCGACAGAACCTTTGAACACAATGAAATTAAACGAAAAATCGAATTAACCGAGGTCGAGTTAACGCAAGTTTACTTAGCACATTTCGAATGATGGTAGAAGCATCTGGATTGGTAATGTAAGTGGTGAAGCTTTTCTTTTTTTTGTTACGTGCATAGTCCTTACTACAGAAGGATTTCACTGATAAAAACGAAGAATACAGTACAAATTAGACGTGAGCAACATGTACAGGAATTGTCGGCACTGCTACCAAAACAGCAAGCAGCATTCTATCCTTTGTCAGCAGCTCCGCCGGAGGTCTTGGTTCGCAACGTCTCAACGATGGCGTAGAGCAGGGGGCTGGAATGAAAAGAATGGATGACATTCAAATGTAACTCTCCCATGCTCAGTTATAGGTTGCATCTTTGTTTAAGCATGGTGGATGCAGTCATAAGCTCTTGTCACATTCTGTTTCTCTTCATTCTGATCTCTTCACTTTGTCGCCATGGTTACACGAGAGACTGTGTCTCATGTCCCGAGACACCGCAGTGTCCGTGGGTGGTGCTACTGTTACGATAGGATTAGTATTGTCCGGCTCATTTCTGGGGAAAGAAATTGTCCGTATGACTTGGAACTTGGCCTTGTCTGGGACATTTGTGGCACACGTTTGTCATGAATTGCCCCTTCAGGCCCCCTTCAGATGGAGCGATTTGGGCGTTGCTCGCGAGTTGTTCCCTAGCTTTCCCTAGGTCCTCGCACTGCAACACAAAATGCTGGGATCGAGTCCGGCTCAAAACGGGTGAGGAACCTGGACAAATCGGAGACCTTTAGAGCGGCGGCAGTCAATCAGGAACGCAATATTTTCACATGACACCTCTGCAGTGGAGATGATGACAACTAAAGACTTGGTTTTGGTTTGAAATGGATCGGTTTTGGGAATAAATAGTTTAAGAAAAATTATAGTTAGCATTCTCAACACCATCTAAAGATAAGAAGACATGTTTATAGCATGTACTAACTGTGTGCCTAAACAGTGCAAGAAAATTTAAATTTAGTGATGATAATAGCAAATCATAGCAATTTAGTAGTTGCTGCGTGTGAATGCGGAAGCCCGTGTTGCTGGTGTTGCGTCGTCAAGTTGCTGGGAGAAATGGCTCCATCTGAGTATGTGACAATACGAAAAATGGCTCGCCAGAGAAGGTACATATACTTGTTGATGGGCATTTGTTACTGGGCATCTAGGGTTATGTCAGCCACCACCGATGAGCATAGTTCAATGTCAAGGTGTATTGTTCTCATTTTAACTTTAGAACCAAGAGCATGTTGAAGAAAGGTGTGTTAACCCTACGTGGGTGCCATCTTCGCTGTGTATTTAAAACAGGCTCAGCGGGCGTTAGACGGAGCAATATTTATTACGATCCGTTGGCCAATTAAGTACAATTGTTTAATGAACTTTTTATGTGTTGGTTTTGTGAGTCATGTTCCAATTGCAGTTTTAAAGTCACACCACTAATAATGGTTAGACCAATTTACACAATCTGAGAAAAGGCAATGATTTTTTAATATTTAGCAATATGTTTTTGGATCTTTGTTGGCAATTAAAAAAATGAGTGCATGAAGCATGCGTCGTTATCAAGGCCACCTCTTCCTTATCTTGGCAGCGCGTGGTTGATGGAAGCGCCGGACGCTGCCTAGATAACGACAAAGTGTCAGTCACTCTTCTCTGCATTATTTAGGGTGCCCATCCTAATTATTAAGGCGTGCTTCTACGCCTGCACTTTTATAACTGCCAACAAACGTCCGAAAACTTATGCATGAATATTTCAAAGCCTGTTGCCTTTTTGCAAATTGCGTTAATTGGTCTAGCCATTATTAGCGATTGGCTTTACAACTGCAACTGGAACACGACTCATAAAACCAATACTTGAAAAGTGCATCAGGCAATTTCAGTTAATTAGCCGACGGATCGTGAAGAATGTTGCACCGTAAAACGTTTGCCGAGCCTGTTGAATACGCAGTGAAGACAGCACCCGGGTAAGAATCGACACATTTTTTCTTTTTTTAAATTCTGTTACAATTAAAAAGAAACACCCTGTATATAAAGGAGATCTGTGGGAAGGAGTTGGAAGAGTCCCGAGAGCAGTCTAAGGTGCTGCTCTCCAGTGTTGCAGTCGCGAAGAAAACGGGAAGCCAAGACTCGCTGTTAGAAGAACATTGAGTCTCCAAGCCACGGTATGACAACGTGCGTGGCAGTGTGCGGCAAGGAATCATTCAAAGGACTGGGCACCTGGTCCCCGTTGGAGACGTCGCCACCCCTTGTCAAGTGAAAACGGCGATGGAGAGATAAAATTTTTTTGTCTTTATGCATTCTGATGAGCTGTTTGCCTGGATCACGAGCGAGTGTTGGATCTGTCTCACACCTTATAGTTTGTTTCGCTTTGTTTCATTAAAACTGCCGATTTAACATGTGCATTAAATTGCTCATTTGTGATTCACTCTTACTCTGTCGCCGCCTTTTTAGTTCACATTCACGCCGAGCACGACCCTATCGCTTGTCAACTGGTCGGACAATTTATTTTTTCGTTTAAAGCAAGTTCTGGGCTTTGCCTTTGCCACGTTTTACACCTACTTTAATTGCGACAGGTCAACCCAACGTTACAACCACTAAACTCTGAAGACTCTTCCAGTGTTCCTTTAACACACAAGTTCCCAGGCTGGATTCCTAGGAGCACATGGGGTTCCCCGAGATTAAAAGTTTGAGAGTCCCTGCTTTGAAACGTGTCAAAAGTTGGCGGTACACTTACAGACGAGAAGCTTTCTCGGATGGTGCCACGTTCAGCTCCTTCTCGAGGAATGCTCTGCCCACACAACTCCGACGATAGCCACTTTCTGCGTGAACCAAACAATCCGAAGTTGCGATTCAAGCTCATCGACCCTTTCGGTAATTCAGTGCCATCTAGTGGCTCAAGTATCAGTCCAAATATTTTAAGCTAACAGCCGTTAAAATCTAGTATCTTTTCGGCAACGGCAGACATACAAAATTTAAGGAGTTCTTTGCTGTGCAGTAGTCTCTTTCTCTCTTCGTTTCAGTTTCAATGATGCCGGTAAACTGACACTCTGAATGAGGCGCTTCCTCGAGCAAATCTCTTAATAATATTTTCCACAATTTATTGTCATGTGCTGTCTGGGGCGTGCCAAAGTCGAGCGTACCACAAATTCCCACAACCGCCTCAAATTCGTAGTGCACGCAAGCTTATAAGTCAGTCTTGTCACACTGACATCAAACAAGAATGCAGCGGAACCATGTCCCAAATGTTCAAGCTCCGCACCAGTGCCTGTCTTCACATTCTCCCTTCATCAGCAAACAAAAGGCAGCCATGAGCATGTACAGACGAGATAGTTATCGAGGTGGCCGGACTGAATTCTGGAAAAGGTCTTTTGTATTTTGTACCGTCTTTTCTCGCATAGTGAACCCATTTTTTTTCCCGAAAAATTTACACATATTGGGGGGTGTGCATTCATTACGGGAGGTAAAATTTTTGCATTTACACACTTCGTACAAATGTCATATTAGGTGCCAACATAGCATGGCAAGGTACTGTGGCACGTCTCCACTGATGAAGGCGCACACACGGCTGGTCTGAGGCACACCACAGTAACCATGCTTGATAAATTGCAAACCTTTTCAGGGCGCTTTCAGCATGCCTTTTGCCGAAGGAAAAGCGCCCTACGAAGCTCACTCAGCACGGAGAGCAACGCGACCGTTCTTAAGCCTAACCACTTTCATGATTTCACTGTCCGAAAGTGGACCACAGACAACGGCGTGTTTTGTTGACATTTATGCATCCGATATGCGAAGAATGTCCGGGGCTGGGCAATGCCTCGACCCAAGCTTCGCCAAGTGTGCGCACAGCTCGGTTTCACAGTTCATCATTTCTGCAACCACGCACTTGCAGCCATTACGAGAGCGGCTTGGCTTGGCTTGACTTGGCCTGACCGCTTGGCGGCAAAAGAAAATTGGCTTGGTGGCTAGCTAAGCTGGACGCAATTCAAGACTCGCGGAGCCGAAAATTGGAGGTGTGTTCATTACGCGAAGGAAAAAAAAGGGTCCAAATATTGGTACCCGTTGTGGGGGGTGGGTTCATTATGCGAGTAAATATGAAATATGTTTGTACGGTGGGAAGTTAGTTGGCCCAACGGGCATCTGGTAGGTTCGCTGTACACGAGAAACTTAGCCAGTGCGATAAGACCGTTAGCCTGGCGTTTTCAAAGCGCTTCGTGCAAGTGATTTTGGCATCCAAGGTCTGCAAACAGTGGCAATCTCTTTCAAACTAGAAAGACAAATACTAGATAAAATGCAGGGGGCAAGCACAGGTAATATATAGACTGATCAGCCAAAACATTATGACGACCCCTACGCTATGAGAATGAGCGCATTCAGGCTGACACGCCATCCGAGTTATCCACCACCTGTTGATGCGGCCAGTAGTAACGGCTGCCGGGGATTCAGGGGATCATTTTGTCCACTATGTGTGCTCGTACTGGAAGAGGTTGCCGATTTAAGCTGCTATTACAAAGAGAATATTAGGTTGCAGCAATGGCTCGAAGCAAGTATCTCGGAGACTGCAATGCTCGTTTATACGGTGGGGTCGGACGTTCGAGAGCTGCCGTCGTCCTATACCTTTTTAAAGTGGAAGAATGACGGTAAAATTGTTAGTAGATGCCGATGCATTGCACGTCCGTGCCCCATCACAGAATATAAATGTCGGAGGTTTTCCTGCTTGGTGAAGCAAAATAGATGGCTTCCTGTGGCTGAGCTGACCGCTAAATTAAATGCAGGTCAAAGCACAGGTGTTCCCGAACGCACAGTTTATCGGGTTTTGTTGGATATGGGACTCCGCAGCAGACGACTCATGCAACTGTTTTATGTGCAAAAGGTGAATAAATACGGTATTTCTAGGTAGGTGGTCGAAATGTTTTGGCTGGTCAGTGTACTCAATATGGTCCGTTAATGTCCCTTTCTATGCTGTCTTTCTAATTCATATAACTACCAATGTGATAGACCCGTTCCAAAATGTGCAGCTCCCTAAGTAGTGAAGAAAATTATTCTGCAAGCTGGTTTTAGCAGACAAAGGAGGCAACAAGAGCGAAAAAGTGAGGGCAGGCGTGCCACTGCGCTGCCCTCTTTCTTTCTCGCTTTCTCCAGTATCACAAGGTAGGTACTGCGGGAGCGAGGAGCCACATACAGGCCATTCCCATAATTCAATGAGCACTTCACGGGTGGTCCTGGGAATTTTGCGAAAGGTCTTCGAGCTGGAGAAAATATAGGGAGGCAAGACCAGACTATATATTGCCAATCATCTGTTATTACAATGTCCCTTTCTGTTCAGTTTTTCTGCCTTGTAACTAACACAACAGCACACTCATCCACCCTAAATAGCTTCAAAGGATCAATGAATCAACCCTTTTTAAAAGTATGGCTTCAGGAGCATTCGGTTCTCAACCGAAGAACTTGAAAAGGCGGTATATACCTGCTTCAAGAATAGACTCCGTCCGTCTGTAGTTGTTGAACGACAGGTACTCGAGCACGAGTTCGTTGATGAGGCAGTTCTCGGGCGGTAGGTGGAGAAGCTGCTCGCTTGGACGCGGTTCTTCGAGTGCCCTCAGGATTTCTGTTCGGAGCCCAGCGCGGAGGGATCGCAATACTCCACCGTTTTCCAGCGTTTCGGTCAAGGCTGCACGCAGTAACATAGACAAATGTTGAGTCAAAGTGTTCTATATGAACAGCAAGTCAACCGAAACACATCTCTTCGCACAAGGAAGAGAAAGTGATCACGTCTGTGACGAAGGCGATGAAGCTCTGTCTCCGCAGCTGTTGTTAGCTCTTCAGCGGTGGAGTGTAGACGGCATCTAGGCTGCGACTTCCTCATTCTTTGTAGTGTGTATGATACTTGTGCATACACACTCCAAAAAACTATGCTACAATGCACCTTTCGAGGTATTTCTTCCCCCATTTCTTGAAGGCCTAAGCCCTTTTTATTTAATAAAAAAAACCCGCAGGGCCTCTTAGACATTTTGTGTGTGTGTGTGTGTGGGGGGGGGGGGGGGGGGGGGTAGTGGTGTGGCACAATAAATTATGAAATAAGTTGGCATTATTGCACACCACTTTCGCGGCACATGGTTAGATTTTGAGAGTTATCTGTTTGCGGTGAGATATAGTTTGAAGATTGTAAGTATGATGAATCAGAAATTCCTGTCTGCTTATGATAAATAGAATAAAAAAAAATTAATGATGTGTACAATTTCTTGTAATGCCAAATTAGAGCACAGCTCTTGAGAAGGGAGAGTCTCCTCTCCTTTCCTCCTCCTAGTCAGCGTCAGCGTCAGCAAAGAAGCCGCCTCCGCGGCAACGTGCCCGATTGACGTGGCGAGGACATGCACTCTTGGGAGGACATCAACGGGCATCCTCTTGTTTCCTATAGTAAAGTGGTAACTGCCTCCTCTTCTTCCTCCTCCCCCTCCTTCCCTCCTCCCCTGTGACGTCATTCGTGAGCTTCGTCAAGGCCTTCACGAGTGACCTTTGTGACATCACTCATGATGTCATGAAGGCCACTTGTGAAGGCCTCGTGAAGGTCACTCTGAAGGTTATGACCTTCACAAGTGACCTTCACGACGTCACTCATGACGTCACCATGACCCTTGTGTCGTCACATGTGACGTCATTATGGGAAATGTCACATAATGGAATGCGCGGTTATGCCGAAGGCGACGCCGCTCAAGCTGGAAACGGGTGCCTAAGAGCTGCACTCTGAAAAGCTCAAGTGGCATCTTCGGTGCTCCTCCAAAAAAATCCAGCCCAACTCTTGTTTCATTTCTGTTGTGCATTAAGAAGCGATCACACCTCCCCAGGACAAACCAAGCAGCAACAGAGTGAATGCGCTCAAGTGCAATGACATAAGCACGACCAAGCAGATCCCACACAGGCAAGCATTCTCAGAAAACCGGTTGATTTCTAAAAGCTGTAGAAAAGGTAAGACAGCCATTGCTACGACAAGCAGACGACACCGGTGTCTGGCATCTGACTGCTGGCCCTGATCCCACTGTGCAAAGAGCAGATGACACTAGCCTTTGTATATCTACCCACTATCCTTCCAATCAGAGCTGGCATTCTGACATCCCTGTACCCGGGCACAAGAAGCAGACAAACTTGCTTGCCATATACTAACTACATCAGGTAAACTAACGGGCACTTTAGATGGCCCTTATGCAAAACATTAAAAGTGGTAAGCCTTTTTATATTGCCTTTAAATTATTTAGTGCTTCTTTTTCTGGTTATATGATAAGACAACCGAGTCAGGCTAAAAGAGTACTCAGGACATAATTTAATAAAACATTTTAACTTGTTTTGCACGCCCTATTGTCCCACGCATTCTGGTGTAAAGCTTTTAAGCAAGTGTTTTGTCACATAATAACCCACACACAAATTTCCCATGGCAGTCTCAAAAGCTGACATTTCTTATGAGGATCCGAAGAGATAGTTGTCTAGCTGAACTCGACGCCGGTGATCAGAGGTTCTGTCGCTCATGAGTAGGCTTCCATTTTTTTCGGTAAATACAGAAACACCCAAAAATTAACCGCCAAACTGGTTTTAACAGAACCGAAGAAAATTAAAAAAAAAAAAACGAATTGGAGCTGCCCTCGATAATGAAAAACACAAGATTCATGGGAAGAAAACCCGTACTACAGCTTTATTTTGTTTTGAACGGGAACATGGCCTGCACTGAACTGTCCGCGGCTGCTTCTTCTTTCGGACTCCTTATCACCTTTCTCTCTCTTATCGGTACCGGAATTACGCGCTTGCTCCATTGGAGGTAAGGGAAACCCATGCCCCTTTTGTTTTTAAACTAAAGCCCTGATAAACACTGATTTTTTGCGAGTCAGCCTGGTCAATCTTTAGAGTGACGTCTAGCTAACTAGAGCTTTCATTGCATCGATCGCGTCTCCCCGCGTTGGTGCTGCCTACCTCATAGGTTTGGTAGGGTTCTGTGTTTTCGGGGTTTATTTTTCTTCGAATTCAGGGATGTTTTTTCGGCGTTTACCTTTTCCCACAGATTCAATGTTTTTCAGAGACAACTTTTAGTGTAGGACTAAAATACGTAGTTTATTGGAGATTACGTTGAAGGAAATAGGCAAGGGATTCCCCAAGCTCAGGGGAAGATTCGTGCGACCCGAATAATCGAAAGACATATTCCCATACCGATGAGGCAAAGAAACGGGATGTGAAGTTCCAGTTCAATCATGTTAAGATTCCCATTTCCCTTTTCACCGAAACTGAAAATTCTCTGAAAAAGGAAAAAATTCCCTGCAAGGAGCATAAATGTTCGAACTCTGTACCCCTCCCGCCCGCCCGCCCGCCCGCCCGCGCCCGCCCCCGCCCCCACCCCCCCCCCCCCCCCCCCCTTCTCCCGTTTTTTTTTTTTTTTTTTTTAATTACGGGGACACTTCTTAGGAGCTCCTCTGGATCCGCCGCTGCATTCCACATAAGGATTTTGGCACGCCCAAGTTTCCTTAACAGTCACGTACCAGGCATTTGCGCCGCACAAAGCTATTTTCATTCTAAATACGCTGTCTTGTTCGTTTCAGTCTCGAAATTTGAGTAGAAGGGACTAAACACAAGTGTCGTCTTACCAGTTTTCAGATCGCTCTCGGCGTCCATACCTAACGCGCTTTACTTTAGAAGGGGCAGAACCACGTAGTCAGCTTACGCAACGCTGAGTGGAAATTCTGCATAAAATATGTCTTCTCACAGAAATTACAGAGACGTTATGAGATGGAAACTTGCTACACAAATTTAAAAGGGCGCCATTATGAAACTGGCATGTAGCTTATTCTGCAGCTGTCATCAAGCAGTTATAGTAGTGAAGAATACGCAATATTAAAATTAAATTACTTAATTATTATCATAAAAATTACGTTTTACTTTGAATATTAACCTAATATGTATTATATTGTATTGCAACAATATCAGAATTACTCTTTTTACGAAACCGTGACTGGCCGTTTCGACTTCGCCAAGATAGCAGACATGGACATCACATTAGCCGTTGCATATCGAATTTCTAAATTTCCCAGGACGTGAAAAAAAAGGCAAAAAAACAAAGGACAGTCCTTCCAAAACAGCCCATTCCTTTGCATAGAGGTACAAGATGATTATAATCGAGCGTAATGTTGACAAGGTCGCCTTCTTCGGTGTCGCCCTGATCCTGTTATCAACAGCGTTGTTCATCGCGTCGTCTGCCGCGGAAGTTTTGAGCGCCGACGCTCGCTCGAATTTTGCGTCGCCGCCCGACTCCGCCGCTGTCGACGAAGAGGACACCTTCGACCACGACCACTTCGAGGATCCGAAAAAGATGCGAGTCATCTTGGGCGACACTTCGGGATGGGTCAACCCACATGACAAGATGGGTTCACCTCAACGACGACAACAAGCCAAGTGAGATACGGCACTGCTACTTTAGGTTCAGTGATGGGCGATAAGTGAAGACGTACGCTACTTCATGCTACAGGCTGCGGCCACTCAGAAGTCCGGAAAACGACCCTTCGAGGTCTTCGTGGACTGAGGCCATAGCTTCGAGCACTGCGAGCGCGAGGCTCGCGCGAGGCTCGCGCGAGCCTATCTTTTTCGTGCTCTTTTACGTAGCTTTTCTACAGGAACCTTGAACATTTTAGGTGTTTTCACGCCCGTAAATGCCTAGACGGCCAGCGAATCGATCAAAATGCATTCGTTGGCACATGAGGGCGAAGGTACGAAAGCGAGGAGTCTTTCCGCGAGTCAGACAGGAGGCGCACAAAGGTGGGAGGCAGTGATCACGTGTGCTTTACGATGCTCCGCCCTAGCAGAAGCCGTTCTCTTCAGTGGGTAGGCAATAACATATCGGCCGTGAGCTTTCTGTTCGTTGTAGCACGTCCGGTAGGCACCAGTCAACGTTACTACATTACATTAAACCCCTCCTTTCCCCCCTTCAGCCCTCCTCCCATCGTTTGAAGCACCATCTAGAGTTTTATTTCAAAACTTTGTATTCTATAGAGTATGGTGAAGTGCCACCTGTTACCATAGCAGCCGTCCCCCCCAAAACGGTGGCGCGTCAAGCGGTGGGAGGCGAGCCGTAGGCAGTCTCGTAATTGAGTTGACCTTAGTAATGTTGGTGTCGGTCGACAAAACAATATACCCTTTCTCAAAGGCTACTTACTATCTTGTTTGTAAAGTACCGGTTGATTTTTGAAAGTCATAGAAAAGGCAGATGACACCGGAGTTCGGAACCCCGATGCCCGACAAAACTGCACCCTGTGCGCAAGGAGCGCACAACCTTGCTCGCTCGATTTGGTGGATACCATGGATAGAAACAAGGGGCTGTGCCCATTTACCGTCCTCCAATCAGAACTCAATGCTCTGACACCAGTGTACCTCTGCGCAAGGAGCAGACAAGCTTAGAGGAAGGGGATTGGTAGTGGAGTGCTTTTCGGAGCGCGTTGAGCTAAAGCTTACGCTGCAGAACCCAGGCATCCTGGATTCAATCCCCTCCCCTGCCCGTCTTGATCTGGAGGAGCGTCGTACTGGCATGCGGTCGTGCATTACTGCAGTATGATGCAGGTCAATTACAAAACCCAGGCTAGTGGTTGTACCGCACTGGCTAAATTTCTCGTCTACAGCTGTAGAACATTCAGGCCGACTAACTTCCGGCCGTCTAAACATGCACACAACGCAATTACTTTGTTACAGACAAATTTGCTCACTGTATAGAGCGATGCATTCGGGAATAAAATTTGTGGTTTAATCGTCTACCATACTCACCGAGACACTCTTGTTTCCTGGTTTGCACCCTTTGTCATTGCCGTTTCGCCAGCATCACTAGACACCCCCTTCCTTTGTATGGGGACCCTCCGTGGGGCTCTCTTGCTTTTTTGGGGCTAACAGTTGGGTAATGTCACAGTGTTCCGCGACGTGACGTCAAAATATTTCCACCAAATTTACCGAGGCTATATCTAGGGTGTGTACTTTCCGGTGTTTATTTGTGAGAAAAATCGGCGGATGTTTTTCGGTGTTTATTTATTTTCAAAACACCGGTGTATTTCGGTGGAACGTCTCACGACGAGGCTAAAAACGGTGATTATTGGTGAAAAAAAAAAAGCGATTGATCACAGACAGAGAGTTCCAATTTTATTCACATAGTTCATACACTTCTTCTCTAGGAAGCAACTATTTCTCACACTAGGTTATTATAGTAGATGCAAGCATACTTTCATGCTTGCATCTACACGCAAGGAACGTGCTGCCGTCATGGCAGCGCGTTCCTGGCGGTTTGCAACCCGCAATTAAGAAAACGCACGCTCCTGTACGACACGGACGTTGGCAATGTCTTCCAGGAACCACAGCAACCTCTGAATACATGGCTTGCACCGACATCACTTGGCCAGACACAATGTGGAAAAGGCACGTGAGAGCCTACCCTCCACTGCGTTAATTTTTCCACAAAAGGGCGCCATGGGAGACACAATAGGGGAAAGGCGTATGAGAGCTTAGCTTCCACTGCGTTCACCAGACGCTTTTGACCCCCAGAAAGGAGGGCGGACTGACGCCACCTGCAAGCCATGTATAAACACTGGAAGAATGCAGGATCCACGAGATAACACGTTTGACGAACCTCTACGGTGAAAGGGTTTCGCTAGGTCGGAAACTAGCAACGACCGGTGTTTTTCGGTTTTAACCAGGGCGAAAATATCCAACTACCGGTGTTTTTCGGTTTTAACCGATTTTATATTTTCGTCACCGACGGATGTTTATCGGTGTTTTTCGGTTAAAACCGAAAAATTCACACCCTAGCTATATCCGCTAAATTCGGACAGCGCGAGCTGCTCATATATAAAATACCTTTCAAGTGCCATTACACCTTCGTTGCAGTTGACAAAATGTTGAAGCCGGTATATTTCTTTCCACCTAACCCAGGCAACAGTTCCTGAACAGGCAGAGGCAGCGCCAGAAGCAGCTGGCCGATCCGTCGTTGCCCGAGTCCGACCCTATCTCCGAAGACACCGCGTCCTCCGAAACCCGGGCCAAGCTCTACAGCCAGCTCCGGGCTCGATCTGCGGCTAATGGCCGCACCTTCAGCCGCCTTCCGACCCGACTAGACGACGATGACGACGACTCCGGCGTAAAAGAAGAACCCGTTGCGGAAGAGGCAGCGGCGCCAACGGCCGCGACAGCGTTCAAGTCGTGCGACTGCGACTGCAAGGCCCTGAAGAGGGACTTCAAGCGCTGCGATGAGCAGGTGCGGGTGCTGAGGCTGAACCAGGTGGTGGCAGACGGTGGGGCCGCGCGCGGCCGGGAGTTCATCTACCTCCGCAGGCTGGCGCTGAACGTGGTGTACAGCGCGCGCTACGGACGTGGCGACATGACGTCCAACGTGAAGCTGGAGATACTGCTCTCTCCTGAAGACGTGAGTCGGGCGTTTTTTTTGGCGGTCATTGTTTTGAATGCTGGAAGAACGGTCTCTCGGCAACAGCGAGGCTCTCGCTTCGAATAGAGTTTCAAAACGCATTTCGTACCAATCAGGTTGCTTTTCTTGACGGACAATGATTGCAGACTCTCTCCAGGCATGTGTTGGGAGTGGCAAGTTTAGGTATGGCGTCCAGTGAATATCGCCGGCTGTAATCTGTCCTAGCCTGTCTCCCCTTTGCTGAATCGAACCTAAACGAAAGGCTAGTTCACACATTTTCCGTGGAGTGTAATTGGCTACGTTGCAATTGCCCCGTGACTGCCTACGATGCGAGAATGCACTGATATTCTTGCTTCCAATATGCAAATACAGAGACTAAAAAAAAAAAAAAAAACGTGCAAGGCTTTTCTTTTTTTGCTGCAAAAATTAAACTATGCATCACCGAACGCTCATTCTCCGCCCAGATGTAGCGCTAGCATTCCGAACAAAATGGCAAAGTTTCAGATCTAACCATTATCTTATTAAAAAAGTTAGAAGTGATTTTCTGAACTTTTTAATGGGAGAACGGTGGCCGATGGAGCTTTCAAATACACGAGACGGAATGGTGTCAGTTTCCGGAAACGGGCGAAAACAGGTCCCGTTTTCCTGTAGAAACTTTCAGAAAATCACCTGTAACCTTTTAATAAGGTAACGGTTCTGGAATTTTGGCATCTAGTTTGGGCCGCTAGTAGCACTACATTTGTGCGGAGAACGAGCGTTCGGCGATTCATAGTTTATGAATGTGGTGAAAAACCACGTAAATGTTTTTCTGGGACAGCCTGTATTATTTAGACATTACTCTTCACCGTGTACTTGAAATATTCCAAAAATGTTACGAACGACCAATTCTCGTGTGTGGAACATAGATTTGATCTTGTAGATACTACACGACCTTCAGTCTAGTTATATGCGGGCTGGAAGTGTTCCAGGACCACCAATAGACAGAGCCAGTGCAGGAGTATGGTCTCTCATCGTAAAGGGCGGTCCAAGCCAGGCCGGAAGCTAATCTCCTGGAGGCAAAACGTGGATATTTTTTACGCAGAATGTGTTATATGGCTGGCACCTAACCATATCTGGTTGTCTGCCAACAATGACAGTCGACTGGCCAACCACCTGCCGAACCTCTTCCTCGAGTGCCTCCGCTACTCAAGTTACTCCCGGCGGGGGTAAAACATTGCGTGCTCAGGCGTACAGCGGCGCTCTGTCGCGTGAAACAAGCGCGCTCCAGACTTTTCCAGAGAAAGAGGGTATGGACGAGCGGCAGAAAAGAAGAAAAAGGAAAGCAGACGCTCACTTTGCCGCAACTGGTTGAGGTATAGTTAAAGCATTTGGTTCTCTTTTGCCACGAGCTGGCACCAGGGCCCTGCTTGGGGCGCTGCGCGTTTCAATCGTTCCGTTTTCCTCACACTCCGTCTACTGCATCTCGCATTCCAGTGGCCTGTGAGAAAGTCGCACTTACGGCGCAACCGCAGAAGGGGCACCTACAAGTAAGACATCCACGGAATGTTTACTTAGCACGACATAGGGCCACCTCGTGCCATCCAGTCTCCGCACTAACACCACATTCTGTGTTGCCGCTGCCTTTGTCACTGTAGTATGGAAAAAGGGGAAACTTTGTTTTTAGAGGTGCGACGTCGCCGGGGACATATTCTAGCTTCCGCTGGATGGATTCAAAGTCGAAAATATTTAAACTTTCGGGTCCCTGCAATGACCATACAGGGGCGGGAAGGCACTCCTCATCTCTCGGGAACTCTACATAAGGACAAAGGGGGGCCTAAGGAGTAGTTGCTTTTGTTGTATTCTTCTCCTCGAAGTCACTCAAAAATTCCACAAAAGAAGCTTATGTTTTCTTAATAAAAAAAAACAAAAAACAGCGCGAAGAAAAGGACGAAGTAGAAGGCAACCGACGGGGCATAGCGCTGACACTCTCTCAACTAAAGTTTATTCATGTTGACACCTAGTATAAATAGTGTACATGTCGCCCAAATAAATTGAGAAAAAACACAAAACATGCAAATCACATGTTCATTACACCACTGTCACTGGTATGCCCTCCTCGCTCCAAAAATTGCTGCTCTTACCAGAAGGTAAAATCGAAGGCGCGACAATGCAGTCCAGCCCCAGTCTCGCGATACGGCGTGCTTCGATGACTTCATGAGCGACTGTTCTTATTTTTAACCACCACTCGGCATTGGTCAAAGGCAGGGATTTCGACCTAAATCTCTGCAGAGCACCACGAGACGCTCCGTCACAACTTTAAAAAAAAGCAGCGGTGTTCCCTAAACCAACCGTTAAGACAACATCCCGTTTGACCAGCATGACGATGGCAGCACGATAACGAAATGGAGTGGTCGACTCCCTCTACACAAGCCACAAATTGATTTTGTTTTTTCTAGTGCACACGAGCCTTTCTCTAAACACCAAATTTACTTTTCTGCACAGCCTGGCCAGCTTGTTTTTATTATGTTTGTATACCAACTATAACCCAAACTTCAATGTTAATCAAACTTTTTTTTTCTCCTGCCCGTGGCATTTGTTATGGTGGGTTTTTTCTCTTTCTCAATGCGGCCAGCGTGACGAACTGCCCCTTGATCTCCACTGGCTGTCGTTCGTGATATCACACACATAGCAATTGGCCTCACCTAAAAGACGAGGCCTGTACATTACATCGTCGTTAGCGGACCCCGAACCCGCCCTGAGCATCGACCCGCCTTTAGGTTCCTCCGGTTCAAGGACCTGCATTTTGAACGTTCCCTCCGCCCCCAGGTGGCCAGCTTGGAGGAGCTTGCCCAGCAGACAGAGACGCAATCGGCGCAGCTGGAGCAGCAGCTGTCGGCCATGCTGGCCAGTTCCACCGTGACCCCCTTTGACCTGCCGGCCGGCTCGGTCGTCGACACCCTCCTGGGGCGCCTGGCACAGCGCTGGGCCACGCTGGTGGGACCCGCCCAGCCGGCCTGGGCCATCCCGGGACTGGCCGCACTGGCCGTCCTGGCCGTGGTCGGGCTGCGCGGCGCGCCTTGGAAGGCCTGGGTCGGGGCCTCTCTCCTCTATTTCTTCCTCCTCAGCTTTGTCTGGCACTGGGTGTACTCCCTGCAGGTGAGCCGGTCCCTTGAGGTCTGCCCGAAGCCTCCAGGCTGGTTCTCACATTTGAGTATAAGTGTGATCGACTGCATTGTGCCCGCTAAAGGCGGGGGAACACTAGTGTGCTTAGGTTGGAGCAGGGGTTCTCAAACTGGGTTCCCCGGAACACAGGGGTTCCGCTAGCTGGCCTCATGGGTTCCGCAAGCACCCAAATTGCAGTGCCCCCCCCCCCCCCCACTTAGTTCAACCTTCCACAAACTGAGATTGAGTTGGTGTTGCAGAAAAAGCAACCGCACCCTCCGCACTAATATGTGTATATATACCGTATTTGCACAAATATAACGCTACGCAAATATAACACAAAGGCAGGTTTTAATGCCCTCAAAAAAAAAAATTATTATAACGCGAGCCGAGCTCTGCATCCATTTCTCGCACTCGGGGGCATAGCAGGAATGAAAAGTCAATGGAAATAGAAGAGATATCAGTTTATGTTTTGACTGCACTCATCCTGACTGCTCAGGTCCTTCCGTTTACAATCCCCTTGGCAACTATGCAGATAGGCAGCAGCATGGCACCGCTTGTCTGGTAGTTCCTTTTTCTTCAGCGTGAGCTCCTCGGCAGCCCACAATCCAAGCGGGTGTATCTCGAAACAACCCATTCTTATTTGAACCCTTCTCGTTTGAACCCATTCGCAAAACGCCCTTCTCGTTTTAACCTTTCGCGTTTCGACCCTTTCTTATTTATACCCGTCTCATTTGAACCCATTCTCATTTGAACCCTTCTCGCCTGAACCGATTCGCAAAACGCCCTTCGCGTTTTAATCTTTCGCGTTTCGACCCTTTCTCATTTGTACCCGTTGTCATTTGAACACCGTAGTGAGGTATAGAGAAAGGAAAAACAGTTAAACGGGCCCTGCAATAACTTTTTGACTGGTTTTTAATTTGCACTGAACCTGAGCGTACTGAGCGTAGTAAGTTAATTCAACTTTTCTTTTCTCAAATTTCGCTTTATTTTAAAAGTTATAGGCAAATTAGAATTACAAAAACAAGCAAAAAATAACCTCCTTCATGACGTCGTAGGTCCTGGCTTGAGTGGCCTTCAACTAGAGGAGGAGTAGTGAGCTCATCGAGCGCACACGGCTGCCGCACTCCGTGTCGACGGCTCGAGAGGGCGCCACTAAAGCACGTGTTGGATAGGCTGTACGAAGCGGACGGCCAGGGCAGCTCGCATTGCCTTTGCAGCGCGACTAAACACTAATTTGGCCTAACATTTCATTGACCACAAACGACAGTAAACACGGGGTAAAGATCAGTTCAGAACGGGAGCCACTTCGCGCTGACGCACCGCCAAATGGCCAAATCGCCAGCAGGGCCCGCGCCGAAGGCCTTCGGAACGCTCGGAACCGGTCGGATTCTTGAGCCGGTATACGACCACAGCGTCGCCGCGTACATCCGGGACCTTTCTACGCTCCTCGTTTGTCGTAGCCTCATCCCACTAGCCTTTTCTAGTATGCGCCGTTTTTTTCCGCCGCTTGGTGGCGGGTATGTAGATGGGTCATTTCTCGTTTTTGCACTTTCTAAGCTGCATTTGTTTCTTTTCTGATCTAAAATAGTGAACAAAAACTACTTTTATACATAATTGAAACGGTTCGCGACACTTATATTTTGTATCTCGACTAAAAAAAAGCTCTTAGCGGCTTTGACCAGTGTGCAAGCCCAGGACCAAAGACGTCACATTTTGCGCGCTTTCGGTACCGCGGGTCGCCCTTGTCGGTGGAGGAGGTTTCCGCGTCGTCCGGTTAAAATATGACGCACTGATATTTAGTTACTCTTTCCGTGCCCGCTGGCTTGCCTCAACCCCAAGAGACGTGGAAACCGCAAAAAAGGTAGACGCTTAAATATGATTGCAGGGCCCCTTTAAGTAGGAGATCGAACAGTCACGCCTCTAGCGGTACGCTTCAGCTGTGGGGACAACAAACCGGTTTTTGTAGCGTGAGCTACACTGGCCGAGGTTGAGCAGTTTCGCGTGGCTCCTGGAGAGCCGTGCTGCGCATGCCCGAGGAGCAGTGACGTCACACAGCGCATAGCTGGCGCGCCGGAGCCGCCACCGCCGCGCGCTCCGCCGCCACCGCGCGCGCCTCGCCGGTCTGCGCATTTCAGAGGAGTGACGTCATAGCCGTAGTGAGGTATATAAAGAAGGAAAAACAGTTGAAGGATGAAGGTTGAAGATGAAGCAAAGCGGCACCATCTCTTGCATAGCACATGAAACAATTTTCCTTATGCCTGCGTGCCACCCCGAGTCTGTTGACGTAGCTACCTGGTCACATGGTGACGTGGTTTCAAAAGTGCTAGTGCAGATTCGGTACTTAATTTCTCTTCTGTCGCTGTATGTCGTAAGATGTCGTCGTGTGGAGCGGATGGATCATTGTGCTAGTCGTGTGTTATTGCTTGTAATGGCCAATTCGGGTGTTCATTTTCCCTGAAAAAAAAAGCTTTCCCATATCTTCGGCAAGGGCGTTTGCGTGGTCAAAGGCTGGCGGGGGCAAGCTTTTCGGGTTGCGCTTCTCAGGCGTGTACCGGCAATTTAACAGCAGAAGTTTTCCCGAGCTCCAAGAGGTCGGGCAGCTTGTCTGCCAGTCTGTATCCAGTATCGTCACATCCGAATCGGGATAGGAAACCAAACGAAACAATGCTCGCTGAGGCGGCAAATAGCGGGTTCGAGTGGCAAACGGAGCCATCGAGATAGGCACCCTTTTGTGCTCTGAGACAAGATATAAAAAACAACGAAGAGAAATGTAATTTGTTTCAAAGAAAGTCAACATTTTTGGAAGAATTTATCCAGCCTGAGCAAGGTATGTTTGCTCTGAGACACGGGCTGCATCATACATCACTTTATTTTACAACTCTGTAATAACAAGTTATTACACCGCTGAAAAAAAAGTATGCATAGTGATGCAGTTTGAAACTTGAACACGCATTACAATTTCAAAGAGGGTGGGTGGAATGGAGAAGACTGAGGATTCCAAAAAAGGTACTAGAGAGTTTTAATAGATCGTTCCGATACCCCCGATAGCCCCGATAACGATACTATGCATGCGCAAGGGAGGCGGTGGCGGAGTATCGGGTACCGTTATCGGAGTCATGGGAACGATCTACTAAAACTCTCTACTAACAGTAAACAGAACATGGAAAGTGACGCTGGCAAGCCTCCGTGGCAACAGTTAATCGAAAATCCAGACGAAGTTTATTGAAATTTGGCGCGCGTGCGGGCAGCACCACACTGATTTATACATCTGCCCTTTCATTGATTTTATATTTTAATATTCTGTCAGCTGTACGGACTGTGGTAATGCCAATATTTTGAAAAGTTTTGTGTAGTTGCTTCTGTTTACACACATCTCAAAGAGTCATAGTTTATGTTGTTGGCGTATGCAGCATGCTCATGGTACCATAGAATGATTGTAGAAGAAGTTAACAGAGCTCACTCGCGACCCAGTCAAATAAAAACACCAGTTCATTGTGCTTTGCATTCGGATGGAGAGGGTCATGTGATGTGCCGCTGGCGCGTTTTTGGTCGCCGGTACCACAGGCAAGGGCTCGAAGGCAATTATTACCCGAATTCGCCATAAATACCGCAGAAAGATTGCGAGATTATGATGTTGGATTAATTTGGGTTCGAAATGAGAGAGGTTAAAATGAAAAAAGTCTTTCTGACAATGCTGAAAACCAGAAAGTATGTTTTGAGAAAATTTAAAATGAGAAAGGTTAAAATGAGAAAAGTCGTTTGGAGAAGGGTCAAAACCCGAAAGTTTGTTTTGAGAATGGTTTAAATGAGAAAGGGAGAAACGCGAAAGTTGTTTTGCGCTGGGTTGAAATGAGAAGGTAAAAACGAGAAGGTAGAAATGTGAACGGGTTCAAATGAGAACCACCCATGCAAGCAATGCCTGAAGCAGAAGCATCAACACACAAACACCAGACCACTCTGGAGCATTAACTAAAAAATGCGCAGGCAGAAAAAAAGACTGCTGAGCCCGATACACGACCACACTTCTTGTTCTGGTCCTGCTGCATACACAAACACCTCGTGTTGCACGATTGCGGAAACGGGGCAGGGTGGGTGGTCTTGGCTTGGCTTGTGTTGACTTTACTTGGCCTGGCTTGACTTGGCTCAGATTGGCCAGTGCCCACATTCCCGCATGGCGCGTGCGCTGAGTTTCTGCGGCGTGTCATACAAACACAAAAGCGATAAAAAAATTTTTTTTTTTAATGTTTGCTATTTGCCCCTTTACGTGGCCCAATAGCTAATAAATTCCCTTCCACATCCCCAGTTCTTTTCCCACCATATCTCCTGCATTGAGCAGGAGGGATGGCGTTCTCCTCTGGCTTTCTCCAGACTCGCGCGCCTCGTGGCTGAACTCGATTCCGGATATAACGGGAGGTGCGTTTTAGAGCACGTAGTCTTCACCTTCTTATTCTGTCTGTTTCTCTGCCTTTTTATTCTGTCTGTAGTCCTCCATTTTGTCTTATTCTGTCAGTACCAATTAACTCTTGTTCACTATCTAAACGCCTTAATTGCCCAGTATTATTGGTTGGCAACAATGCAGTGTGTGTGTGTGGGGGGGGGGGGGGGGGGGGGGGTTGGCAAAGGGGGGTGGGGCAGGGTTCCTTGGGACTTTTTGAGGCTTGCTGGGATTCCCTGGGACCAAAACGTTTGAGAACCCCTGGGTTGGAGTGTTTCCAAGAGACCAGGGGTCTTAAACTCGCTCAAGTCTGAAAGCCTTTGAAAAAACAAACAAACAGCGATGGTGTTTTCTATGTTGCAAAGCAGCCAAGTCTTTCAGCAACACCCAGAGGTTTCCTGAAGAAGGGATCTCATGGTATTTGCTTTTTGTAAAATAGCCTTTTTGCCAGTGCCGTCTTTAGCTTTGATTTGTTGGCACAACTACTTTGGGTTTGTACCTAGTGTGATTACAAGATTTAAAGTGCCACCGTCCCGCCAACGTGCTGGAATTTTTCAATAGAACTAGAAACCAAGCACGCAAGTTTAATATGTCTCGAAAATATTTTTTCCAGTGGGGTAGTTTTTGATTTTTTGACGATTTTCATAGCAGATTTATAAGAAAAACGTTGTATCTTAACGGTATGCGAGGCGAAAGAATCCTTGATCTGAAAGAAAGCAGATTAGTTTCAAATATGTTAAAGCGTCGTTAAGAGCAGAGCTAGGTTTGCAGTAGAAATGAATGGACAACGAGAGGTAACTCTTCAAGGTGCATGCAGCACTCGAGGCGTAGGAACGGTAACTTGCAGCCACAAGGCATTGGAGGGCCACGTCCCGTTTTGATCTGAATGAGCATCGTACCGGCGTGCGGTCGTGTATCACTACCTCATGGTGCATGTTAAAGATACCAGGCTAGCGGTTGTAGTCACTGGCTAAATTGCTTATCTAAAGCTGAGAGACAAGTCACCAGGCAAACTAACTTCACACTGTATAAACTTGCACACAAAACACAAACACAAAAAAAAAGGGGAGAGAGAGAGATATCTTTCCCCAAGCTGTGTGCAGACTCTTTCAATGCACTCGTACGTAGGACCAGTTTACACATGTCTGTGTGTGCTTGGATGTGTGTGTGTGCCGATTTGAGAGCAAGAAATAGTGCCAAAGAAAATGGGAGAAACAAGGACTTAGTGCTCTGGGGGCAATACTCGGCCCACCTTGTAGAAGTATAAATGTGATGCCTGTGCCCTGACCAGGTCTGTTAATTGATCTCAAGTGAAGATTAGTTCAACTACAGCTGTATTTTGGAAATGGTCCCAGCTGGGAATGTTTCCATGATCCTGCTCCAGCCAATCCGAGTTTCTCCTGAGATTGCTGATTTGTACGGTAAGGTACTTGAATTAAGTTTAAGAATTCTTACATGAAGTGAATGTAAGGGCGCAAACGAGCTGGTTTAAATTGAACATGACATAAGCCGTGAGACTGCAGGTAAAATTGACACAAACACTTAAAGGGGTACGGAAACAAAAATTGAAATATTCAAATTTCGTTCGGAAATGAGTCAAGCATGACGGATAATAACCATAAATGATAATCGCACGTTTGTATTTTAAATGACTTGATATATTTTTCGTTCCAAACGGTGCACTCGAGCAAGCACTCGAAGAGAAGCGAACGGAGAGCGCGATGCGTCATGGGATATCCAGCGCAAACAAAAACAGAAAGAAAAGATTCCCCGCATTCGTGATGTACCAGGGCTGCCGTGGTTGTGAGCTTTGCCCTTGGTGGTGTTGTCAGCATTGTGGTGGTGTCAATATCGTCAGCGCGTTACAACCGAGCCGTTCGAGGTACCCATGGGGTGACGAGCGTGTGGCTGGCCCAAGGAGCACGTAGCTTCCACAACACTGTCAGCTTAGGGCTGAACGGGGTGAGGAAAGCAACTTTTGTTCGAGTTTTGAGCGACGGGCTTATCTTCTAGGGGGAGAGTGGCTGTGTCCGTTTGCACGAACGAGGGTCCGAAAAAGAGGGGAGTCCTTCCTTTCCGTCTTCTTGGACCGTTTACTACAATGCGCGACTTGTGAGTTGAGGAGGAAAGCTAAGAGGGAAAATGTTAAAATGCCAAAGAGCGGCGCTGCTCCGAAGGAATCTGCTACGTCACGACTACGTAGCAGATTCCACAACGTTGCTAGACTACCTCCCAAATAGGCTCCGCATGCATCCACCAGGTGCACATTGAAAGATTGTTAAAATTAGTTTTCTTGTGCCTTTCAACGGAAGACTGGTGTTTTTGAGGTTAGGGTGCAATATGCAACACATTCAAGCTAGAAAACGAGTGCCGAAATTTCGTTCCCCCACACCTTTAAAGGTCTGGAAACCTTTTAGTGTTTGGGTTGTTTTTACCTGCAGTTTCAGGGTTTATGGCAACTCTTATGTGCTTGGCTTACGTCGATTCTACGGATAAATTCACCATGTGCATAATCTTGGGGATTCTTTTTGGGGGCATGTTCGTAATTACTTTCTTTCGTTTCGGTTTATTGCCCTTTTTTTCTTAAAGGTGCTCTTTTGTTTGGACCTTTCCCTGAAATCCACGTAACATTTTGTGCAGTTTTTTTCGTGGCGTCAGACTTTCCTCGGGGATCCCAGCCCCCGAAGACATTTAGTGTTAAAAGCCAGGGTCCACTGGTATCAGCAAGGCTACTTGATGTTCACACGGAGCATAGGTGCTGGTTCAGTGCGGACTTCTCACGAAAACAAGTTCTCACAGAAGCAGCTTCTCAAAGAAGCTAGTTCTCACAAAAGCGACTTCCCACAGAAGCAACATTCGACCGTAGCCCAAGTCCAGATTTACGAGTCATACCCCCGAGAAGTCTGCGACTATGAGCTGTTCCGTCGTCCTCATTCGCGCTTCCTCCCTTGCCAGTTGGAAACGGCCCGGCGTGACGCATTCGTATCCCGCAACATAGTCCCGCCTGAGGAGTGCAGTCCGGGCTACAGCCCGGGGTGGCTGCGCAGGCTGACGTCCGACGACCAGGTCGTCTGCGACAGGTACTACGAGAAGCTACAAGTCGACCCGGTCTGGCAGGTGAGCAAGGCGTGATTCGAAGGGGCGGGTCGTGCAGCTTGTTCGCGACGACCACGGCACCCTCAACGCGTCCCCGACTGACAGGTTAGCCGCATCCCAAAAGGCAGTCCATCAACTTCCTCTTGACGATGTCGTAGACGCGTCTTGTCGTCACCGGCCGTGATCCGGGTGTATGTGGCTGACGCCCGTTCCACTGCGGGTTGCCCTCCGGCTTGATGGTACGCGGAAGCTTCGGCGGCCGAAAGATTGGACGCCGCGGCGAGGATGACGGGGATGATTGCGTCTGCTCGTGCTTTTGTTGGGACCTGTACGCCCAACCGCACGACACGCCCGCTATCGTGTCGTCGTTTGTTGCCCCTTCAAGGCCACATTTACGTGTGGACGGGACGGGGCACATGACATGCCGGTCGATGATGCGTTAAGCGCCTTAGTCGTGGCAAAAAAAAGTTTCCGGTCGAACGGTGAGATTGAATAGACTCGTTCTAAAATTTGAAATGGTGCATAGATTATGTGTAGCCGCCATTAGTGGGCCTTGTCGCTTTCGACATGAAGCCCGCGATTGGTTCCGAGTTTGCTCCAAGCACTGATGCAGCTGCAGGCTTAGGTAAGTTGAGCTAGTTGGTACATATTAGTGATGCATCAGGTTGAACTTACAGAAATAGTCGTAGAAAGGACGTACAATGGATAACAGCTGACTAAAAACTTTGCTTTAGTGCTCTTCTTTTTCCCATGTGCAAGCGTCCTACATTATTTAAAACTAATAGTGAATTTATATATATATGAACAGCTTGTAAAAAAACAAATTACATATGCGAAGAAGAAGAGTACTAAAGCAAGGATTGTAGTCAGCTGTTATCTATTGTCCTGTCCTTTCTGCCTCTATTTCCGTAAGGTCAGGCTGACACATCACTGACGCAGTACTCGTGTGGAACGCGTTTCAATCCGAGTACACTCCGAATGCCGACGAAGTGCTCGGGTCCAATCCGTGCTCTTAGTGCATGACCAACTAGTGGCTGCCGCACATAACCTCTGCATCATTTCGAAAAGGGTCTAATAAAGCGCGTATTGATCACGTTGCAGCGGCACCTGTTCCGCCTCATTCTCGAACAACCGGGTGAGGGCAGCTGGGCATGCCTCTGAAAGTCGCAAAAAAAGATTGTGTTTGGAACGACCCGGTGTGCCTTAATGTCCCGAGAGATAGCCCACCTAAAATCGAGGGCAAAATCGGATGAAAACAAAGAGTTGGCCAACTTTCGGCACTCCGTGGTCTGCCAAACTTCTCATCACACTGGGGGGAAGTGACAAAGCGTAGATGACTGTTCTCCCCAGTCAGCAACGTTGGTTTATCTCCCGCCATAGCTAGCCAACTCTGTTCCAGCCGAGGTCACCATTGGCCTGGGGATTACTACAAGTGGGATGAAATATCTCGCGCTCAGCCTAAAACGAAAACTGGCCGAGAACAGTTTGTCTTTCGAAGCGGGCGCGCTCCCCTGTTCTTCAGGAGGGTTAAATACGAACGTGATCATGTTAAAAATTTCTGCTAGAGTCGCCGACCTTGGGCATCTCTTTTGAATGCCCGGCCTTCAGCACACGCTTGTTTGCCTTCCGCTAAACACTTGCTAAACACCCAAGTGTTCTCGAAGTTCCCCGCCATTTTCATTCTGCCAGGGTCTATACAGGCACTAGTCTGTGCTAGATACACCGTCTTTTAACACTGGATCTCTTTTACGAGTCTTTTTCTACGAGAAAAGTGTCGCGATTGAGTTGCATGACGGGAGCGTGGGAGACAATGTTATGTACCAAGTTGGAGACCCGACGGGGCTCGAACCTGGGCCGGTGCGGCAGCAGTCGGATGCTGTAGCCACTAAGCCACTGGCACTGCTCGTCTGGAAAAATTAATTGTGCTGGCGAAAGCGGCAGGTTTTTCTATGGAAATAATAAAATAATAAATACAAGTAAAATAAACCAATAAAAAAATTAAAATTTCTAAAATAAAAGAAATATACCCTAAATGGAAAAAAAAAAGTAAACGAGAAATAGATATTAGAGAGTTTTAGAATAGGGGGTGCCAACGTTTGGGTGCCCCCCCCCTGAGAAATTGGGGGACCCAAACGCGGCAAGGTTGGTGCTGCCGAATTGTAAAATAAAGTTTTTGCAATGCCGCGCGGCGCGCTGGAGTTTCTTGCCTGCAGTGCAAATGCAGGGAAAAGGTGTGATATTCAAAAGAGAAAAATATTAGAAAAAGTAAACCATACGTGCTGAACAAATTTTTCTTTTACAAACAGTAACTAAGGTAACACCAAATAAGACTTGTATGTAACTTAAATACTCAAGTAACCATATCATAATTAATTTTGTGAATACCTTGGTATTTTACAAATACTTTTGAAGGCTAGCATTTAGTACTCCAAAACTTTCATACTTTTTAAGTAACTGGTGCTCTCTTTGTAAGTTACTCGCAAGTTACTGCTCAATTTGTAGATGCACAAGTGATCTCCCTTTCCCGTCTAGACATCGCACATGCCGTACGCGCAAACATTCATGCATCCAGTGGGCAGACGTGATGGGGCAGAGGTGCCTTGTACTCAAAATTCTTGCCTGGTGTGGCGCGTCTGTCCATAATAACTAACGAGCTAGAGGGCCCTAGAGCGATAAACTGGCAGCTGAAAGTGACGCCCAATTGGCCGCCGCCATGTTGCAAATTTTGACCACTAGACAAGTGACCTTTTAGTTTACGTCTCGATTTTAAACTAAGTACCGTGCACAAATAATTGCCTATTGATCTTTAATAACAGCACCGACGGTATAAGTTACGTTTCGTATGTTTTAAGTCCAAAATGTGCTTTGAGGTCAAACACTCGGGCAGCTTTGCAATGCCTCTTCTAGATGCCGTCAGCCGCAGTGCTGTATTTTGGGTTTTTATCGGAGCTAGACACTGATCTTTGGGGCTAACAGTATTGAAAAAATAGTTTATCATGTTTGTTACAGCGATCGCAATACAAATCTCGGCCCAGTTTTGCGTAAAAGTCTCAGGATTTGGTACAGCTTTCTGTCTAGTGGTCAAAATTGTACAACATGGCGGCAGCCAGTGGGGGTCACTTTTGCCTGGTGAACGGGACACCAGCTTATCGCTCTAAGCCCCTCTACCTCGTTGGTAATAACAACCAGACAGACACAACATGAGCCCTGCATGGACAAGCGATCCTGAGCGGCATTGGCGTTTGGCAGACGCTTCTCTTTCCCAGACAGAAAAGCATCAAAACTACACAAAATAAGTTTCTTGCTTAACATGAACTATGCCCAATATACCTAGGAAATGTTTTTATTTGATTTTGTCCTTCATTTCTTGAATGGGTTTCGTACATGCGTTTGGCATTAGGAGGGTTGGAACTTGGACGCAGTGGAGATTGAGCCAGGGAACGGCTTTCGTTCTGCCATGGCAGCATTTACGGGAAATGTTTGAATGTGTTTGTGAAACAGAGAAGAACCTTCAGGTGCAATGGAAGCGTTGCCTTCCGACCTGTGAGTGCATTCGTGGGGCGCCTGTTTTTAAAGTTGGCAAACATGTGTTCAAAAAAAAGGAAAAAAAAATGGTAAAGTTATTGACGCAAATCTCGCAAAAACAGCTGTTTCTACAAGTTCATAAAGCGTTTTAATAATACTCTCTTATTTTTGTTTTTGGTAATTAGTTGTTTAAATTGCAACTGAAGAGTATCTTGAAAATATTAGTTATTTTTTTTTTAGTATCTAGTACTCTTCTCAGTTATTTATAAACCTGGTACACAGTAACCTAACTTAAATACTTTTTCTAAGTGTCGTGTACAAGCCTGCACCAAATCAGCCCGGCTAAAAAAATACAATCTAGAATAGCTATAAATATTGCGTGCCACGAACACTCGTCCGATCGAGCAATGTCCTGCTACTCCACTTGGAGTAGCGAGACGTTGCCATGTCAACGGTTGTCGAATCCCTTTAGGTTTAGGAAGGGCTGGAACCGGAAGACAATCTTAAAAATTGGGCAAGCTGCTAGCCCATTCTTTGCGATTTCAGCAAGGTAAAGCTAAGCGAAAGTCGGCTGCACCGGTCACTGCCGTCGAATGTGGCTAATGCCGCAGCGACAACGACGAATGTGCTCCGGAGCGAGCGGAAAGGGCGCGTCCGTGTTGGCCGACGCAATCCGGCCCCAAGCAAAAAGGGGCCCTACAGTATTTCTCGAATTTCACGCTAAGGGAAAACGCCAACCAAAATCCCAGAACAAATTCTTGGTTCGGCGCATGCACAGTGGCAAGGCCCCATTTCTCAGGGAACCCCGAACTTTAAAGCTCCGTTTTTTTAAAACTCTCCAATACAAAGATTTCTAACACAAACCATATACGGAGTGTGGTTTTTGCGGGGCACATTCCGTGTTGTTCCCTGGTCTTTGTTGGCACGATTGAGCCTCTATAATTTTTAACGCAGCATGTGTTATACCTGGTATTCCGTGCTTTCTGAGTTTATTTCTCCTGAAATTCAGAGGGTGTTGCTGAAAATTCAGGGTTTGTTTTTGCTAGATTTCTATTTCTTTCAAATTCTGAATTTATCTTATCGTGTTGTTATATTTTAAAACTTTTAAAACAAAATATTTGGGTCCCATGACCCGTTGTCGTGAAGGAACCTCGACGTGCTAAAAGGCAAGCCGCTTTTGTCAGTAGTTAAAGATTTCAAAGTAAACTAAAGTGGCACCTGCTCAGGGCCACTGACCCTGTGCTCTTACATAGTTTATTTGCAAAACGACGACTTTTTTTCTTTTTTTATTTTGTTGTTACCCCAAACTTTGGAGTTTTTCTAATAAATCCGAATCGACAAAAGATTTTTTAGTGGCGAGCGTTTTTCAAATATTTTCTAATTTATCCGAAAGCATGAAACCCCAGTTATTTGGTTGACACCTATTCAGGTCCAGTTTCATACTCCTGCTACGGAAAAAGAAAACACGAGCGTCAGCCAAACGCCGATTACCGATTAGACACGAGTGCACTCGTGTCTAATTGTCTCGCTCGAGTAGATCTGTGTTACTGCCACAGGTCGCATCACGCTATCCATGATAGAGCAATGACGCCAGCAACGTGTTCTACTCTTATACACTATTGCAGGATCAGAAAAGCAGGACAAGGTCGTCCTACAAAGCCCTCCACTCTTTCCTTTTAGTAGAGTGAATGGCGAAGACCAGCGGGCGAGATTTGGTTAGACAATTGATGCAGAAAATTTACACAATCATGGAAATCGTTTGCAAACGCGGCCCATAAACCAGACCGGGATAGAGTCGTTGGAAACGCTCCGAAACTTGAGAGCACCACTACTCCATTCCGGCACATCTTGTTTCCGGAGCCACGGCACCAGAGACGGAGGCGCTGCGATCGCATCTAGCTCGACGCCGCATCACATTCTGCATTACGACCGCCTTTGCCGCGACGGTGGGGGAAAGATGCAATTTTGGTTTTAAAGGGACGATGTAAAAATGTTTCTACATTTCGCAAAGTACAGCTTGGAATTATTCCTCGACGCTTATAACCTATGAAACGTGCGTGACTTTTTTTCCTGCACGCAACGGCAGTCGCAGAAATAACTCGAGAAAGACTAGCGGCGTGCACCCCTTCGACTCGCAGCCAGAACAAGCGCTCACGTGATCTGGAGCCGATCTACGATAGCCATGCGCTGGGGTTGGCATATGGCGGGGCATGCGCCGAGTTCCACACATTGTTAATTAAGGTCCGGCTAATCCCGCCATTGGAGCGATTGGGTACGCGCCACTATCCGAATGCACGTCAAGGTACCAATTGTCACGAGCCCAAATCGAATGCTCACGCGGTGCTTGTGCCTACCGTATGAGCCGCATTTAAATATCTTCACCGTGGGTGTCGCAAAGCATGCCAACGAAATCATGGGAATCGCGTTATTGACAACGCCAACAATGCGATCCCTGCCACCTCGTGAAGTTTTGCGAAGGAGAGGCCGAAGGAAAACGTCCGCTTTTATCCTCGAAATTATGCAGCGGCAAAGAAGCTTCTTGGTCAGTGGTGTTGCGTGCGAGTATACTTGTTCCCCCAGGGCCAGTAAGCTTACGTAGAGCGAGAAACATTTTTGCCCAATATCGTTGCACGGCCCTTTTGATTTCCTCGCTACGACACGTCCAATATATAAACTCATTTTGCTCAACGATGGCATGCAGGTGAACCCACTAATAGTGGCATCGGACGTACTCTCAAGGGCCTTCTTCCACCCCCTCACCTTCCTCGGAGACTACGTCGGTCGCTTTGCGCAAGACTTCGCCAAACACCAGACCTTCTGGAGCATCTTCAACAACCTCTTGTCGCTCTTGATTCTGGTTGTGCTTGGTGGGGTCATCTTCATGTTCTTCTTCAAGGTGGGCATCTTCCTCTGGGTGAACTACCACGGTGGGCACAGGGGGCCACCTACGCACCGATCCCGCGTGGAGGACATTCCTGAACGGGAGCTCGGCCACGTGACGGAGGGCTCGAAACGTCGCGACGAACGCCTGGTCTTGGACCGTGACCGGACCAAACTGGATCCACACTTTGACGATCATCCGGTCCCGGATCAGGGTCGGATCAAGCCAGATTCTCGTGACCGTTCGATCCCGGATCGAGATCCGGATTGCGACAAGGAGGGACAACGCTTCGAAGACGCAAAAACAGACGAGCCAACGGCGACCGATGGTAGCGGCGATGCGCGACCGGATGACACTTCGTTTTCAGAGGCGGAGCAGACGTGATTGTTTTTGCATCTTGCATGTGTGCAGAGAGTGATCATCCATGCCCCTTTTCCCAAAGTCTTTCAACGCTAGTGTGGGACAATGTTTCAGCAGACACCTGGTGAGATTATCGCAATCCGACCAACATGGCACCATGCGAGGCTTGGTTGGATTTAACCGTTCATGCGAACAGGCTCAAAGGGAAGAATAGTCAGCCTTTTTCACCGACGGGCACTGGCGATATCAGTCCATAACGTTCAAGGAACGGTTGACTCCGTGTAATGCTCGTCTGGGTATAACATTGTTACTGCAGTAACATTGCCCGTTCCGGTTTTCACGCACTGGTTTGAGTTCTGCGATTTCTATAGTCTTTTTTGGTTTGTTTTTGTTTTAATTTTCTTATAGGAGTGTATAGGAATGATTTTTAATAGAACTTGTCGGCCGAATAGAAACAGTTGCCTTTTTGTGTTGCTGGATTGTGTGCCGGTTTTATTTTTTTGTGGAGAATTCGGTTGTGATTAGATTACTACATACAACGATCTGAATGTTGCACTGTATTTTTGTTGCCACATAAGCTGTTCAAACAGCATCTGTAAGCGTGCTATTCTCTTGGCCAGCTTTTGACTGTTTTCTTCCTATCTCGTGAAGAAACCACACTTGTAACACTTGCTGTTGTATCAGCCAAAGTGGCGCTACCGTACAATACCAAGGGAGTACCTAAGTATTACTGAACACTGGGTTAATTTAGACGTGGGCGGCTTAAAGAGGTTGTCTGGCCAAAGTTTGTGTTTAAAAAAACAACTGAATATCGTTGTTATAGCCTTGAAACGCATCGTTCGTGCAATATCTGAATTTGATATGCCCCTCTACATGAGTAATTGAACTTTAAACTGCTTCAATTGCATCGCAGTGTAAACGGTTGCTGGTGGTAGCTAATCACGTCGTTTAGCATCCCAGACTATGGTACGGAAAAAAAAAAAAACTTTTAGTCGAAGGAACAGATGCAGAAGGGAACGTCTATTTGAGACGTTCCCTTCTGTGCCTGTTCCTTTGACTAAAAGATTTTTATTTTCTGCACCACAGTCTCGTATTCGGCAACAGGGTTTGTAAGCTTTCGCCAACTATACACCTTTCCAAAAAACGCTCCTAGGCCGGTGCCATGAATTGCTGACGCGGGTGGTGCGACTCTCGCGCCTTGATCATTTAGAAATTTTCTGCCACTCTCTCGGATTGTGGAAATCCGCTCAGCGTGATTCTTTACCTGCCGTAATATACAGGGGAAGCGCCCACTATTGACATTTCCCAAACTTGGCAATTCTGCAAATTATATGTTAAGTGCTCGATTTGACCAAACAAGTGCTCATGTCTAGATTAACCCAGTTTTCAGTGCCAAGAAGTTCAATGTAGATCTGGTTTTTAGTTCGGATTATAAGTTGAGCAAGCTCACACCCTTCCACAAAAGTGTAAGGGAATGCGCAAAAACGCATCGAGAAAAGTCTATTCCGTGTGGTAATGGAGTGGTATATGAAATCCCCCTGGAATGTGGCTTTAAATATGTGGGGCAGACGTCAAGGTGTATAAATGACAGATTGACTGAACACAAAAGGAATGTCAAAAACAATGTTGCCAATTCGGAAATAGCGAAACATGTTCAAGAATGTAATAATTGTATACCCCACTTGTCTGAAACAGAAATAATACACAGGGAGTTAAACGACATCAAAAGGGCTGTAAAAGAAACAATAAGAATGAAATCAATGGGCAACTGCATTAGTCAGGTGTCGTTACAGCTTAGCAGCAGCGCAAAATCATTCTTGCGGATCTGAAAGTTTTGTGAAGTGCTTGTCGAATGTGAAGGATGTAAGTGGTTTCTTCCTTTGTGTATCACGTGGATTGATATCTTCTGTTACCGGGATGCTTTGTGATTATGGGTCGGAGAGTAGAGGGAGAGAGTGTACTGTGTACGCAAAGGATTCAGAAAAGTGTCTTCCGGATGAGGGGAGCTATTGTTCCTTGCTTTGTGGAAAACGTCAAGGTCGTTTGACAATTGTGGTGGAAAGATGTGAGACCTTTGTTATCTTTTGGCTTTCGAGATCGGGAAGGTGCTGTGGTGAAGTTTGTGGAGTGTATATAAGAAGGTGACCAAATAAACTTCTCTTTAGCTGTGTTAGAGACGTGTCTTCGACTGTTCATCTTTCTTCTACTTCGAAACTTTCCTCTTTTCCTGCCTCAGTCTCGGGCTAAGAACAAAATGGATAAATAGTTTACAGCTTTTTTTTCCTTTTTTTTAAATGTGGTACAATGCTTTCTTCATGTCCTCGGGAAAATACATACACCGCGAAACACAAAATACAGCGGGAAAAGATAAGAATTTAGCTGCCAGCAGTGTTTGAAACTGCGCTAATCGAAACCACAGTCCTCTCGGTTAGGGTTAGCAGGGACGCCGTTGAGAGTAGCCTCAAACCCAGTGACTGGGCTCGAAAACGGTTTGTTGCCCCTGGGGTCGAGCGTTTCTTGGAAAAGGTGTATATGCTGCATACTCCCCGTCGCCCCTAAACTGACGGTGCAGTGCAACGAGTTGCGCGCTTGCCCCCCCAATCAACCGCCTGCCTTTCATCACCTGACCAAATGCTTTCTCTGCGCGAGAGTATGAACGGGTGCGTGATCACGTGGCAAAAGGAAAGCGTATGACTGGTCCAACGAGCAAGTAGCTTCTACCGAACTGTCAAGTAAGGGTTGAAGCGAGTGGCCACTACAGGCAGCAGCTGGAAGAAATTGATCGGACGTACTTCTCGGGCCAAGAACGACACTTTTTTAAAATTATTATTTGCCTTGTACAAGCCTGATCCTTTCAAAGATGCTAGTGGTCATGAGAGGTCGCATGTACCGGAAGAAGCTGAGACTGACGACTGATAATAAACATACCATCAAAACTATGACTCGGAAGTGTTTATTGTTATGTTTCACTAATGTAAGCCGACGGCATTTCAAATGAAATTTATTACATGAAGAAAGACAGAAAAACGAGTATACGAACGACAAAAAAAGAGTATCGCAAGGAGGCGAAAATACACACTACGAAATTAACAAAATTATTTCGATCAAAACATATTGCACAAAACATTTACGGCTCGCAATTAAACGAATACGCTTTGTCTACACGTGAACAAATGCTTTACAAACTATTCACACGCTAAGAGAAAAACTCTACAAACTGTATACAAATAAACGCTTTAGAAAGCATGCATTTATGTACAAAGTATTGGCTTTCTGAACAACAATTGTCTTTCCCTCTGAGAAAAGTAAAGGCAGAACATCTTACAGTGAACTGGACACCTCGACAACACTTAGCTTGAAAAGTGTACACAAAGCAGATTACACAGTCCGATTACAGATGACCCAAAAACGAGAGCACGGTTTTTGCAAGCAACAAAAAGGCAACACAAAACAATCGAAGCAAGAGAAAGCCTCACGCGTTCCCTCAGCGCCAAGGACGGCTGAACACAATTACCATGGTTTCTTTTATAATCTTTTTATATGTGTCTTTAAACAAAGTTGAGGTCTCTCTCCACAAGGGGGAACACAAACTACATTCACCAATGTGGTTAGCCAGTTGTGAATTCGGGCACTTATTTCTTGCATTTCTCTTGTGTTCAAGCAAGCGGTCATTTACACCGGCATGTCTGGCCTACATAGCATAAACCACCTCCTGGCTAAACGGTGAGAGTTCGCCAAGCCGAAAATCTATATTAAGGTGGCGATGCAAGCGAGTTGGTTCATGACTTAGGAAATTGGAAACAGCGCGAAAAAAGACGAAGACAACGAGAGAAGTGCACAGGACAAGCGCTGTCCTGTGCTCTTCTCTCGAAAATCTGTCTTGAAAACAATCTGTAGATTTGAATCTTTCTGCCAAAGCTTTTAAATTATGCAAGAACCCATGGAAATATGGAATTGCATCTAGTTGTTTTCCAAAACCAATGTCAAACAGAGCTGTGTATGGAGAAAGTTTGGCCAGTCTGATCTCGCCGTTGTAACGCCCCCCCCCCCCCCCCCCCCCCTTCCCGAGTGAGCCAATCAGCCCGCAGCGCGGAGCGAGAGGCGTGAGCGCATGCGCGTGAACTCCCGGCTGCTCCTAGCTGAGCGGGGACAGAGCCGTCTATGTAGAGAGTTTGGTCAATGGGAGGCGCGGGCAGAGCCAGGGCGTGCGGCAGACTCGGAAAGAGGGCTTGGCATGCTCTCTTGACCAACCAGAAGCCGAAAAGAATCCCCTAGCGGTGGTAGCGAGAAACAATTCTGAGCCGATCGGTCATCGAAGGTCTATGTTCGTATATGGTCTTAATAAGTGCGTAAGAGTGAAGTGTAGTAACTCTTTGTGGTTAAAAATAGGGTGCATGTGTTGTTTCATCATGATCATGCAGAAAGATGTAAGAAACGAATGCGCCACTCAACTCTGTTTTGCGCGGACAGAGTGTGACCGCTCTGACGGCAGATTCCCGGCGCTCGGCGTTTGGCGTAAGGATTATGTCGATCTTTCCGCTAGTCGCACTCTTCCACCATCAATTCAGATGAGTGTGATTGAAACATGTGTACCATATTTTCAGCCATCGAGAGTTACTCCAATGCAGTTATTAGGTTTGTTTCTTGCGACCACCGCCAGGGCATTATTTCCGGCTTCTGGTTGGTCACATTCGAATTTCTGAAGACGCCCTGGAACACGCCCAGCCCGCTTTCGGCCAATGGCGCCGCTTCATTTGTCTCCTACACTTCCCAACGAATGGCCAAACTCTCTACATAGTACATATACGGCTCTGAGCGGGGCACTGATCTCAATGACAATTGCTGGATCGCGCTTGCCGCTCCCGCAAGTGAAGCCACCGGGCCTCACTCGCTTGGGATACGATTTGCCGTTTTTGCTAGCCTTTGCTGCGGTTTTCCAGCGTGCTGACGACACGTTTTCTACTCGTTCGTCGTCATTCGCCGAAGAAGTTTTTTGAAGACTCTGTGTATTGTTGAGACTTGCCGTTGTGAACACGTGGAAAAGTTTACGAAAGTGCAGTGTCGCAGGAAAAAGGCACAACGCGTCGAAAGGAAGGGCTGGCGGCGTGTTCAAAGCATCCTTGGCACGCCGAAGTGCCGTGTCTCTGTGCCTTCGCGCGCTTGGATACCGACCAAGAACCGACGCCGTGTGAATGTGTTTAGCGAGTGCAATGTGCGTGAAGCCGTATCAAAAGGTACAACTCGTCGAAAACGTGTCGCCGGTGTCGCGGCGTGATCAAAGCTTCCTTGGCACGCCGAGTGATGCATCTTTGTGCCTTCGCACGCTTGGATACCGGTCAAGAATTGACGCCGCGCCAAAGTTCTGAACGTGTGTCGCGCGTAGATGCCTTTAGATCATTTATATATATCGGCCACGGAGTTCTGGATCGTCCAGCTGTTCCGGTGAGTTGCTATCAATAAAAGGGGGAGATCTGTACGT